TGTGTCCTCTTTCCCTGAACCTCGCCATAACAAGTCATCCGAAATGTGGGCACCGGGCCACAGGGTGGGCTGCTCTGCATATGTAGATTCAGCATAGATACAGGATGTCTCCCTCTCCTCTCCATTCCCTATCACTAACCTCTCGCGCTGACTATGACTGTCGAGCTCACTCAGCCTCTCCCAGGTGTCCGGGTCGCCATTGACAGAGGTGGTAGTGAGTCACTCCTCATCAATCTGATATCAAGAGCTAACTCGGGCATAGCGTTCACCGACCTCTGGGCTTACATCCCCGGACATCTCTACCAGCCACCAGTACCGCTTGACCTACTAGGCAACGCCGATGTGCTTCTCAAAGGCAAAGACGAGGGCGTAGAGATCACCTTCAAGCTTCTTTCTGTCGACCCTGCCAACTATGACGACTCGTGTAGCGAAGGTATAAGGCGACTTTTGCAGATCATCCACCGGAAGGCCCTTCCCAAAGATGCTCAGCTAGACACCTCAGTGATGGGTAAGTCTGGTCACCATTCCATGTGAGTCGTGCTGATAATTCTACAGAATCTGTTCGTATGGGAACCACAGTCGCTACCAACGCCCTCCTCGAACGCAAAGGTGCCCGTTTCGCCGTCGTAGTCACCAAAGGCTTCCGAGACTTGCTCAGAATCGGCGACCAGACCCGACCCGACCTCTTCGATTTGTCCATTTCTGGCAAAGCCAATGTGCTCTATCGTCCGGAGGATGTAATTGAAGCAGATGAGAGAGTGACGATGGAAGGATATTCGCTTGATCCTAACCCGGTGTCGCATGAAGAGTTGGTGAAGAGGGCTGGAGAGTCTGATGATCCCGGAAGAGTGGTTTTGGGTGTTAGTGGGGAGGCTGTCAGGGTGTTACAAGAACTCGGTGAATACTTTCATCGCTCGATCATCCGTCGGGGCTGATACTGTTATAGATGAAACGCAGATAGAGCGAGACTTGAAAGAGATATACGCCAGAGGTATCGACTCTCTCGCTGTCGTGCTTTTGCACTCTTACACCTTTCCCGGTAAGTACCATGTTCACTCAGCCCAACATCCATGACTGACGATCACTATAGACCACGAGCGTAAGATCGCCTCCATTGCTTCCCAAATCGGCTTCAAAAACATCTCCCTCTCATCCCACCTCTCTCCCACCATCAAATCCGTCCCCCGAGGCAACTCGGCCACCCTCGACGCCTACCTCTCTCCCGTCCTTCGCGCCTACGTAGACGGTTTCAACTCGCACTTCGCTAGTGGCAAAGCCGGAGAGAGGACAGACTTCATGAAGAGTGATGGCGGTTTGGTGGCCGCTGAAAAGTGAGTACTCTATCTTCCGCGGTGAGCGCATGATTCTGATAGGATGCAGGTTCTCAGGTCTCAGCGCGCTCTTGTCAGGCCCTGCTGGTGGCTTCGTAGGCTGTGCTCTCACCGCATACAGCCCCACCCGAGCCAAACCTGTCATCGGCTTTGATATGGGCGGCACATCCACCGACGTCTGTCGCTTCTCTGGTGATTTCGACTTGGCGTATGAGACGGTCATTGCGAATATCAAAATCGCTTCGCCTCACTTGTCTATTGAGACTGTTGCTGCGTAAGTCGATCCTCCCGAGGTGATGTAAGGTGCTGATGTGATGGATCAGAGGTGGAGGGTCGAGGCTGCATTTCAAGAATGGGATGTTCCTTGCTGGACCTGATAGCGTCGGCGCTCAGTACGTGTCTTTTCACTCTCTTGATAGACTAGAGGCTAATCATAGTTTAGTCCTGGCCCAGCGTGTTACCGCAAAGGCGGCGACCTAGCGATAACCGATGCCAACCTAATCCTCGGCCGTCTCGTCGTCTCCCAATTCCCATCCATCTTTGGCCCATCCGGCGATCAACCCCTCTCCCTCTCTGCTTCTCTCTCCAAGTTCGAGACTTTGACGGATGAGATCAATAAGGGCAAAGAGGGGAAGGGATACACGGTGCAAGAAGTGGCAGCGGGGTTCTTGAAGGTGGCGAATGAGGAGATGGGAAGACCAATGAGAAAATTGACGGAAGAGAAGGGGTTCGCTATCTCGACCCATGACCTTTGTTGCTTTGGCGGGTGAGTCTCTCGTCTATGCTTCCAGGGAGGCTAGTGCTGATTTGATCGTAGCGCTGGAGGGCAACATGCTTGTGCTATCGCGTCCAGTCTGGGCATCGAGACAGTCATCATCCCTCGCTTTTCTTCGCTTCTTTCGGCATATGGGATCGCTTGCGCCGACTTGACCAGCGAGGCTTCTACCCCCATCACCGGCGAGGTCACGGACGACTTTGAGTCCTCCGAGGCTTACAAGGGAATCGCTGCCCGGATCGAGGAGCTCAAGAGCGATACCGCAAAGCAACTCGTCGACCAAGGTGTCAAGAGCCAAGGTGTCTCTTTCAGCGTCATCATTCGCCTACACTATGATGGTGCCGATACCATCTTCGACCTCCCACCTTCCAACACCCTCAAAGCCGACTTCCTTGCGGCGCATCTGAGAGAGACGTCGTTCAACCTCCAGCGAAAGGTCAAGTTGGCCGGGCTGAGGGTGAGCGCGACGGGACAGTCGTTCAAGGCTACACCCGAGGACTTTGCTGGAGAGCTTGCAAAGGCCGAGGGTTCTCCTGTGCTTTTCAGTGCTGCTCCAAACAGTACTCAAGAGGCGTACTTTGACTCTGCTGGGAATGTCAAAAAGTATGACACACCCGTCTTCCTTCTGCACGACATCACCTCAGGCTCCACCGTTCAAGGCCCAGCCATCATCGTCGACTCTACCCAAACTATCGTCATCGAACCTTCCGCCCGCGCCATCATCCTTTCCGACCACGTCATCCTCAAAATCTCCAAACACACCCCCACCCCCACCGACGACGACGGAAACTTTGTCGTCGACCCCATCATGCTCGGTGTTTTCGCTTCCCGCTTCATGTCCATCGCCGAGCAGATGGGGCATACCCTCCAACGCACGTCGATTTCAGTGTCGATCAAGGAGAGGTTGGACTTTTCGTGTTCGATCCATGGATTGGATGGGGCGATGGTGGCGAATGCGCCACATATACCGATTCATCTGGGGTCGATGCAGTATGCGGTGGCTTCGCAACATGAACATTGGAAAGGAAAACTGCAGCCGGGTGATGTCTTGTTGACTAATCATCCGCAGTGGGGCGGTGAGTTCTTTTACCAAACGCGCTGGACGATAAGGCTGATCATGTTACAGGTACTCATCTTCCCGATTTGACGGTTGTGTCTCCTATCTTTGGACCTGATGATCCTACCAAAGTCTTGTTCTATGTTGCGAGCAGAGGGCACCATACTGACATGTGCGTCTGCCGTCTTTTCGTCTTGCGATACCATGCTGATTCCCAGCAGCGGTGGCAATGCTGTGACGGCTATGAACCCCATCGCCAAGGAACTCTGGGAAGAAGGTCTTCACGTCGGTACTTTCAAGCTCGTCTCCCAAGGCAAATTCGACGAGGAAGGCGTCATCGAGCTTTTCAACGAGGTCGAAAAGTTCCCCGGCAACAGCGCTACCCGACGCATCGACCACAATCTCACTGATCTCCAAGCTTCCGTTTCTGCAAACCAAAGAGGTGCGAACCTGGTGCAGCAGCTGTTCGATGATTACGGGACAAAGTATGTGCTCTTCTATATGAAGCAAATTCAGCTTGTGGCGAGGGAGACGGTGCACGAGTTCTTCAGGCAGACGTATGACAAGTTTGGCGGGAGGCCTTTAAGAGCTCTTGACTATGTGAGTCACTCTGCCTCCTTCTGGAATTGTCATCTGACTTGTCGTAGATGGACAATGGAACCGAGATTCGATTGGAAGTCAGAATCGATAGGGAGAAGGGCGAGGCAACTTTTGACTGGACTGGTACCGGTCCCCAGTCGCACAGCAACGTATGTTCGACCATTATCTATATTTGCCAGAACTAACGATCTGTAAAAGACCAACATGCCGCCTTCCCTCACTCACGGTGCTATCATCTACGCCATCCGGTCAATGATTAGTCGTGCGTCCATCGTATCTGTTACCTACTGCAGTTGCTAATCTGGGCGTAGCTACGATCCCCATGCCCCTCAACCAAGGTGTCATGGACCCTGTCAAGATCATCTCCCCTCTCGGTACAATCATCAACCCCTCAGGCGTAGTTGCTGTATCCGGAGGAACCATCAGTACCCATCGATTGATCGACAACATCCTCCGAGCATTTGAAGCTGCTGCTTGCTCCCAAGGATGCGCGAGCTCTGTCGGTATCGGTGAGCTCGGCCTTCCTAAATGGCTAGTGCGGTACTGATGTATGTTATTTGCAGGAATCGGAGGAAAGGACGAGGATGGGAATGTGATACCAGGGTTCACATATGGAGAATCGCTGGGAGGCGGAACAGGTGCAGGGCCGGGCTGGAGTGGTCAACATGCTACCCACGTCGTATGTTTCATTTCTTCCTGATCATGTCAAGAAGCTCATGGGCTTTGTGTAGCACTGTACGAATACGCGCTTGGCCGACGCAGAGATTGTAGAGCACAGAGCGCCTGTGATCTTGCGTCAGATCAAGATCAGAACCGACAGTGGCGGCCGAGGCAAATTCAAGGGCGGTATGTCTTTTCATTGATATTCCATGCCTTCGTTGAATGGCTGACACTTGATCAGGCGAGGGCATGGACCGTATCTTCGAAGCCCGTATTCCCATCTCATGCTCCATCGTCTCTCAACGTCGTGTCTTCCCGCCCCTCGGACTCGCTGGCGGAGGCAACGCTGGCCGAGGAGAGAACTTGTGGTTGAGAAAGAACGAAGATGGCACTTTTGAGACGATCAGCATGGGCAGTAACGGGATGGTGAAGCTGAGGAAAGGGGATAGGGTGAACATTAAGACTCCGGGAGGCGGTGGGTGGGGTGTGCCCGATCAGGAGTAGTGGAAGTGTCTTCTGCTGTTTGCTTTTTTGTTCATAATTTTGGGTATTTGGGCCATCAAAGCTGTACAGGATACTGTGCTTCATGTATCACAACAAACATATTACTTTAGTGTCCTTGTCTCGCGATCGTACGGGAAAATTGTTTCGTCAAACTGGGCCAGCAGTATCTTTGCCAAGCATCGCCTCTCCCGTCGTTTTCCAAACTTTCACAGCCTTCAACACCCACTCCTCAAGCTCCCGCTTGTTTCCATTGGCTTGCCCTGTCCCATCGGTATCTTGGTACACTCCGTCTCCTCCATCATTGAACGCCTCCATGATCTTGCACATCAATCCCTTGCCAACCTCCTCAAATAGGGTTTCGAGGCGCTTCACCTGCTTCCCTTCCGCCGCTGTACTGAAACTAGTCAGCCACCCGTGACGGTGGACACGCCACGCCACGTGATAGGCGAGCAGCCTCAAAGCCGACATATCCTGAAGCGTCTGGATCTCGAGCATTTGTTGGATGTTGGTGATGATAGGACCGGAACTGTTACCCACGAAGCGAATAAGGCCTCGATGCGCATAACGTCCAGCGTTGACATCGATAGTGGTTTGGGGGACAAGGAGGGTGGTGAGGGTGAAGCCTAGCAGCTGATTATGCAGACTTCGAGGGTGGATTCGGGCGTTGCTGGTGTCGGTAAGAATCCCATTTCGAAGCTTTTCCCACTTTGTCTTCATCTGTTTCCGCTCCTCGTCCCAATCGATAGACTTTGCCATTCTCTCAGCTTCCATCTGACCAATGCTTTGCGCTGCCTTGAGCGACCACCCTCTGAAAAGAGCTTGCGCGCTGACCTCGCGGTATCGTTGGTCGATGTGTTTCTCAATTATTTGGGTCTCTTTGCCGGCAAACTTTACGTCATCATAGCGAGCATGAGCCACGTGATGGTGAAGGATCGAGAGGCCTTCCGCCATCATGGCGTTGTAGTGCAGTCCGCATAAGTGATGGAACACATTTTCGATGAAGGGCGAGATTTTGAGAGGAGGTAGTACCGCCGGAGGAGATGAGGAGCTGTCGTTGAGGTGTGTAGCTGGCGGTGGTATAGAGGATAAAGACGAGCGCTGGGCATGGATGGGATTCGGGTTGAGTACGCCAGAAGAGGTATTGTCACCTGGGACTCGCTGAACTGCGTATTGGTGGGAGGTCAAGGGAGATGGTGGTTGAGTATCTCCATTCGGAGCAGGAGGTGATTTACGAGTAGAAGGAGGGTGGACAGGCATATTGACCATTGATTTCGCGTGCCTCAACGGCGTCTTGCCGGCGCCTTTTCCACCTTCTCCTCCGCCCTCGTTCGACATTCCGATGCCATCACTCGCACCCGGAGGGTCGACGTTCATCCCATCATTCTCCTGGGAACCAGTCTCCATAGCCACCGTAGACTTTTGCAGGGCTACACTCTTCTTCTTCGGGCTCTCATTGACGTTGTAGGGAATTGACCTGTGGCCTGGCTGTTTTGCAGTTCCAAGGCGGTGTGTCGAAGGTTGTTTGGCAGGCGTAGAGGGCGTGAAGAGTCTATCTGGAGTGTAGAGCATGGGAGAAGCTTGGTTCGGAGAGCGGGTGACAGATGTTGGAATGGCGCTGATGGGTGTGATGGTGGTGGTGTGGCCAGTGGTGATAGAAGGGGAGGCTTCCAGACGCTATACTGTCCTCAGACTCTGCCGTTCCATCAGGTCTGGTGATCGACTCACGGTATCCATATCTATCAAATCGGGCACAGGCAAACTGGGGCGATAGCTGTCAACAGAACCAAGATAGCACGCCTGTAAAGATGGGAGAGGCGGCTGTTGGACCTCATTCCCGGGAGGAGGGCTCGCTTGGAGTGTGTTGTTGGGGGCGGGCGAGATGGCCATGCGAGAGGACTAGGAGGACAGAATACTGACAAGACGAAATGTTTGCGGAGAAAGGGATCACAACAATTGCACAGCAATTGCAAGGATACACTCGCACACCCACTTCCTCGGAACTCCGATTCTTCGACGGGACCAAATTCAATTGGTCAGCCAACATACGGGTGGGCGAAGATGTATGCTATCAGATTTAGAGCGTCCATGCACGGAAAGAGGTCAAGTATGTAAGGCCATTCTAGTAGACTGGATCGGTGCTCTCTCCTGAACGCCAACATTATAGACAACTCGGCTGAACAAGCCTCTTTCCAAATACACCGGCCCTATGTGCTACTCGCCCAAACATCCTCTTTACCGAGCGCAATCTCCACCGCCTAGCTATTCCGAGACTTGTAGCGTTCTATGCCGCTCATTCGCCTGAAATCATGACACATATGCCTGCACAGCGGGTCAGGCGAACGCAGGCTCGAAACAGTCTTCCTATATGCCATGTTGAGTGATGTTCGTCTAGATGTGGGTGCGATACGAGCTTTTTGTCATGCTCGGAGTGTACGGACGATGTCACCGAGATATGTGATCATTCTAGAGCCGCCATCAGCCTGCACTATGATCTCAAAGCGCCCTAAGTAGTGGGGAGATGGCTGATGCAATGCACCTCGCAAATGAACAACCTGAAACACGGTGCACCCGTACCTGACGACGGCGCGTACCGGATGTTTGTGTCTTTTCGTTTCTTCTGCCTTTCCACACCACCGTTACTAATCACCATGGGCGAATCCCACCAGCAGCCCCTTCCCCCCCAAATCTCCTGCCCCCAAGCCCTCGTCCTCACACCCCAACCTCCACACTGTTGTGATATGTCTGGGAAGAAAGGAATGCGGAGATGGCCGCTGGACGTCCACGCTGGAGTGTTCAATAGTAGCTTTCGATATGACACCCTCACCCATCCACCTGGGACGCCTGTGATCCGTGGGTCACCCCCCTTAGGGCTGCCGTCTCCTCGGTACCCCCTCTCACCGGCGCCCCAAACTATCTCCCTTGGCCCAAGAAATTGACAAACGTTTTGTCTGGGGTCCGGGATTGTCTCTGTCTGCTGGCAGAGCCCCCTACCTCCTTGGCTACCACTACTCCCTCCACCACAGCAGAGCCTCCTACCGCTACCACTACTCTCCCCTCCACATCTCTCTCTGCAAAGATCTGGAAGCACCTCGACACGACTCTTGCTCTTGCTCTCGTGGCCTCCCTCTCTGAATCTATCGTCCTCGATTATCCCTCTCGCGCCGCCCGCACCCTCTGGCTCAAGCTGGAGGTCGATTGCGGTACTCGATCATCCTACGGTCTGTGGCAGTCTGTCCAGGCTCTCACCCCCCAGTCCCAGGCCTCTACTCCGGTGACAGAGTTCATGACGTCCCGCAAGCAGAAGTTCGAGGCGATAAAGTCTGCCGGGTACAATTTCGACCGGTGATTCTCGCCTTTCTCGCCGGGATGAAACAGCACAGCAGAGCGAACTGTCAGTTGGCGCGCCCGTCAGCCCCTTGAACCCCTTGGACCCCGATTCACCGTGGCTTGTATAGTCTAGGGAGCGATGAAGTACTATGTGGAGCGCGTAAGTATAATTTGAGACCTTCGTGCATAAGGGAGAGTGTACTCGTACCAGCTGACGCTCTTTGCAAGTACCAAGACCACCAGTCTTTTGCAGCTTCCCAGCCGCCGCCTCCTCAAATCAACACCGGCGTCAGCACTGCCGTTCTTTCTGGGACGGGTGAAGCCACCGGCTCGTCTATCACCCAAGAAGGCCATTCCAAATCCCCGCCGACAGCTGCTCATTTCCTACTAGCGTCCCCCAATCCGTCATACCTTTTCCAGGAGTCAGTATCTCCCCTGCCGCGTCCACGACGAGTCATCACCACTCTGGACCGACGAGCACCATCCATGAGCAGTATCAGCTCCCGTCTTCTCTTGGTGTCGACCCTTCCATACCAGCCTTCTTCCCTCCATCTGCCTTTGCCCCTTCTGCCTCAGGCGCAGCGCAGTACGCATCTGGGTGGCTGACACCTCAGCAGGGTTCGAACGCCCTGCCCGGCTACAAGCCGCCTTTGCCACCGACGCGTGGGTCGATGTCTGATGCAGACGTCGAGAGGGCAAATACGGAACTTGGGTACTAGATCGGCCCCCATTATGGACACACCACCAAACCCCACCTTTTTCCGATCAAGCTCACCCATCGAGAAGGTACAATGTGGAATGACTACCTCGCTATCCACCGAACCATGTTCCAGTCGAGGCTCGACTACTATCGCAAGGAAGAGTGTACGGAGGGTTGTCTCGCCATGCAACAGGAGCTGGTGCTCTTGCATGCGGACTGGCGGATCTCAGTACTTCAGAAGAAAGTGGAAAGGAGACGACTGAAATATGGATCGATGGATGGCAAGGTAGTTGTTTCACATCGTACCTTCTCGTTGGGTGAGCTTAATCGGAAATAGGTCGGGTTGGGTGGTGCGTCCATAGTGGGGGCCGATCTGATACCGAAGTTCCTTGTTTGCCCTCGCGACGTCTGCGGCAGACATCGATCCAAGCGTCGGCGGCAAAAGCGGAGTACGAGTACTCGTACAGTATGAGTGAACGCTCTCGGCTTCATACAAGACATCGGGTATATTATGGCATGAATAGCATTACTGAAGAGCCCTGCGTCCAACGTTGCATTGTTGATTACGTCTATCTCGACCCGATAGTCATCTCCAAGACTAATCGACACTATCCAACCTTTTACGCCACTTCAAACAAGCCATGTTGAGTGATGTTCTCTTGTTTGCAATGATAGGGACAGAAGATTTTGGTCACCCTTGGCATGCAAAGAGACATGAGCGATGTACAGCATGGTCCTCGAGTTCTGTATTGGCATGCATGCGCATCTCAACAGTAACTGTTACAGAGAATGAGCGCGTCACGTTGTGATGGCAGAACACGATGCGACCATACCTGATCAAGACGCGTCGAATCAGGCCTGTGCATGTTTGTGTCTCTTGTTCTTCTTCCTCTCCACACCACTTCTACGCGTCTCCACGAACGCTGCGTCCCATCCGCCATTTCCTTGTCCTTATCCACCCTCCCCAATCCCCCTGCATTTCTGGCTCTCGCCGACCACCCATAACCGCGCGACAGGGGAGCGACGAACCTTCGAATCGCACCGCCACCATGCCCACCCCACCCGATTTCAACGACCAGGTGCCCCAGGATTATCAAGAGTTCTTCGACTGGGACCCCTTGTACCGGGACGTCGGCATGCGCCCAGAAGACGAGCTGGCACTGTGACAGGAACCCGTTGACCCGGTAAAGTTCACTTCAGGTGCCGGTGAGAGTCTTCGCTGACGCGGATTGGAAGACCGACAACGTACACCAACCCGAGCCCGGACCCTCCTCTCGCATCCTGCCTCTTGCGCCCGCGCCCCATGCCGACCGTATGGATTATCCTGCCCCGGACAACGCTCATGCTAGTGTTGGTCACTTCGTCTTATCACAGCAACCTGCGTCTGCTGCCGGAGTACAGCTCAGCAATCCCCCGATGAGCTCGGACGCCAACACACTACCCGGCTACGAGTCGCCTCCTCTGTCGCTGGATTCTTCCGCCTTATCTCCTCATTCGACCTTGGATCAGCCCCACAAATTACTTGGATACCGCGACGGCCCCTATTATGGGGGGTCTACCAGGAACCCCCTTTTTCCGTCCAAATTCCGCCATGACGCGCCTTTCATCAAGCCTCTCTACCGCGCCATCCACCGGACTGCATACCAAATTATGCTCCGTGACTACGCCAACGAAGCGCCTGCTAGGCAGCAAGAGTTGGCGCTGCGTGCAGCGAATGCTCAGCTTTCAGAGATAATGAAGGGCGTCGAGCAAGACTACGCAAGGACTGCGAGGCGTTTGGAGATAAGAGGGGAGCTCATAAGATTGGTGGTCCCAAAAGCAGAGAGAAGCGCGCAGAAGGTTGCGGAGGATGCACTACAGGAGCTGCAAGACAAATTCAGAGAGACATGAGTGGCGACTGGAGGCGGGTTTACGAGGGCAGAGTTGCATAGTGATGTTTGATGTTTCTTGTCGGACGTGTGGATCAGAAAGCTTAGCACGCTTATGTATATATGTTCACGTGTCTTCTTGGACCGCTTGGACAGAGTAACTAGGCTCACTGCCCCCGACACCCCCCACCTCCCATTCGTCTTCCGGCAATGCCTCCGGTCCCCTCGACAGGAAAGGCGAGCGACCACCGATGAAGTACCCCTCATAGCGAGAGGCGGATTCGTCCCCTTTGTGTTCTCCAGCAGGGGAATGACATGGAAGGGGACGGTGGAGAGGCTGCGAAGGTGGGGGCAGGAGATCGGTAAGAAAGGGATGTTGAGGCTTGAGGAACGGATCGGGCTAGAACTCATGCAGAGAACGAGAGAGCTACAACACCGGGCGATCAGATTGAACCCCCCTTGCAGCACCGAGAGGAGGACCGTCAGTAGTCTACAGTGGATCAGTCTGACACTAGCCTCTACCCAAGCCACCACGAAAGTCGACCAGTTGAGTCATCTATGGGAGAGATGAGCGCTCTGGAGGAAGCTGGAAGAGCGAGTGAGCAACTGGCAGTTTCTAGCCAGGACCAACGAGCAGAAAACATGAAATACTTGTATGTAGCGAGCGAAATACTACATGAAAACCGTGACTCACAAGCAGGTACGTACATGGTACGAAGATGGACAGCCGCGGGGGTATAACAGATCTCCGAAAGCCACAATATGCAAATAAAAAGCGATGCCGCTGACACTCTGCATATGAAAGAGACAAGCAATCATAAGCAGGTTGGCGATCGGTTATATCTTTGTGACATGAGTGCCAAACAGATTCTGCTCGGGAACTACGATTATCAATGGGCTTTCGGTAATAGGCGTCGCAGTGTATTGCTGATGTGGCGATTTCCGCATTGCGCGCCTCCCGTCCCGCTCTTCTAAGGCTTGCATAGGGTGCTTATAAGCTGTTTTTTCCCTTTGATTATCTGACAACCACTTGCCACCCTCAAACACCACCATCGCAATAATGAATCAAACAAACTCCAAAATATGCTCTTGTGCCAACACCAACATCTCTCTTCCCATCTACGAAATCTCATCTCTCTCTATCCTCCCTCCCGAGTTGCGGAATCTTGTCTTCAACTTCTTGGGCTCGGAAACATGTAACAACCACACCCTCACCCTCGCTTACCTTTCGAAGGCGCACTATGCCGCTTTCATCCCCCGACTGTACAGGCGTATCAACATTACGGATGAGATCATTGAAAGAGGCGTATTCGAAGGTCTCCTGCGTGGACCTCATCAGTGGGAGACTCAACTTGGTGAACTACCCTTGCCAAGTAAAAGCGACCTGCTGATGACATGCTGCCAATCACTGGTTCTCGAGTCATTGTGTGCCTGGTATGCCATTACAGACGCGATACAGGCGTGGGATCTGGCCCTTGGGGATCGCTGGTGCCAGATCACTATGGGAGAGGAAAGGAGATACAGCGGCCTCTTCACCAACCTGGCTCATCTGGCTTTTGAGGCAGACTGTATTGAGGGTATCTGCCGAAAAAGATCTCTCCCACCGCTTGGCCAGAGGGCGACTTTGTATCTCTGGAACCTTTTTGCCGTCTGCTTTCGTCTCCCTGATCATATTTCCGAAGAAGTACTGGGAAACATATCGAACATCATACACTACTATCAAGGGTTCGGGCCTAATCCAGCGACCTGTGTCACTCGTGTCCAGAACGTCAAGTCGACTCCGCGAATGGCGGGCGTCGATGTCCTTCACCTCTTAAGTTGTTCTGATACGATGTTTGTTGACTTGCTGCCCATCGATTTCGACCCGGGTGTGACTACCGTGGTACATCATGCGGACGATATCGTCCAATTTTGTGTGAATTTCATGTCTCAGTGGCCACTCCCCGAAAGGTAAGCTCTGTTTGCCCACCATTATCACTGTCGGGTATCGACCGAAGCGGAGACTCACGTCCGCATTAGCCATAGGAAAATGGCACCATACCCAAGGAACATCATCTTCACCGGCATGGACACCGTCCACTTCCCTGACGGCTTAATCCACTGTCTCTCACCCAGCATCAAGCAATCCGTACTCGATACTGTCGAGAAAAGCATTCGACAGAGGGTCCGAGTGGGTCTGCAGGACAGAGCACCGCAGAGTGTAGGGATGGAGGATATGATCCAAGTTCGGGGTTACGAGGAGTGCGAGTTCTGTCCAAAGGCCTCTCGCGAGGTTGAGCAAGGGGAATGGCTGCTGCCGATGCAAGATGCTGCAGAGATCGCCGAGGATAAACAGGAAAAGGCTTGTCCTCAGAAAGAATATGATGATGGAGAAACTTGGCAGATTGCCGTGTAGTGTTTGTACTCGAGGACACACTGCACCCTGAGCTTCCAAATAGACTCAATCAGTGCCGCAAATAACCAAGGATATATGTCATGAATAGCATTATCAAAGAGCCCTATATAATAAGAAGGAGAACGAGTCAAAAGCGGCCGAAACTTCCCTTTTCTTTATGTCTATCTCATCGCCACAGCCATCCCCGCCGCTAATCGACTCTGTCCCGCCTTATACGCCGCTTCAAACAACAAGGATCTCTTCGCCGGCAAAGGCGGAGCGGGGGTAACAATGGAGGCCAAGGAAGTACCACATCCAGGCGCTGGAGTACCCATGATGATACACTCAGAGACACCTTGAATCTCATCCTTTTTGGAGAACAGCGAAGCATCAAACTGCAGGCAAGTCAGCTTTTCGAACGGCAACTAGACAGATGAAGGGGCGCACCAAGTGATCCGTCGTCTTCTCGAAACTCGCCAGCATCAACACTGAATCCTTCATCTTCTGCACGCCGAACCTCGTAATACCCAACACCTCTCCCTTGTACGTCATGACATCTCCCAGCAACATGACGTGTCGAGGATCAATCGACATTCCGTGTGACTGCATTGTTGTTTGAATCTCGTTGTAGATTGTTTGTCGCGCCGCCTCAATACCCAGGACCTGCTGCGTCTCCATAACGTGGTTTGTCTTGGTCATGAGACCGTTGACACCCTCGGTACCCATGACTTCGGAGAGACCGTAACCAGTGAGAAGCAGGCGGTGGTAGGCGTCATTCTTTTCGTCTTTCGATACAACACCACGGTCGACGCCGGGAAGACCCTTGATCTGGACAGACGGAATGGCCCGTTTGAGGAATTTGAGGCGTTCGTAGATACCATTGCCCTTGTCCTTGTCCTTGTCGACTTCGTCGATCCATAGACGGACTCGGCTGGTCTTGTTGGAGATGTGAATAGACTAAGAAACCATATTAGGGATGGTGCTAATAGGCGAGAAGAATGACTTACTCCTTCTGGAATCTTGAGTTTACTGGCGCGTACTAATGACCACTTGATTGACTCCAGGGTAACCTCCAACTGCAAACGACGCACAGCTTCCATGTCGATATGGACCTCGATGTATGCGTTTGCGTTCGTCCAACTCTCTTCAATCACCGACGCAATCTATAATATATCAGCTGAGCCGTTCACGGATCGCGTATCACCACTCACATCTCCCAAGATAGTCTTCTCCACACGTCCCTTCACGATCCTCGCCGCCGTCTCGCTCTCAGGGATGTTCAACTCGGCCGTGACGATCGGCGTACTGATGACCTTGGCGGCGTTGATAATCTCCTTGATACGGGGCACACCCAAAGTGACGTTCATAGAAGCGACACCGGCGAAATGGAAAGTCTTCAAGGTCATCTGGGTACCGGGTTCACCGATAGACTGAGCGCCGACGGCACCGACGGTAGAACCGGGCTCGATCTTGGCACGGAGGTAACGGATACGACAATTCTCAAGGAAGGAAGTAAGTTGCTCTTCAGTGACCTTGTTGGCGTTTTCGAGCACTCGCGACACAGCAGCTACCAGTATGTGTTAGTTTCGCCTACTACCAAAAAATCAATCGACTTACGGTCGTCCGAGTTGAGCAAAGACTCATACTCTTCGGCCATCTCCTCATCATCTGCATCCGGCAGCCCTCTCATCAACCTCTGCTGCATCATCGGCTTCACAATCTTGTCCACCACAAACCGATAAGTGATCTCTCTGAACTTGTAGTGGCACCCTTGCCATTCTTGCGGCACAGCGGGGATCTCAGGAGGGGGTGGAGGAGTAGAGGGAGCGCGCTGGCGTCGACGGTTGTTTTGGGGAGGGGGCGTGGGAGGTGCAGGCGGGATGTAGGACTCGGGGTAGATTCGGGCGGCGATTTTGCGTACTTCATAGGGGTAAAGAGCCCGTCCCTTGTTTCCTGTGATTCTCTGGAGTCCCTATTAGCTCTCTCCTATCCTTTTCCAAAACGAGATTTACCCGAGCATGCGCCCAACTCCTAACATACTCCACCGGCGTCGCATCACCTTCCAAGCACGCTGGATCCAGCATATCATCACCATACTGGAATTGCACAATTCCTCCAACACTATTCCTCACACTCAAGTCGTAGTGCGTACACAAATCTTCCAACGCCTTCATCAACCTTCGCGCCATGTAACCGGTTTCGGCAGTTTTGACGGCAGTATCGACAAGACCTTCACGACCAGAGATGGCGTGGAAAAGGAATTCGGGAGGGGTAAGACCTGAGAAGAAAGAGTTGCGGACGAAACCCTTGGAAGGAGGGTTCTTGGACTTCTTTCGGAAATGGGGGAGGGATCGATCTTGGAAACCGTTGGGTACACGAGAACCAGCAATAATTTGTTGACCGACACAAGCAACCATTTGGGCGACGTTAATAACGGAACCTGCAACGTGTCAGCTTTAATTTGATCCACCCGTACCGAGCTAGAACTCACCTTTAGAACCACAGGTAGCCATGATAAGTGGCGCATTGTGCCTACTGAGCTCCTGCATACACGTCTTTCCAACAGCCTCTCGAACGTCTGAAAGCGTCTTTGAGATCTTCTGCTCCAACGTCGCTTCCTGATCACATCCCGGCGAGTTCTCCAACCGACCCTTCTTGGCCAATTCGATAAAGTTGTCACAGTCCACGTACGCCTTCTCGACACGAGCATCTTTGGAAGCGTGGAGGATGGGACCGGGGATAACGTCGTTGATACCGAGAGAGAAACCAATGTTGGCGAGCCAGCGGGCAGCGAGCTTGGCCAGTCGGTTCATCGCATTCGCCGCTTCTTCCGTTCCATAATCTCGCAAGATGACACCAAACACGGAATTCTTCTTTCCGTCTCCGACCGTATTCTTGTCGAATACGCCACACATGATCTCGCTGTTCTGGATCACGAGGTACCCATCGTTCGGAGACATGTCTGGCGGGAAACGGTCCTCCTTGGCGGGGTCATGCTGCGTTCGACACTTGGCTTCCAAGTTGACAAGCACCTTCGAATCCTTGTTCGGCCTCATTAGCAGATTGAAGATCTGCTTTCCGGTCCATAGCCGCTCTGGCTTCCAGATGGTAGGTGGGGGCAGCTCAATCTTCAGGTTCGCATCTCCGAGATAGGAGGCAATTTGAGTGAATTGTTGGCGGTCGTAGAACCTATCACGGCGGGAGAGGAGGTAGGAGGCGGTGATGAAATCCTGAATGGCAGCAATAATGGGTTCACCGTTACGGGGAGTGACCAAGTTTTTCTTGACATTCATGAGTTCGAGAGCCTCAGTTCGAGCTTCTTCGGTCTGAGGAACGTCTAGAGAAAAGTCAGCAGGTAAACTCTGCATTCGGAAGCACGACTTACGCAAGTTCATCTCATCACCGTCGAAATCGGCGTTGTAGGGGTTACAAACACACTCGTTCAACCTGAACGTACGCCAAGGACGGACTCGCACTCTATGAGCCATAATGGACAGTTTGTGCAGTGACGGTTGTCGGTTGAAAAGAACGATACTGCGTTGTATCAGCGCCCCATCCCCGTCGGCATCAAGTTGACTTACTCTCCGTCCCTCACGTGCCTATGCACGACATCTCCAATCTGCAAATCCCTCGCCCACCTAACCCTCGCCTCCTTCTCCTTCATCACATGCATCGCAATCCGCATCGTCCCCCCGTTATCCATCTTCCTCTCCAACACATTGGCTCCTGGGTGCAGCCTCGATCCATTGATCACCGCCTGCCGCATCGCCTCCATGTTGTAATCCGTCACCCTCTCTGGGTAAGAGAGTTTGACCGCGACTTTTTCGGGGACGGCGACTTCGTCGATACGGAGATTGGGATCGGGACCGATGACGGTTCGGCCGGAGAAGTCGACACGTTTTCCGGAAAGGTTTCCTCGAAAACGACCTTGTTTTCCTTTGAGACGTTGGACGAAGCCACGGATGGGCTTGCCGCCGACGGCTTGCATACCGGGGGCCTGAGAGTTGATGTATAAGGCGACAGCTTGGCCTAGAACTTCCCAGTTTGACTGTGAAGTGTTAGCGGAGCACGTCACGTACAATTGTTGAGCTTACGGAGATCATTTCAATACCTCGACCGAGATCCATCATCAACGCCAGTGTGTTGTTGTAGTTTACAATTTCTGCGAGCTTGGCGGTCAAATCGTCCTCGTTGCTGGTCCAGGTCAGCATTCAGCCCATATACAACATATCTGTACTCACTTTCCAGCCTCTGAAGCAACAGAGGGCCTGATACAAGGCGGAGGTACAGAAATGTACTGCCAGAGATAATCCTCTGGTCGACCAACTTCCGGATGTAGCGACAACAACTCGCAATCCTCCGCGGTCACCCTCTCAAACAGATTCAACACCTTCAACGGATTCAGATCATCCACCGCCTTGCTCAAGTGCGTCGCCACCGCCTGATTCTCCGCTACCGCGCTCTTGAAAGTCGCCATCCACTCGTCCTTCATATTCGCCATCTTGGCTGCGCGATAGGGTTCGTGGCTGATCTTGAGCGGCCCGGACTTTTTGACAACACCGTTGGGAGCGGAACAGTAGGGACAGATGTTGACCTTTTTGCAGGCGGCGAGCACGGCTTTGGCTGCCGATTGTCGTTGGAGGGATTCGAGGTTGGGACGACGGAATCGTTTGAGGAAGGTGCTTCTTTCGCCGGCAGGGAGAAGTACTCGGGCGCAGGTCTAAATAACTGTGAGAGTCGATCGAATGAAGCTGGGAAAATACTCACTTTGCAGACACATGAAAGCATGTTAATAGTGGGCCTGAAGTATCCAATATGGAATACTGGCAGCACCAGCTTGATGTAACCATAGTGTCCTACACACTTGGCGGCTTCTTCACCACAAGTCGCGCACTTTTTGCCCTTCTCATTCGGACCCTTCGTGTTTATCAGCTTTTGAGCTCGAATCAACAGCTGGATGAACTCACCATACGCGGATCTAGAGGTCCTTGTGTCGCAGTGACCCTCGTTCCATCTTCGTTGTTCTGATACAGCTCGGCAACGCTGACCTGGACCTCGGAGATACGAACGATATCCTTGGGGATCAAAGGCTGAAACTGAATATGTTTTCTGCACGAGGTCAGTAGCATCCCATACATGCAAGCCATCACTTACATTCTCCGAGGGACATCAGACGAAACATATTGCTTGTCCTGCTGGTCCACCTCGACCCAGTTCATCTTGGCCCTCTCTTGCGTGCTGTTGCCCGAAGTTTCGCTTTTATATGGTCGAGATGAGTCGAGGTTGAGCTGGTCGGGGGCTGGATGCTATAGACCGGATAGTCGGGACGTGGGCGATAGGGGAGCTGTTGGATGCGGTGTAAATCAACAACTCACAACTTTGGCGCTCTCGCAGATTCATTCCTCCCGACTTTTTGGGTTACGTAACCATCTCGGCGCACGCCGCGTCGCTTCAACACCTCCACTTTCTCTCTCTGCTTTCTTGCTGCTTTCTGGTTCACTTGAGTCCACAATTGAACCAGACTTCTCGCATTCAAGCAGATCATACCATCACCATGGCCGCTGCTATATCTCAACTACCGAGCTCCGATCTCTCCCACTTCTCAAGGAAGCAGCACCTCGCCCAAACCTTCGAAGCCTACCGAGCCGAGCTCGACGATGAAGTCTGTCCTTTTCTCTCCGCTTGCTACCAAGCACTGACACCACCCAGAATGCTCTCAGGGAATCACTGATAATCCTCTCCCGCTCCATCACCCAGCTCTCCAAGAAACTCATCTTCCACCTTCACCGCGGTGCCACCCTGCCCACCCCTGCCCAGCGTCAGAAGAATCTCGAACAAGGCAAAGGCAAGGAGAGAGAGATTGCGCTGCTTTTTGAGCAGATCAGAGATAAGCTGCGGAAGGCGAATAAGCGAAGTGGGATGAGAAAGGGTGGAAAGGGTGAGGAGGAGAGGGAGGTCAGGGAAGAAGAGGAAGAGGATGGATGGGAGTGGGGTTTCTGGAAGTGGAGAAAGTCTGTGTGAGTACAGAGCTCCAAGAACATGCGGAGATCGTAACTGAAATCTCGAAGTACACCTGGACTAGAAGAGTACATCGAAGGTCTCTCGTTCATGTGGTATCTCGAACACGGCAGCCTCGTCTCTCTCGAAGATGTCCAAAAAGCCGTGTCTGATGAGAACGGCCAGCCGGTACGTATCCCTCTCTCAACGCCTCTGCTGTCTGCTGACCATCTGTGTAGTACCTCGTCGTCACACCAGAAGACTACATCCTCGGTATGTCTGACCTCACCGGCGAGCTCATGCGATACGCCACCAACGGTATGCCCCATTTGCCGACTCTTCACCTTCCTGCCCCTGCTGACGAAACGTAGCTCTGGGTACTGGCGACCACGAAACACCGTTAGCAGTCTGCGACTTCGTCCGAACAGTCAAAACCCGTACGTCCCTCTCTCCTTCCCCTTTCGCCTCGCAGAAGACTAACACAAAGGCCAGACTTTGACGCCATTAACCCCGACTCTCTCAGGCAACTCTCAAAGAAACAAGACGAGACCCAACGCTCTTTGGAGAAGATCGAAAAAGGTGCGTTCCCACCGCCCTTTTCATGACTTTTGGAAGTGACATGTGGCTGACGAGGTGATAGTCTGCTACGCCCTCCGCCTTCGACTTATCGAATTTGCCGACCGGCCTGATATCCTCGCGCAGATGGCAAAGAGGGCGTTGGATGATGTTGCTGATAAGGGTGGGAGTGGACCTGCTGCTGAGTAATACTCAGGCTCGAGAGACATGCGCAGGGTATATGAAGGGAGCCGGAGAGAATACAAGACCAGCAGCATCGACAGATATATCGGCATCATTTGTACAGTAATCATACAGGCATCTGGCTGTGGACGAGTATCATATGTACTGAAACAAGATTTTCATTAGACTATTGCAACGCTACATAACAACAGATACCCCGAGATACCCAAAGACGATACCATACTCGTGCCCCCAAGAAGACAATCCCAAACAAACTTCTAACGATCATTCTATTCAACCATTATACCGGAACACCAGAACCATCAAGCCTCCAAGTCCCATCAGACAAGCCCCATCAGACCTCTTAATCCCCGCGATCTAAGCATCCGCCTCCCTCTCATCCAAGCTCCTCCCCGCGATATCATGTTTCGCATCCCAAGCATCCACCTCATCATTCTTCACCTTGATGATCTGGTGCGTGACAGCCCCATCTGGCAAGGTGACGACAGTTTGGCGGAGCTGGTAGTTGCCCCATTTGGGGAGCCAGCGGGTCCAAACGAAGAAGTAGAGGGCGCAGGTAGCGATGCTATTTCCTTGTCAGCGTAGTCCTGGATCACAGATGGGGAAAGGGAAGGGGACTCACATTCCGATACCAGTCAAGCTACTCGAAGCGTAGAAGAACGAGTAACTGCCTCCATTGAGACCGCCGGGAGGAGGCACCCAAGGCATGACCAGCAAGAAGATGTTGCTCGCCAAGAAGAACAGAACGACAAACGTCCACGAGCGGTACTCGGAAGGAGGCAAATTGAGCCTTGCCCTACGACGGCGGACGATGAACAGACCGACGGTCATGAGGGCAAGGAAGAAGGATGAGGGGTAATTGGAAAGAGCGACGACTGATGAGGATGTCAGCTTTCGAGCAGAATAGAGTTGGAAGAAGGGAAACGTACTGAAACTGAAAGCATCTCCAGCAGGGGCCGCCACGACGACGATGAAGGATATGATGTAGATCACGATCAACGCCCCAGTGGGTGTCCCAAAAGGCCAAGTGTATACCCAGAATCTGGGCCAGGGCAGAACGCCCTGCCTACCAATCTCACGGATCATACGAGAGTGGCCAACGATGACGTTGACAATGTTGGAAGCAGCCGAGAGAACGGGGAGGATAGTAAGAGCTTTGGAGGCTTTAGAGCCAAAGATCTTGTTCCAGAAGACGGTGGCGGTGACTTGGGTGGAGTTTGTGATCTCAGACTTGGTCACTGCCCTTTTGTTAGCCATGAATGAGACAGAAGGGGATAATGACTTACAGACTGCAAAGTATCCAATGTTGGTCAAGATGTACAGGATGGCCACAAAGATGACCGCAGTGTTCGCTGTCCTCTTGATAGTCTTGATAGGGTTCTTGATCTCATTTGCCAAGTTGAAGGAGTTGGTGTAACCGCCATAAGAAAAGATGATGTTGACGAGCGCATTGGAGAGGTTGTACCCATTGGAGGACATGCCCTCGAAGGCGTTGTGAAAGTTGGCGGTAGGCTCGGGGACGGATTTGAAACCGCCGCCGAGGGCGACGAAGCCGGGGATGATGATGAGCAGAAGGGTGATGATCTTGAGGACACCGAGGGTGTTAGAGATACGGAGGGACGCGTTGGTACTGAGCCAGACAGCTGTAGATGGGTCAGTAAAGCGATGGCAGGGCTGGTGAGGACGTACGCAGAGTACAAGCAGTGAGGACCGCGATTCCGACACCTTTGGATTCCCAGTCGGTAGCGGTGTGGTCGGTCATTCGGAAGATGTATTGAGCGACGACTAAAACACTGTCAGCATGTCTCGAGCAATGACAGACACGGCAACTCACCGATCACGTTGCTGGACACGAAAGACAAAATGACTGTCTGGATGGCAAAGGCGATAGGGAAAAAGTACCTGGGCTTCGTAAAGGCTTGCTCAAGGTAGACGACCTCGGCACCAGATCGAGAGGGAAAGTAGGATGCAAACTCGAGGTAAACGGAGATACCAGCGAGAGAGATGAGGAGACCAATGGGCCAGTAGCAAAGGGCGAGACCGACAGAGCCGAGGTTCTTCAAGAGGGAAGATGCTAGTGTATTGATCAGCCTCTGCATGAGTTACAGAAAGAATTGACTCACGGAAAGAGTAGATACCAGTTCCAATCAGCATCGTGATGTTGAGAAACAACGCCGACCACCATCCCACACTGTAGCCTAACGGGTTCTTACCCTCCACTGGCGCACCATAAGCATCTTGGTAGGTTGCTTGCGCACCGTTACCACCCTGTTCGCCGACAAACTTGAGATCATTGTCGACAAAGTACTGAGGGCGAGCGACGTCGTCTTCCTGTCCTGCCGTGAGGATGGGGTAGACCGGGGGCGGGGAGACGTCCTTTTTCTCGTCGTATGATGAGAACGACATTTTGAGCTCGATAGTTTGCTTGTGGGAAAAGCTGGCCATTGCGAAGATAGAGATTTTTGTATGAATGAATCTGGAGGATGTCTTGGCTGAGCCGTGAGGCATTTGTAAAGAGGAATGACGCAAGGCTTGCTACGGGACAGGTAATACTCGGTTGACTGCCGTCTGCGTCTGAGAGTTGATCAATAAAGCTGCAAGCGACCGAGATCAAGTATACCTCGCGTCCCGCACCGGCACAACTAGATGGCGATATCCAGACCAAGAGCAGGGCGAGCGGTGGAGCAGGTACGACACGTCACAGCCGACCAATAGGATCCATCGGAAGTAAGCAGAGTACCGTCAGCCGCAGTACAGACACGACAGATGGTGTCAGCCGGCAGGGCCTCGTCGATGAGTGATAAGTCAGTTTTCGTGCTAGTGCATGACTTTGCACGTTGCCTGCTCTGTCGTGCTCACTTATCAGCCAAGGCACCATCATTAGAGTTCAATAATGTTACGTGCCTCAGCCGTTAATGCTCGGTCTTTTGCGAGAAAATTAGAAGCCGAGACTGGACGGAACCAGATCCCACAAGGTAAAGCATGAAATGCAAAAAGAGGAGAATTGATTGCGATCATGTTCGTGCTTTCCGTCCACGGACAAAAAAAAAAAAAAAAAAAAACAAGAACCCGTCTCGCGGCAAGGCACCGTGCGGCGTGCCTTCAGCTGGCATTCGGGCAGCCGATGTTGTGTTGCGATTGGCGCTGCACCGGCTTTGGCGGAACTTGGATTGTGCATGAGCAGCATGACCGCCATGATGAGCCGAATCTGAGCTGTGTCAAAGCTTTGCAGCTCATTCAGCCGGAATCATGCCTATTGGGAGAACAGCGATAGGATCAGACCTTCCATCACAGATCTTCAGGCGTGGATTATAACTAACGACAGACACCACATCATCAACATGCATACTAGACTTGCGACATAACTATCACAGTGTCCGACAGGATACGACGGCCTTCTTCACGACACAATACCAGTATGGTGGTCCTCCAGAGCTTGCCACCTCTCTGGCTTCCATGCTTTCCTCACGACAAACATCTCTCACCCATAATTATCACGTCTCCCTGTCAGACACGTCTCGACTTCGTCTGTGAGTCGTGCACTCTCTGCCTGGAAGATCGCAAGCGACATGATGCCCGCAGACGACGGCAGCAACAACCTAGCCGCCCCCGACGTCACCGCAGCTCTCTCACGGACATAGGTCAGCCGCCCACTTACAGGCCGCTTCCATACCTCCTCGTCCCCAATGGCAACTTTCCCACCACCACGATACTCGCACCGGCGAATTCAACTTGGCGTTCGAAGCAAATGTAGCGCCGATAGGCGTCGAATCGTCGCTTGTTGGGGAGAGAAGTGGGGAGATTCAGCACCGAGCGGCGCTACATTTGTTTCGAACGCCAAGTTGAAGTCGCCGGTGCGAGTATCGCGGTGGTGGGAAAGTTGCCAGTGGGGACGAGGAGGTACGGAAGCGGCCTGTAAGTGGGCGGTTGACTCATGTCCGTGAGAGAGCTGCGGCGACGTCGGGCGTGGCTGGGTTGTTGCTGCCGTCGTCTGCGGGCATCATGTCAACTTGCGCTTTTCCAGGCAGAGAGTGCACGACTTACAGACGAATTCTAGAGAGCATGAGTGGCCAGGAGGCTGGCGGCGATATCCATGGGTTTCGCTCTAAGAACCTGAGCTGCGGCGGCCATAGGGTGGGGGGCAGCAGAGGACGGCTGGTGGCTTGGGTGTTCAGCGTGAGGTGTGTGTGCGCCAACATCCCCGGCGGTGGTGGTGGGAGCAGTGGGAGGAGGGTGGTAGGGCGAGGAAGGGGTGAAGAGTCGCAGGCCGGATACTTTGGAGGCGGGGGAGGGTCCATGTTGATTTGCGTAGTGTGGAAAGGAAGAAGAAGAAGAGATTAAAATACTCGGGTGCCCCCCACTCGACGCGCCGGGACGCCTCGTGTTTTGGAATCATTCAACATGAGGCGTCTTTCATCTCAGCGAGCAGCCGTACTCCATCTATCACTTTCACATGAGTGCTTGATGAATGTATGTAAGTCGAGGATTATGGAATGTCTGTCACACGTAGTAAATCCCCGAGGTGGCAGTCTGATATGTACACCGAGAGTCAGTCCTTCAACAATCCACACAACTCCTCGCCAATGCCACCTCAGGGATGTACTAAGTGTGACAATGCCAGTCTACCCGTAAATTCACATCGTATTACGGAGAAACGGTCTATGATGATGATAAACAACGCAAAGCCAGAGAAGATATGGCAATTTTTATTACGCGCCGATACTTCATCTATCAATTGTGTAGGCATCATGTCCAGATACTTCCTTGCGCCCCCAGCAAGGCCTGCCATCCGCGGATTAGGACTGCAGTTGTGGAAGCGAGTCACGGTCCCGGATAACCATGGTCCAAAGTCCGGCAGGTAATTCCGAAAATCACCCCACCTCCCGTCAGACTTATCAATGCCAGAAGGAGTATGTGGAAGACGAAAACAGACGTTTGAAAGGCTCCGGAAATACAACGCTTTCCGCTTTCGCAAAGGGGCCATGTATGCCTGGCGAATCTCCTCGAAACAGTCAGGCTCGTAGGCCAGATGAACAACATTGTTAAGGAGGCTGCAGACCCTGCCCGGTACAATCCCTTTTGGGCGGTGGTCATCCACGTCCATCCCCCACGCCTCGAAGGCGTCATTAACGGCATTCCAGGCGGACACGGAATGAAAAACCAGCGACTCGCAGTGGTCGAGCAAGTCACTTTTACTGGGCAAGGGACGTTGCCCGGAATGCGTCCCAGAATGTTCAGACTCGGCCAAAAGACCATCGAACAAGCCTCTATCGATGATTTCGTCCGTCACTTCGATGCACTTATATACACGAGGGATAAATGCGGCATAGTGAGATTTTGAAAGGCGGGAGAGGGTGAGTGTATGTGTAGTGCAGGTACCTGCCGCTAAGAAGGCGTAGACAAGGTCTTGGAGCTCGGAGGGGAGACGAGGTGATCTCGTAGTCGGGAACTGAAAAGGTGCTGGCGTTGGCGCAAGAGCAACGTTTGTACGCTCGGGACATGTGGCGAGTATAAGATCGAGGTGACAAGGGGCTCAATAATGTGAAAGAATACGTGGGAGAAACTATAAGAACGAGCCCGGGTACTAGGGCGGCGGAGAGAAGATGGGGATCAGATCAACATCAACATTCCGCATGCAATCCGCTCGCGTTTTATGGTTCTTCCAACACTAGGTTTTGCGAAGGACGCTATGTGTGGAGGCGTGCCGGCTATGAGCACCTTAAAGCCTGGCCTTGCTGATTGAGACATTAAGACTCTAGCTTCCGCGTCCGCTGTTCAAACATGTGACGAGATACATGCGCAAACGCGTAAAGAAACTTGATGTATTGCCAGCCTAGATGTACACTCCCTTGACCGACATGCTACTCCCGAATGCGATTGCCTAATCCACTTTCCGATTCAAAACCAGCTCCCTACTCACACTATCCACGATCTTTCTCCTCGCCTCCACCATATTTCTCTCCCTCTCATTCCAATCGTCCATCGTCCCTATCTTTTCCACGCTTTTCTCCCTGTACATCCCAAGCAGCTCATCCATCCAACAATTCACCGCACGCGACCCGAGTTCCACCCGATTCCGAGGATGAAGACTTCTCGCTCTCCCAACTGCCGTTTCATCATGGGGCGATCCAACAACGTCGCTGAGGTAGTGTATCAATGTCACGTGGCTGTCGCCACTCGACCCAGAAATATCTCGAAGCATCTAGAATAATCTTTGCCACTCTGTTGGCCACTGTAGAAAACACTGGAAGGTCATGGAAAAGGATACGTAGGCTTGAGGCTGGATATAAATACCACACTCTTTCATAGCTTTTAGATACTCTGTCGATCAAATATTGTTGTCTCTCTTCAACACAAGCGTCCATGTCCTCCGGCATTGGCTTGGCTACCTCTCATGGACCTCAAGCCATCTCGACTCACCTCGACTACTACAAGGGCATCGCTAGAGGTCATGGACCCGTGTGACAATCAACAGCCCATCCAGATTCTTCGTCCCGAACGCTTCCCGCGCTACCACCTCCGTCACCCGAAGCACATCTTCTTTACTCCAGAACCACCCCAATTTCGGGTCCAAGGCCTCCTCGAGTGAGTTGACGGGAGTGCCAGTCATCGTGAAGGGTGGTAGAAAGCCGATGGGTATGTAGTTGCCGGTGTTGAATCTTTGGATGACGTTGTCGATGAGGAAGGCTGTGATGTAGCGATGGACGTCGCTGTTGGGGAGCTTGAATGAGAGAGCTGCTGTAGATCCGGATACTTTTGGTAGAGGGATGGATGAGAAGCCGCTGCTCAGACCAAGAGCGGAATATACCGTTGAGGCCACTGCTCCGGCGCCCTGTTGCAGAGGGCTGTCTGAGGTCCGGTGAACAGAAGGTTGATTGTTCGATGGTCCAGATACAGACACCAAACGGGTGCCCGGCTCAGCGCCATCTCTCAATATTCCCAGTGTTCGCTGATAGACCCCTCTCACATACACATCAACTTCATACTTTCCTCGTTCGGAAGCAACATCCTCTGCACACCCCAGCTCCGTCCAGCGCAACACCGCATCCCGGTATACTCGGTGAAAATCCTCCACCATGATATTGGCAGCTTACAGGCCAGCTGTGTTGATGCGCTCTTGGGTGTCTGCTGGCAGAGAGGAGGCGCTCTTACAGGCATTGGCGTAGGCGGCGTCGACAGCGAGTTTGATGTTTGACGCGAGCTGGGCATCGATGTGTGCCGTAGGAGGAGATGATCGGACAGGCGGTCGAGGGAGTACAGCATTCTGGGAGTATTGCGGTTCACTATCCACGGGAATATTCGAAAGCATAGGCTGGAAGACTTGCTGGTGCGTCGCTTGTGGGACAGGGAGAGACACAGATCGACCATGCTGTTTCAGAGGGATGGCGCTCTGGCTGATGGTGGATGTTGATAGACGAGGAGTGGCAGCGGGGTCGTCTTGCCAGATAGTCTCAAGTGGCGCTGGGTGCTGAAGAGAAGACGATTGACCTCCGCGATTGGTCATATCGAGAGACGAAGGAAGCGTCGGTGCTTGTGATGTGATTGTGGGTGGCGGCGATGTCACATCTGCGATACCTCCCCATCCCACTGCTTGATCTGTCCTCTGATCCACCGAAGGTCCGATCCACTCCCCATCCCAAACTCTTCTAGAAGCCGCAGATGCTTTCAAGACTGTATCCATGATTTGGTTGTATGCTTCTTCGTGAGAGTGCTGAGTACTACGAGAGGCGCGGTAGAATCGGGCGATGGCGTGGTGAAGGGAGGAGATGTTGGCCGCTTGACTGGACTTGGATTCAGGCGGTTCGTAAGCAGAGGAAGTTCCTTGCAGCTGTAGTTGAGGTAGGAAGACGGGAAGGGATATGGGGACTGACACCGTGATCAGCTTGGATCCCCGATCGATAGGGATGAAACTGACCTGCATCTCCCGTTACTCTTCTTTCTCTGTTTCTCCTGCCAGAGCTATTCGGCGTCGTCTTCCGATTACCGCTCCCAGATTGCTCCACCATGCTCTTCGATCTCGGCCTCTCTCCTCCTTTGCCATACGGCGTGCTTCTCTGGACTGACCTCTGTTAACGTCCTAGTTCCCGGTATCAGTCAACGTGTACTTCCAGACACACAGATGACCAGAATGGTGGGGAACTAGGGAGCGTAGCTATGAGAATATATGTATATGTGAGATAGAGCGGAAAGAAAGATATAAATAGGTAGGATGTACCGTAGTGAAGGTAACGGGACAAAGGTAACTGTTACGGGACCATAACGACCTCGGGTCTCTATCCCAACAACCTCTCCCCCACCGCCATACCGAGCCTGGACATCCCGCGCGCTGGGGTGTTGTGTTGTTGATTTGGTGTGTTGGTTACGATGTTTGTTTGTGCTTCTTGGACTGTCGTGGCGTGCTGTGAGGACAATCGAAGGTCTGCTGGGTTGACATGCTGGTATGGAGCGGTGTAGGGGGCGGACGAGGATGGCTCAGGTTGAAGAGCCATTTGTTGGCTGTACGCCTGCATAGATCCAGTCAACTTTTGCACCTTCCGACGCATCTCAGACTCACCGCTTCATGCAAGAAGGGCGTGGATGATTGAGTAGGTACCGACGGAGTAGCAGATGACAGGCTGAGAATGTCAGCCTTGGTATGAACTTTGGTCTCTCCGAAAGCGCCGTACAAGTTGAACGGCCTCGCTGTGGAAGGTGCAGTGGTATCGGGTTGAGAGGCGGTGCTGGGGTGGTGAATCGTGTTGTTGGTGATGGAGAGATCAGATAGATACGACTCTGCAGTATATGGATCACTATAGGACATTGCACTCAACAGCTGGGTGGGATGAAGAAGAGCAAGAGGATTACAAACGGCACCAGACTCTGGCAACGGCGACGGAACCAAATAACTGGGTGGTATCAATCAACATCGGTTTTTGGCTGGAAGTAGGGGAAGTCTGCAGGCAGGAAACACCCTCAATCTCTGAGATTATGCTTTAACTATGAGCTGACCCCATCCTCGGAAGAGCTGTCGTGTCTACGCCAGATGGATGGCCAAGAGTGGTGATTTTGTGAGAGGAATTGCTGCCATGAACGCATCCCTGAGCCCAACAAAGGTTGGCCGAAGGCTTGGGAGGGGGAGTGTAGGGAATTTGAGCAGCCAGAAGCAGATAAGTCTTTCATATCTGACGCTTGCTGTACATTTCAGAGTGATTCAAGCCGTTACCTAAACACAAACAAGAACCAACATCCACATGATAAGCGCGCCGCCAAAGACACTCTTGTGAACATGAACCCCCCGCTCTTCCCTTTCTTTTTCTGGCCCATCTACATACAGTGGTTGGTGCATTATCTCAAATGGACTGGAGGGGTACACCCGCACAGACGCAATACCTCGCGACACTCATGAGCACGTTCCACCTGCCACACTCGAAAAACGACAGCATGAAATCTCCTGAATCACACGCAGGAGCCCAAAGAGAATCGTTCGACGCTGTATAAATACCCCTCTCAGGCCACCTTCCTGTCCCACCGCCCCCCCTCGGCGGTCCTCCCATCAACTCCTCCACCCCAATGCGATTACGCTTGGGCGCCGCCGCGGCATCAAACACCCTTCGTCGCCCAGCCCTACAACCAATGTGCCTCCTTGGCCTCGACAGTGCTCCTCTTCCCTACGTACTCGTGGAAGACGGTGATGAAGAGGAGTACACGGTAGAGTGTATCGTCGAGATTCTGCCGGCCCTGTCCTCCTAGCCCCTCTCCCGGCGCCCCCCTCGTGGCGCCCTTCTCCTCTAAGCCGCCCCCCTCCCCCCCCCTCGCATCATGGAGCAGCCAGGAGGTGGGGACATAAGCTGAAAGGTCCACTCATCGAGAAGCAGTGAGTAAAGTATCAAGTCCGAGCCGATAGATGCTGATCATTCTCTGACCTCCAGGCCTCCTACCGACAGCGTCCAGCTCTCTACAGCTCCGGCGGCGCCACATCGCCCCACTTCAACAGAAGACAGGGCAATCCACAGTCTTATCATGGAACATCTGTAGAACCTATGCCGCCAGGGTCTCTTGCCCCACGACACGCTCAAAACCTTATCTGCCTATTCCTTCGTTTGAAGTCTCCGTCGCGAGATGCTACGTCACATTCAAGAGGTATCAGGCTACGCCTTATCCTCCTCTGACTGTGGCTTCCACTTAGTGAACTCCGTTTTCTCCCCCCCGCCCTCCGGCCCCTCCGCCGTCTTACATACGGCGATTTCCTCAGCTCGATCTGTCCCTGTCTCTCGTCGCCTCCTACACCTGCACCTTTCACACCTCCTATCCTCACACTCCCCAGCGCTCGTACTGCTCTCTCATCTCCGGCGGCCCCTCCTCCGGCCTCCCTGTCCCCCAAACCCTGTCCCTCTCCTTCCGCCGCGTGGTCCTCCCGCTAGTGGAGAAGAGCCAGCGCGAGCTCTGGCAGGAGTGGCGTGTCGTGCGCCACACGGGCAGCGTAGCCGCCTACGTCCAGGCTCTTCGTCTGACGGCGGAAGAATCGCCACGGCCACAAGACCGTTCACCCCCGAGCTCGCCAGCGCTGTCCTCCGCCACATCATGGACATGCTATCCCGAAGCCTTGCCGTCCGCCTCAATATTGATCACACGGCCCTCGTGGAAAGCATGCAGGTGTTGACCGCTTCCATGCCGGAAAAGCTGTCTTTCCACGTTGTGACACCTGTAGTGGTCGACGGCTGCGCTTCGGCAGGCAGTATCGCTTACGAGATCGGCTTGGGGATTCGTAAGCACGAGTTGAAGGTCTTGACGCAGGACGGTCCGACTGCCGAGACGCTTCTCATGCTCCTCATCTTCGACCTTGTCCCGTACGGCGAACGGCAGTTGCTTCGGCTGGCCGGCATCTGACTACCCGTTGGATTTCAAGGTTGGTGAGTCTTCACAATATCCTTCATCTTTGTCTATGTGTAGTCTTGATCAATGTACCTTCCCCTCCTCTGCACTTCTTGTTTGCTGAGCGTTTGCTGATGAGATATACAGGGCCGTGTTCGTCTTGAGAAGGCACACTCTTCTCTCGCCTGGACTCTCCAGTCGACGATATATCAACGATCGGCCTTCCCGACCCCAAAGTGCATCTTCAAACCGAAGATCAAGGTTGGGTTATCACGACCATTGACGCGTCGATCTACAACATCGTGACCGCTGCTCTCAGGGAGACGATGGACCCTGTCGTGCCATATCGCCTAGAATGGCGGGCCAACAACGAAAAGCGATCTGGCAAGCCTGATTCACGTCTCCATCGGGGGCCGACGAATGGAGGCGGCGAGGGGGTCTGGGCTTCCGACAAGATCATCGAAGTCAAGAAGAGGCTTTGTTCCGCGTCATGGCCGCATTGCTCATGAGATCTCTAGACGGAGATGATGGCATCTGGCTCGGCGTAGATGAACAGGCGGAGGTCACGATGACTGGAGACTTTAGCCCTGCTGGAAGTGTTTACCAAGGACGTACCTCCGCCTTTCCGCCCTACAGTCACGCCATCTCTGAGTGCCACCTCCTCTCGTTCCCTCGGACCTTCTTCCCATCCAGAAACTGGAAACGATTTTCAAGTGGGAAAGATGCAGCAAGAGAAGAAAAAGAGGAAGCGAGGGCCCAAAGGCGGCACAACAGTCTCCCTTCCTTCTCTCGACAAATGAACTCCCTCACCTTCTGTGACAGCTCCTGGAAGCTCTACGATGGCTCCTGATCCAGAGCAGCCAGCTGCTATCAACGCTATACCACCCAGCAGTGCAGCGACGATCGACAAAAGGGTAAGCATCTCCGTCCATGAGTGTGACATGGCTGACAGCGCTGTAGCTTACCCTTCCTCGTAGCCCACGCAAGACCTCTTTGCGTCGTTCCGCCCGCGCCTCTCGTCCTTTGCACAACCACTCTAACGACGAGGACGGAGACCGGGACAACGAAGACTGGGACAGACATGCAGTCGGGCTGTACGACCCGGCCCACTCTCTTTCCCGGCTGCCCACCGCCGGTCCGCTCCCCGGTTCCCCGATCCCAGCCGCCGGTCACCTCTCCGATTACCCGCTCCCCGCCGCCCATCCTGATTCCAAGACGTCCGCACCCCACTCCCTTTCCCCTGCACCTGACTCCGACGCAGGAGAAGGCGGGGAAAGAGGGTGGGTCGAGTCGCACAGCTCGACTGCAGGTTTGTCCCAGTCTTCGTCCTCGTCGTTAGAGAGGTCGAGCGAAGGACGAGAGGTGCGGGCGGAACGACGCAAAGGGGTCTTGAGTGGGCTGCGAGGAAGGACAGGCCACAGCGCTGTCCGCCATGTCACACTGATGGACTGGGATTGTTACCTTATTATTGATGAATTGGATGTCAATGCCATCGTCCCCTTCTCCACTCCCCTTCTCAAAGTCTTGTCTATCCGCCCCCGGCTCGTATTGAGCAAACACATTCGACGACGATGCTGGTCATGCAGAGGCGGACACTGGGGATGAAGAGACTGGTCGGGAATAGGTGGAGGGCAGGGGGCTAAGCAGTGAGAGCGGCTCCCGAGCAAAAAAGGGGAGAACGGGAAAAAGGCTGAGAAGGCTCAGAAAGACGATAAGGCTGAGAAGGGGAAGAGAGAGAAAAGGGCAGGGAAAATCAAGTGGGCCATGGCTTTGCAACGTCAAGTTCGACAAGGGAGATGAACCCCCTTATGTAGAGGAGTGATTGCGAAGAGAAACAAAATCACAGGTATGTCAGTGACCTCTACTAGTAGCATCATCTGACCTCTCCGCTCACTGCCTCTTGGAAGCTTGATCTATGTCGTGGGCCGGGTTGGCAGATTTTGGCAAAGATGATGCCGATAATCCTGGTTCCACGTCCATACTCCTTAGTCACATGGATCTAGGCATATGATGCAGCCACTTACATAGCCTGGTCGACGCCATCCATTCTGGAAAATGCTCTGACCCGCGCGACACACTAGAGGAGGTTGTAACGACTGCGGCTGAAAGCGCCTGAGCAGGCGTCGGCTTTCCGGCTCGGCTTTGCCCACAAGCCCACATCGCAAGTCGTCATCTCTCGTCAGGACGCGCCCTCGAGCATTTCTCAATCATGGTCTTGTCGGCATCTTCATCTTCAGCTGCTTTCGATCCCGCGCAACCATGACCGCCCCCGCCTCTGATCCTTACCCCGACGCGCCCCTAAGCTTCATCGGGATCAATGGTGCCCGCCTGGCATACCGTCTCAAAGGCGAGCCCGAGCTCCCTCTGCTGATAACACTTCACGGAGGGCGCGGTTTTGGTAACCTTATCGTATGCCCAACACTATGTAGCGTCTCTGATCCTGTCACAGGCTCCCACGACGGAGATTTCGCGGCCTTCCATCCTCTATCAGACACCTTCCGAGTCCTCTCTTTCGACTTTCGGGGCCACGGCCAATCCTCTCCCACATCTCCCTATACATTCAAGCAGATTGTGGATGATATCGAAGGGCTGAGAAAACATTTCGCCGGGGATGAGAAGGCGGTGATTCTGGGAGGTAGTTTCGGAGGGTTCATCGCTCAGCAGTACGCCATCACCAATCCTGATAGCGTCTCGCACTTGCTCCTGAGAGGTACTGCGCCTTCCCATCATCGTGAGCCCCTCGCCAAGTCGCAGGTACAGTTGCTGACCGTCTGCATAGACGAGAAAGAAGCGCTCGAGAACATCCGCAAAAGAGCAGCGACCAAAGCTCCTATGGCTTCCGAAAACTACCTCAAAAAGATATTCGGCACCATCACAGACGACAACGAGTTTAGGATCATCATGTTTGCCATCGGTCCGCTATACTTGGATGGGGCGTATGATGCCGACAAAGCGCTCGAGTCGGCGCGAAAGACCATCTACAATGCCGAGTCGCATAGTGAGTCCTCGTCTGTCCCTTCATTCTCGTGACAGTAGCTCATATTCATCAACAGATTCTTTATACTCCGAGAAGGAAAAGTATTTCGACTACCGAGAGGGCTTGAAGACGCTGGCTATACCCACCTTGATATTTGTCGGCGAGCACGACTGGATCACACCGCCTTGTAAGCCTGCCTCTCCTCCGTTCTTAATACCCCGTCCGCTTATGAAGGGCGCTATCATAGCTCAATCCAAGCTCATACACGAGCGCGTCCCAAACTCCAGGCTCGTCATATTTTCCAACGCCAACCACTCAGTCCATCATGACAAGAATGCGGAGGTTCTGAAGTTAATAAGGGATTTTGTATCGTCGACGACTGCTTGAGAAAGACATCAAGTGCAGTATTATGCATGTCGGCATTCACCTTCTCATAGATGTTCAAGGAGATCAGAGAGAGCCAGGGAGGAGGGGCCAGGGGGATCAATGATAGGGTGCGGGAGAGAGGGGTCAGGAAGGAGGGCCAGGGAGGGGGTGGAAACTGAGACGAGTGGAGTCTCGCAAGGTGACAGATGTAGAGAGAGCAGGCACAATTAGGATCACATGTAAGTCATAGCGATAGGCGATGTCTTTGTGCCCACGTCTTGCTGAATGCAGAAGCAGACAACACAAGTCGTATAGAGCACCTCGAGCATCCCCTCGGCGGCCGGACTCACTGCGGGACCAAATTGCGACCTCCACTCTCGTCGAACACTCTGGAAACGAGTAGCCCGGCGTGCCCATCTCTATCTTCTTCTTCTATCTCTCTTCTCCTTCTATCGTTCTGCACCCGCCGTATCAATCACACCCCACAATGCCCAACACCGTCACCTACTTTGACATCTCCATCGGCGACGAGCCCGCCGGCAGGATCACCTTTGAGCTCTTTGACGATATCGTCCCCAAGGTGCGACACACCCATCTCCATCGTACTTTTCAGATACTAACGTGGGGAATTATAGACGGCGGAGAACTTTAAGCATCTCTGTATTGGAGACAAGACCAATGCTGCTGGTGTCAAGCTCGCCTACGCCGGGTCGGCGTTCCACAGGTGTATCAAGGGGTTCATGTTGCAGGGCGGTGACTTTACACGGGGTAACGGTACCGGTGGAGAGTCCATCTACGGCGAAAAGGCAAGTCCCCTAGCTTATATTGCAGTATTATTGAGCGTATAGCTGACGCGTATTATAGTTTGAGGACGAAAACTTTGAATTGAAGCACGAAAAGCCCATGATGCTCTCTATGGCCAACGCTGGTCCTTCCACCAACGGCTCTCAGTTCTTCATCACCACGTACGTACCCTCCCATCTACTTTTGAGTCTCAACTAACAACACTGAAGCGTTCCCACGCCCCACCTCGACGGCAAGCACGTCGTCTTTGGCAAAGTCCTCTCCAACCGCTCCCTCGTCCGCCGCATCGAATCCATCCCCACCAACTCTGACAAACCGATCCAACCCGTCGTCATCACCTCCGCCGGCGTCCTCTCCCCCGACGACATCCAAAAGCTCGACGCCGAAAACAAGGCCAAGCAGGCCAACTCGGACGGCGGCGATATCTGGGAAGATTTCCCCCAGGATGAGGAGGGTGTGAATGTGGACAAGGCGGATGAGGCGCTGGTGGTGGGGCAAAAGTTGAGGGAAGTGGGTACGAAGGAGTTTAAAGCTGGCAACTTTGCTGTTGCGCTGGACAAGTACCAGAAGGCGTTGAGGTACCTTGATGTCCACCCTGAAGCGCCTCAAGAGCTTGCGGATGGGTACAGGTCCACCCGCCTGCCTCTCCTCACCAACGCCGCTCTTGCCGCGCTCAAACTCCCCCCTTCGCCCAATACCAACAACCTCGTGGTCTCTCTCACGACCCGCGCCCTTGCCATCCGCGACTTGACCCCCGCGGAGAAGGGCAAGGCGCTCTACCGCCGGGCCCAGGCGCTTGTAGCGAAGAAGGACGACGAGAGCGCGGAGAAGGACTTGAAGGCGGCTTTGGAGCTCGTGCCAGGGGATGCTGGTGTGCTCAACTTGTTGAAGACGGTGGAGGTTAGGAGGAAGGAGAGGAAGGAGAAGGAGAGGAAGGCGTTCTCCAAGATGTTTGGGTAGATGGGCTGGGAGTGTTGTAGCATATGCAGTGGGGCATGTTCAGAGGCCTGTCTTCGATACTCGGTCGTTTTGCGCAAGTAGTTCGATGCAGTATGTTAGTATGGTACAAGCAGAAAGAAGCGCGCGGGAGCAGATAAGGATGCTTATCTTTCGGGATGACATCCTGGTTCATCGGACATGAGCGTCGAATAGCAGAGCTGCGATTGGATCTCGCTCTTCGGGCAAGTGGATGCATAAAAGAGTAAGACAAGTTTGGTTCCCACCACCCCTTCACACTTGAGAGATCAAGCAAGATGGCTGTCCCTTGTATCAGTCTTCACGACTTTGACGCCCGTCGTCCCGAGATTATCAAAGAGCTCATGGACGCCTCCACCAACGTCGGCTTCTTGTACGCCCCCCTCCCTTCCCACATGGCCCCCATCTGACCCAAACCCCAGTACACTCCAAAACCACGGCATCTCCCCCAGCACCATCTCTTCCGCCTTCGCCCTCTCCCAATCCTTCTTTGCCCTCCCCGACAGTACCAAGTCCAAAACCGCGCTCAACGGCAAGAACGCAGGCTGGGAGAAGAATACGCAAGTGAGGCCGAGTACGGGGACGGCGGACCAGAAGGAGAGTATGCAGTTGCAGTTTGCGAGGATGGAGGGGCTGTGGCCGGCGGATGAGGATTTGGAGGGGTTCAGGAAGGGGGCGGAGGGGTTTATGGGGGAGGTGCAGGCGTGAGTCTTTTCCTCATTGTGGGTTGGCTGGGCTGATAAGGAGTAGATTGTCGGTCAAGGTGATGGAATGTTTCGCCGAAGGCCTCGGGCTCCCGCTGGACGTCTTTACGGAAGGTACGGTCGAGACCGGCCAAGGCGACTGCCAGAACGTCCTGCGTCTGCTGCACTACCATTCTACCGAAGGCAAATCCTTCGGCCCCAACTTTTGGCGTGCTGGTGCGCATGCCGACTTTGACATCCTCACCATGGTACGTCCCTCCATTCTGAATCCAACCCAGGCTGATGGCGGTGAAAAGCTCTTTCAACGCGAAGGCGAAGGCGGGCTCGAAGTCTGCCCCGGCCGCAAAGTCGTCGGCGACTTTGGTCTCGGACAGACTTGGCTCCCTGTTGAAGCGAGGCAGGATAGGATCGTGTGTAATATTGGAGACCAGCTCATGCGATGGAGCGATGATCGTCTGAAATCGACTTTTCATCGCGTCAGATTGCCGGAAGGTGATGAGAGTCGTGGTCCCAGGTGAGCCAACTTTCGAATGCTGGAGGAGAGAGCTAAGAGAGAGAAAAGATACTCTATCGCATTCTTCAACCAAGCTCGAATCAACACCGTCATCCAAGGTCCTGAGAAAAAGTACCCACCTATCGTCAGTCAACCCCAGCCCGTCCCTTGTACTTTTAAAGCTGACATGCACAAAAGACTGGGGGTGATTTTATTGCTGAAGCGATGAAGCGCAACCGTATGGCCTCTGCAGAACTCGCCAGACAGGCTGCGTTGGAGGATGCAGAGCAAGTGGCTAGCAAGGTGCATTTTGTCCCGGAACATATGCGCGGGCAGCAGAAGGAGGTGGCGGCGTGATTATTTATGATCTCTTTTGGGTTTTTCGGGAGCGGTAGTGGATAGGTCGGGCTATGTGATATTTCTGTTTGAATATGTATATCGGGTTATATACATACACATCAGACAATAGTTACTCGATTCTACGCGTCCAATAGCAGCCGTTCAGCCCATTTCAAGCTGAATTGCGCTTTCCGCCCCGAACGTCACACCCTCTAAACGCCCCTTCTCTCTCCATCTCGCTGTCTCCTCTCACCACCCCCGCGATGTCCCGCCCGTCGCTCCTCGCCGCCCAGACGCAGACGCTCCTCACCCTCCTCAACCTCAACACCGCCCCCGCCACCACCGCCACCTCCTCCACCGGCCCCTTCCCCCGCCCGACCTCCCCAGCTACCACCTTCGACGACTCGGCCCAGGCGCCCCTCGTCTGGAAGGTGCTCATCCTCGATGAGGCTAGCAAGGATATCCTCGCGACGAGCCTCAGGGTGCAGGATCTGCGGGAACAGGGCGTGACGCTGCATATGTGAGCGACGAGGAGATGCCATGCGGGTCGTGCAGAACGCTGATATCGTGGACAGGCAGTTGCATACACCCCGACCTCCTCTGGCTGATGTCCCTGCGGTCTACTTTGTGTCGCCTACACTGTCAAATATCAGGCGTATAGCAGAGGTGTGTCGGTCGACTCTCAAAATGGACTCGGGCTGATGCGCAGCTCTTAGGATTTGAACCCTCCGCTCTACTCTTCCTACTACCTCGCGTTCACATCATCCCTCCCCCGGGCGCTGATGGAAGAGCTCGCCTCTCTCATCCTCACCAACGACCCCTCGGGATCCACAGGCCAGCTCATCTCCTCGGTCACCGACCAGTTCCTCGACTTTATCGTCCCTTCCCCCAACCTCTTTTCGCTCTTGCCAAGAAGAGAGGTCAAGCCGGACGTGAATGCAGGAAAAGGCAAGAAGCCTGTCAAGGAAGAATATGTGGAGGGAAAGCCGACGTATGTAGTGTTGAACGACCCAAAGGCGACAGAGGTGACTATCGAAGAGGAGGTTGAGCGGATTGCCAAGGGTCTTTTCAGTGTCATCACAACTATGAGTGAGTACCGTCTCGCTCCTCGACTGTGGCACGACTGACATGATTTCAGACATGACCCCCATCATCCGCTGCCCCCGAGGAAACGCCGCAGAGATGGTCTCCCGCCGCCTCGACGCCAAGCTCCGAGACCACCTCGCATCCACCTCTTCCCGGGGCGCTCAGGTCTACGGCGTGGGCGACCTCCAACGGCCACTCTTGGCCATCCTGGACAGGAACATGGACCTGATACCGATGCTCTCGCATTCGTGGACATACCAGGCTTTGGTGCATGATGTCTTGGATATGAAGTTGAACCGCGTCACTGTCGAGGTACGTCTCTCGATGCTCTAGATGACTAAAGCTCATATCGTCCAGTCCCCCGAGAATGGCCGCCTGCAGAAAAAGTCTTACGACATTGACTCGAAAGACTTTTTCTGGGCCAAGAACGCCAACAACCCGTTCCCCTCCGTTGCCGAAGACATTGACGCCGACCTCTCCAAATACAAATCCGACGCTGCCGAGATCACCCGCTCCACCGGTATCAGCGACGTCAACGACGTCGGCCAGATCGACTTTACTTCCAACACTGCCAATCTCAAGACTGCCATCACTGCGCTCCCCGAGCTGACGGCGAGAAAGACGACGTTGGATACGCATATGAACATTGCGACGGCGCTGCTGCAGGCGATCAAGGAGAGGGGGCTGGACAACTTGTTCCAGGTGGAGGAGAATGCTGTCAAGCAGAACAAGGCGAGTATTGTGAATGTGCTCAACGGCCAGACGGACGAGCCCGGGCAGACTGCCAACCCGACGCCGGAAGACCAGCTCCGACTCGTCATCATCTACTTTCTCTCCACCCAAGACGGCGCGGTCTCGAAAGACGACTTGAAGCAGCTGGAAGAGCTGTTGAAGGACCATGGGGCGGACACGAGGGCGTTGGAGTATGTCAAGAAGGTGCGCGAGTTTGTGAGGATGTCGACCATGGCTGCTCAGCCTGTTGTGGCGGCACCGCCTGTGGCTAGCGGTGGTGAATGGACGCGAGGTTTCAGTGTATTGGGTAACCGAGTGAGTCACCTGTGAATTCAGTGGGGCTGTGCTGACGAGTTGTAGATCACTGACAGACTACGCGAAGGCGGTATCCCCGCTGTAGGCCTCGACAATCTCATCTCTGGCGTCAAATCCTTCCTCCCCGCCAAGAAAGACCTCACCCTCACCCGCCTCGTCGAAGCCCTCATGGACCCCGCCTCGGCCAGCACACAGGCGCTCCAAGATACCGACGACTACCTCTACTTTGACCCGCGCACATCGCGGAACCGACCGGGCCAGGGGGGCGGGCAGGGGAAAGGCAGGAGCCAGTATGGCGAGGCGGTGGTGTTTGTGGTGGGCGGAGGGGGGTATGTGGAGTATGGGAATCTGGTGGAGTGGGCGGCGAGGACGGGGCAGGGGCAGGGTGGGCAGCAGACAGGGCAGGGGAAGAAGGTTACGTATGGTGCGACGGAGATTGTTAGCCCCAAGACGTTTGTGAATGCTTTGGGAGAGCTTGGGGGGGTTTAGAATTTTATTGGTGTGGCTTGCATGCATGTATGGTCCAAGTGTGGACACTCGGACTCGTACCCGGGAACCTTCGCGACGAGTCGTGACTGCTGCGCGGTTTGAGGAAAGAGTGCGTGCTCAGGACATAGCGGCAAAAAACCTCTCTCATTTTCAAGGCCGCGTAGCACAACAATTACAAACTCAACTGCTAATTGAACCCGTTCGCTTGCGGACGCACGGTCATTCCAGAGCATTAGCTTTTTGCTATTTCTTTTTGCAAAGTACGAGTAGTGTGTCAATATCAAAGAAAAGTCCACATGGCAGAGTATCGCAGCCAATCTCGAACAGACAAGTCCATTCATAAACACCAGGGAATAAGCGAAATGAAGCGAGGGGCAAGAAGAGTAGGCAAATACGGGGATAAGAGTGTCCACAGAAGAAATAGATACGGCGGTAGGTAACCCTCGATGAGGGGAGAATATGAAACAGCAGGAGGGTAAAGAAGGGTTATGGAGATACAAATAAAGGATTGTTTTTGTCGTGAAACTCTCATTGATCTCGTCTAATTATGAAAGCAATAAAAGAAGGGTTTGAAAGAAACAACCCTTAGACAAAGATGGCGACGATACCAGCGGCAAAGGTGGCACCGACCAACGCGGTCATACCAGCCACACCCTGAACCGCCATCATGCTCTCAGCGCCAGAGCTGGAAGAGTTGCTGCTCAAGCTGGTGCCAACCTGCGACTTGATGGCGTTGACGAAAGCCGTGCCACAAGTCGAGTTGATGGCAGACCAGAGCGCCGACTGGCCACCGAGGATGGGCGACTGGCTCAAACCCAACGCGTAGGGCACCTGGGTCTCCCACTTGATGTACGAGACCATGACCTCACGGGTACAGGGGGTACAGAGGGCAGAGGAAGAGAGGGTGGGCTGGAGGAAGAGGAAGGGGAGGTTGGTGGACTTGTAGGTGGTGGCGTTGGGGGTGATGATGGTTGCCATGTTGACCGACTGGGCGGCACGGGAAGAGAGGGTGGAGAGGACGCGCTTCTTCAAGGACGAGGCAGAGTTGGAGACCTCGATGTAGAGGTTGGAGGCGGCGAGCTGGATGGGGGAGAGGACGCTGTCAGAGGCAGCAAAGTTGGCGTAGAGCGCGGTGCTGTTGCTCGTAGAGTTGGACGAGGAAGAGCTGTTGGTAGACTCGGAGGCGACAATCTCGTTGACGCAGTACTCCTGGTTGGAGGAGTCGACCGAGCAGACGGCGCCCTTGAGGGGGTTGACGACATACAAGATGTCGTAGAGCTCCCTGACCTCCGAGTTGTAGCCGTCGGACGAGGTCAGCTCGGTGGAGCACTGGGAGTAAAACTTGGAGAGCCAGGAGCGGATGGTGGTGTCTGAGCAACCGGCGTTGGTCTTGCAGACGTCGGCCAAGGCATAGTTGATGCTGTCCTCTGTGAGGTTGGTGGCGGCGACAGCCGTGGGGGAGAAGGAGGCGGTAGCGTTGATGAGGGGGGTGACGCACTCGGAGATGGTGGAGTCTGCGTTGAGCTCTGTGAGGAAGGTTGTGCACGCGTCGGTGATGTTGGAGGGGATCAGGACACTGTCGGTCGAGTTCTGCGGGGGTCAGTGGGAGTCGACGGGAGCAGAGATGACGTACCGAGGCTGCAACAGCGGTGGCTGCTGCGAGGGCGAGGAGGGAGTACTTCATGGCAAAGAGCGTGGGTAATGAGCGTGGTGTAATTTGACGGCGTATATAGCACACTGTAAAAGGAGGCCAAAGCACAAACAACAAAGGCCGCGCCCACCATTTGATCCCGTTGAGAATTTCCCTGCAGTCCCTGAGCCCCAGAACCCGCGTGGCACCCACGTGTCGCCGTTCACCGCCCTCCACCTGCAATTGCGGCCGTCGTCATTGATCGATGCAGAGTGCAAGATCTCGTCTTTATTGCTCTCTCTTATTCCCTACCACCACTACCACGCTCAACATGCCCGCACGTATGCCCAGAGTCTATCTCATCCGCCACGGTACGTTCATAGCTCACCGTCCAGCCACCGCTGACTCTTCACAGGCGAGACTGAATGGTCTTTGAATGGCAGACACGTATGCTCTTTTCCGCTGCCCACATTGCCCAGCTGACAGGATCTCAAGACTGGTGTGACTGATATCCCCCTGACTGCCAAAGGCGAGCAGATGGTCCTCGATATGAGCCCCCGCATGATCGGTCCTGGTAGTATGTGCCATATCCATCTGATCATTTGATGCTGACGTTTTGCAGAGCTGATCCAGCCCGAGTATGTCCGCAACATCATCATCTCCCCCCGCGCACGCGCAGCCCGAACCGCTGAGCTTGTACGCCCTCCCCATCTCCTCAAACCCAACTACTGACAATGATATGTAGCTCTTTGGCGAGCACAAACCGCCCAAAGCAAATATCACAACCGACGCCGAAGTCTCTGAATGGGACTATGGAGCATACGAGGGCCTGCTCTCTTCAGAAATCGCGGCGCATAGGCCGGGGTGGAGTATATGGAACGACGGTTGTCCGGCCGGTGAGACGCCGGGAGAGAGTCCTCAGGAAATTAGCGATAGGGTGGACCGGGTCATTGCGAGGGTCAGGGCTATCCACAGTGCTGTAAGCAGTTATTAGGTCTTTTCTTGTCAGGACGGAGCTGACGCTTTGGCGCAGTACAAGGACGATGCCCTGGGCTCTGACGACGCCAATTGCGCAGACGTCCTCATCTTTTCTCATGGCCACTTTTCGCGATGCTTTATTGCAAGGTGGTGTGATCTACCTGTGCAAACGGGATATCATCTCTGTGCCGAGCCTGGAGGTGTAAGTGATTGACATTTTTGGTGATGGATGGGTGGCTGATCTTGGGTCTTAGCTTGCTGTCCTCGGATATCAGCACCGGTCTTTGAATGAGCCTTGTAAGCTCTTCTATCGCTCGCTTGAATTGCCAATCTGACTTGTCATAGCCTTGCTCGGTTTGAACTGGTACACCGAAGACGCGCTCGCGAAGCGTTAATGCTCTTTTGGTTGTTCAGTGATCACTATGTCCATATGTAACTACACGTAGAGATAAAGGCTGAGAATATATTTATGCTAGTAGATTTCAGCCCCCATGCAGATAAATATCTGTAATAAGCCAGCAGCATGCAGTGACTCCATCGCAATCCAAGAAATGCAAGAGATCATGAGCGCACCAGGCACGGGCCTCCACATTCCGGGTGTTGTGCACATCCGGTGGGTTAAGAAGACGGGTCATGAGATGTCTCTTGTACGGGCAAGTGAAGACATCACAAGCACGGCCAAGATGTCTCTTCCACCCGTCTCCTCTGGTCATCTTCAACACCAGCGACCTCCCAATGCCACCCTCCCACACCAGACCAGCCGACCACCACCTCCCTCAAGACAAGACCTACCCGCCCCTCTCCCCCCGCCCAGGCAACGGACGCCCAGCTCCACACATCAGCGGTGGTATCGAAGCGTACCGCGAAGAGTGGGCCAAGTCGGTAGGCCCGGATAGTGATGGGTGGTGGAGGGAGAAGGCGTTGTCGAGCTTGACTTGGTATGAGCCTTTTGGGAGCGTGCGGGGGGGAGGGTTTGAGAATGGGGATGTACATTGGTTGTATGTCTTTCATCTACCTGGCAGGTTCATCGAGTCTCTGCTGATGCTTTTGAGCAGTGCAGATGGGATCCTCAACGCCTGTTACAACGCTCTAGACAGACACTACCACACCGACCCTCTCAAAGCTGCCATCATCTACGAAGCCGACGACCCGTCCGACTCTCGCGAAATCACATTCGCCGAGCTCTTTTCCCAAGTCAATAGACTCGCCAACGTACTCAAATTGTATGGCGCGAAGAAAGGCGATGTCGTGATCATCTAGTATGTCTCGCCTCTTTCTGGCGTTTGGTGTAGGGCTGATGGGGTGGAAGTATGCCGATGACTTGGCAGATTGTAGCTGCGTTCTTGGCTTGTGCGAGGATTGGAGCAGTACATTGTGCGGTATTTGCTGGCTTTAGCGCTGAGAGTCTTGGCGACCGTATCAATGACAGCCATAGCACGATCATCCTCACTGCAGAGTACGTTTGAACGCGTTCCCACTTGACCGGTGCTGATACCAATCAAAGTGAAGGCATACGAGGAGGCAAGACTATTCCCCTAAAAGAAAGTGAGTTTCCATCGTAATCGTATCGTGCATGTACTGACTAAGCTAGTTGTGGATGCTGCGCTGCCAAGATGTCCCGCCGTGAAACACGTCCTGGTTTACCAGCGTACAGGCGCTTCAGTATCGATGACTGAAGGCAGGGATCGATGGTGGCATGATGAGCTCGAGGCTGCTGCTGGCTTCTGTCCTTGTGAGAGGATGAACAGCGAAGACCCGTTGTTCATGATCTACGCAAGTCCCAAAATCACAGCACAACGCCCCCAGCTAACGTTGAGGATTAGACATCCGGATCGACAGGCAAACCGAAAGGCGTCGTCCACTCCACCGCAGGCTACCTACTCTGTGCCTACCTCGCCGTCAAATACACATTCGACGTTCACCCAGGCGACCGCTACGGGTGCTTTGCCGACGTCGGCTGGGTCTTGGGACATACCCATATCGTCTACGGCCCCCTCCTCCTCGGCGTCACCACCACCGTATTCGAATCCATCCCCACCTACCCCACGCCGAGCCGGTTCTGGGATATAGTCGACAAGTGGAAGATTACGCAGATCTATACGGCCCCCACTGCGATCCGGCTTTTGCGCTCGAAAGGGGACGGGTATGTGGTCAAGCATGATTTGGGTTCTTTGCGGGTACTGGGTACTGCGGGCGAGCCGATCAATCCTGAAGCTTGGCTTTGGTACTACAACACCGTGGGCAGGGGTAGATGTGCGGTGGTGGATACTTATTGGATGACTGAGACGGGCTCTGCCGTCATCTCGCCGCTTCCTGGGGCAGTACCCACCAAAGCCGGTTCTGCCACCTTTCCCTTTTTCGGGCATGAGCTCGAGATACTGGAAGCCAAAAGTGGCAAGGTGCTCCAGGGGAACGAGGTTGAAGGGGTGTTGGTCAGCAAGCGACACTGGCCTTCTTTGGCAAGGACTATCTATGGCGATCATAAGCGGTATCTCGATACGTATATGAGGCCTTACCCGGGATACTTTTTCTTCGGGGATGGAGCGTATAGGGATAAGGACGGGTATCTCTGGATCCGAGGACGTGTGGATGATGTTATCAAGTGAGTCTGCTTCTCATATGTGATGGTCAGGAATTGAACAGTGCGTAGTGTATCGGGCCACCGCATGTCTACTGCCGAAGTCGAATCCGCCCTCCTCGCCCATCCCTCCGTCGCCGAAACAGCCGTAGTCGGCATCCCCGATCCCTTCACAGGCCAATCCGTCCACGCATTCGTCACCCTCAAACCTCAATCCACCCCTTCCGCCCAGACCCAGACCCGAACTCAGCCCGACGCACTCGCGAAAGCCCTCACGACTCAAGTCCGTTCCATCATAGGGCCTTTTGCGGCACCAAAGAAGATTTACATTATACCGGAACAGCCAAAGACGCGATCGGGCAAGATTATGAGGAGGATCTTGAGAAAGGTTGTGGTGGGGGAGACGGATTCGTTGGGGGATTTGTCGTCTATTGGGGATCCGGCGGTCATTGATGCTAGTGAGTTTGGATGGGAGTGGTCTGTTGGTGGGGAGCTGACCCTCGAGATAGTCATCAAAGTCGTAGCCGAGTCGTCGCCCACTGCTGAAGCGCGGTTGTGAACGACTGAGGCGTTATAACAGGCCCATGATCGTGATAGTAGATCGATAAATGTACAGATCCACACGAATGCAGTCCTATTGACAAGAATGTGATGGGGCACATGTCCGCCTCCGATACTTGACTGATCTTAGATTGTGAACATAACCAATGCGGACGCATATTGCATTGCGGTTCGGCAGCAGTCTGTTACACGCTGAAACCTGCTTGTCCTGAGCTTGAGCCTCAAGGCGATCCAACTTCAGAGGTTCGATGTTGAAGATGTACAACCTGAACGGGATCAAAAACATTTGTTTTTGACCTCGACGCGAAGTCGTCAAGGAGGCCGAACGCGACGTATTTGTACGCTCTCCTTCACGACAACCTCAGCATTTTTCGCCTAGTCAATGGCCGCCCCACGCCCAATCCATGGCCCCTACACCACGCAAGCCAGTCCCACGTCATGAACAGTCATCCGACTCGAGCGACTCTGACATCTCTAGCGTCGAAGATGGCGACGCGTACGAGAGCCCGGATAACGAAGAAGAAGACCCGGACCAGGAATACAACGTCGGTGTGTCTAAAACTGAATTTTCTCATGGGATAATGCGCCTGATGAATTACATAGATGCCATACCGTACGCGTACTCTTTCAGAGAACCCGAAAAGAAGAGCAGAGGCAGGAAAAGTAAAGCGCAGGTGATCAGGGAGGAGGCTGCCAAGGCCAAGCCGCAATGGGTAAGATTTTTCATCTGATAGACAGAACTGAGCTCACTCTCGAATAGCATTATGGTGTGATTGTGCGTGTACCCCAAAATACCGAGATACAAGCTCACCCAGCGTTCACAGTGGAAAGGATATCTGAAGGCTCTGTCTGATTCGTACGTGATGCCCCAATGAGTCTTTACTGGCGTTAACATCATCAAGGCCGCAACCTGTTGACTCGTTCGAAGGGCCAAGACCGCCTGTCATCGTCCGGTGAGTATTTGTCCCGTGGATCAAGGCCGTGACTGATGGTTGAGAAGGTTCTGGGAGGGCATGGGAATGACGCCCTCCGACGGGTCGCTAGAACCTCTGGACAAAGTTGGAGACAGATACTTCCTGCCTTCTCACGCAATGAGTGAGTTGAAGGACCTGTGATACGACCATTTTGCTGATCACATGTTTTGTCGTTTTCCTAGAGCAATGGCTGAGCGAAGAACCCACAAGAAGCTGGAAACTATTCAAGAAGCGCCAGGAGCTGCAGAGGGCTCATGTCGAGCGTGTCAGCAGGGGTCAAGCCACAGGGATGTTCAGATGTCCCAAGCGCTATTCCGACCACTACCATTGGCTCAAATTCAAGAAGCGCTCAGAACAAGCCATGGGAATGAAGACGGAAGGGAGGAGGCCCTTCTCGTCCAGAATATTGGGCAGGTCGTCAGACGAGAGCGACTCGACTGAAGACGACGATGCTGTCCCTCTGAAAGCCACGCAGGCCTCCAAAAGAAAGGCAGCTGGCCAGGGTAACGCCAATATTCCCAAGATTAAAACAGACAAGCCTGCGGCTAGCAAGAGAAAACGGGCGTTGACCTCGTCAACCGACTCAGATGCTTCAGCCGACACACCACTCTCTTCCTCAAGGAGAATGAAGGTTCCGAGGCCTAGCGATTCCAGGTCAGGTTCTCAAGCTGGCGTACCCAAACCCGGGAAGCCGATTGAAGTCAACATAGAGGAGAGAGACGGGGCAACATCCGAGGAGAGGGTATCGAAGACTGAAGAAGGCCAAAATGGCTCGGCAGAGAAGGCTACGCGAGCAGGGAGTGACAAGAAGGGGGAGAAAACAGGGGATGCCGTCGATTTTGGGGAGCTGGATCATGGCATATTCGAGCTGCCTCCGCCCGGTCTCACTGAGTCAAACGCGACCTCGGCGCCGATAACGTCAGAGCGGCGTTCTTTGGGTACCGCTCCAGTGTCTGCCCAAGCACCACCGCCCGCTTCCGAACACCCCACAGCCTCTGATGGGACCGACAAACCCCCGTCTTCTGAGAAATCGATCCCTCCTGTCGGTGAATCTGCACCGTCGACAGTCACGGCTCGGGCTTCACCGTCTGTCAACACCCCTTCATCTACACCTGCCGCCGCCTCAACACCTGCCCAGGTGCCGGTGACCGCCCTCAATCAGCCAGCAGCTCCTGCCAAGACGGATAAGCCTTCATCCTCCAAGGGATCCGTCCCTCCCCCCGGGAAAGCTGCCCAGTCCACAGTCCCGCTCAAGGCTCCATCGTCTGCCAAATTGCCATCGTCTACATCAGCCAACCCTCCATTGTCTACGTCATTGGCCAAACCTGCCGCAGGAGCTCAGAAAAAGGTCAAGGAGTCGTATGATCCAAGAAAAGCTCCTAGGAAAGATCCCAAGGGAGAAGCCCTTCATGCGTCCTCTGCAGCTCAACAGGCCCCTGCGGTCGCAAAGGATTGGCTGAAAACCATGAAGATTGCAAAAAGGACGCAACCAGTGCCTGAACCTGCTAGTTCTTCTTCCCCAAAGCTGGCGGAACCTTCCCATGCTGTGCTCTCAACATCCGGTGCGGTCGATTACGATTCGGTCCACGAACCAAGAAGGGGATCTGTTACTGCATCCGGTTCTACCAGGCCTCTTTCGGGTCCGTCTCCTCACGCTCCCGCCGCCGCACTGCCAGAACCTAGCGCCGCTGGTCCGGGTATACATCCTCTGCGTGTTATGGATCAGCCCGTTCAATCGTCCTCAATCCCTGATGCGCTTGTTGGCGAGTCACCGGCCACTGTCGACCATCCACCCGGTCAAACGGGCGAACGCCGCGCCTTTCATCCAGGATCGATCAACTTGACTACCTCCCCCAATATTGAGTCAAGCTCATTGCCGTCCAATACTCCGGGAGCCATCCTTGGCCCTGGTGGAAAAGAGCGTCCAAAGTACGAGCAACCTAAGCGTATCAAACACATCGATAATGACGACGAGATTATAACACCACAAGAAGCTCGAAGGAGGAGGATGACAGGAGAAGACGGTGCTAGCCCAGCCTCGCCGAACAGATCAAAAACCAGCAACTTCCCCCACACCTCCAAGACAACCCAGAGGAAGAAAGATACGGAATTTTTGGCATCTACGACCAGGTTGTCTGTCGGCCGAGCGTCGGAGGAACAGCAGCGCCCAGGAGCAGCGCAGAGAAAGACGCCAGATGGGAGTCCAGCGCAGATGCGTAGAGTGGGCAGCACGACGTCGTCCTTGGCAGGATCGATGACACCTCCGCCTGTGCCAAGGGGCAGGGCGTCTTTGGATAGATCAAGAGAAGGGTCAGGCGTGGCTCCTACTCGGTGAGTACCAGTCAGTGAATAGGAGAGTGCTCATGGAATTGTAGGGATGGGACATATTCACCGCCTGTTGACAGGGCTGGCAAGCCATTAAAGTAAGTACCACGCAATATCTTTTACAGACAGCTGTCCACTAACGGCTTCTCGTAGTGCTGTCACAAGACAAGGCAGCGCGGACCAGCCCAAGCCTCCTATAGCTGTCTATCAACCGCGCAACAAGGCACAGGTCCCGCCGCAACCTCCAACGACTGCTGTACAGTCGAACGCACCGAGTGATCCCCGACTATCAATCCCTGCAACCCGAGAAACATATCAGTCTCAGTCCCCGGCTCCTCTGGCCAGCGGTGACAACGTTCAAAGTCAGCGACAACAGCATGGGACATTGCATCCGGGTCTCACTATCGTCAGTTCCCCTTCGACGATCAAACCAAATTACATCCCGACACCGATGTCAGCTCGACCGCCCACGCCTGTTGACAGCTCCCCGAAAGCACTCCCCACCACCTCCATACCCACACCAACGACAGCTCGGCTGCCCTCGCCCCTGAGCAAATCCCCAAAGCTCCTTCTCACCCTACAACGGCTCCGCTCTGATACCAAATTTCCGGACGGTCCCGAATTGAGTGACAATGGCCAAGCAGTCCCTCTCGCATCGGCAGCGAATGTCGACCCTTCTTTGTGCCCTGTTCAGTCTTTGAACGTGATCCCAGAAAACGTGGTGACACTATCCCCGTATCTTTTGTTGAAGCACCCAAAGATGTGGGTGAGAGTGATGAAAGCATTGAGGGGTACGCGGAGATGGGGCGCGTATCTGACCCCGTCTGTGCTTTGCTTTTTGAAGCAGACGTGGGACAACCACGACTACGAGTAAGCTCACAAGTGCCTTTTTCCAAAACATAGTAACCAATTTTATAGCCTAAGCCCGGACCCCACCGAGTCATTCAGCGCTCTCATCAGCAGCCTCCCTCTTGACGGGGGTCACGCCTTTCATACCGGTGCCCCCTGGGGTAAGGCCTATGGCCTTTCGGTCAGCTGCAACCCGCCAATGAAGAAGCTCAAGAGACCCTTGATGGAATGGCGTCTATGGCTGACCGATGTTGTCCGCCAAAACGACTTTGAGGCACTTGTCAAGAAGTGTATCGGTGTTGAGCAGGGCCACTTTGAACAGATGGTTGCCAGAGACGCCGGGCAGGCGCTGCCGGAGCCAGACCCGGTCGATCGGGAAGAAGTGATTCTCGAGCAATTGAGAGATCTTACGGCCATGAAGACAAATGATGAGCTGGTGTATACTAGGTATGTGTATGTGGGGCACTTTGAGCTAGGAGACGCGAACAGGAAGAAGGTGGAGCGGAATTATAGTCATGGCGTGAGTCCACATTTTTGAGATGATCATTACATACTGATGGGTCGTGTTTCAGATTGAATACATGACTCCGGAAGAGTTCATAGCGATGGTGGAAAATGAGAATCCACCGGCGCTGGCTCTTTGAACGAGGGATACAAAAGACTTTCAGTGAGTCTAACAAGGTGTATGCGATGCATCAGGACTGACTTCCTCTCTCCCAGTACCATACCGAACCCATTCGGTACATGGCTCTTCTTCGCTGTGCCAACGCGACCTCGCCTTGCACCTCTTGGCAGCGCACACAAACTCCACACGTCCCAGACTTGTGAACGATTTGGGCGGTGTCCCATAGTCTGTACATGTTGTATGCATTTACTTGTAGACTTTTGAGCAGTTTAAAAAACGTATCCATGATTTCATATGCATTCTACATGTCTGCACTACAGCTCTTGTCGACGTGAATGCAACATCAAGAAGCTTTTGTCATCAAGCTTACGCCGCAGGCGGTGTGCGCCGCCGCGTGCGGGGTGTTGTGGAGTTGCGACGACGTCAGTCAGTGAGACGAAGTTGTCCTTGTCGGCCATTTCTCTCCTCAGCCTGTATAATTCGCCCCCGCCCAGCCAGAATGACCAGCCTCGGCCCTGACTTCCTCGGCCCCAATGCTTTCGAGCGGGGGGGAACCAAACAGGACGTCTTCCGGGTAACCCCGGCCACGCCCGGCGACGATTCGCAACAACAACTGCGACGGCGGAATGCCGGACAGGACGGGGACCAGATTCTGTTGGATGGTGATGGGTTTGAGAAGGAAGACGATGGTGGATATTTCGAGCACTTGAAGGAGGGAACACAGACGTTAGATGGGAGATTGCAGAGTGGGAAAGACGCAAAGGCGCGTATGGGAAGAACGAGTCCGTTGATGGGGACACTCAAATTGGACGACTTGCGAGATCAATTGGAGACTGGAATTGAAAAGAAGTGAGTGTAGACATCCTCCGAGCTGTCTTCTGACGAATTGTAGGTTCGCGCCTCTGCATATACCGCCGCATCGCCGACTACAAACGGCAGCTGTTGCACTCTGGGCGTTCTTCTTACCGATCAGTATAGTGCTGCTGCTCCTCTTGTTGTACGTGTCGGGATTCTCTGATCACGGGGTCATACTGACCCAAGGTATGATAGATCATGGCCGCAGTGCTGGTATATCCTGATACCATATTTCTTCTGGATAGCGTTCGACCGAGCGCCGCTGCATGGAGGGCGTCCGCAGGAATGGGCTAGATATAGTTCGCTCTGGACATACTTTGCCCGTGAGTATATCCCAACTTACGACGAGTGTATAGTGCTGAACAGTACCCAGAATATTACCCTTGCAGGTAAGCAAGTGACACAGGATAGCAAGACAGTGCTAATGACAACTGCTGTTGTTCCAGTCTCGTGAAGGTGAGCATATGATATTTCGCAAGTATGACAAAAGCAGTGATCTGACATCATGTGTAGGAGGCAGATCTTCCTCCAGATAGGCCATATCTCTTTGGGTATCATCCGCATGGAATTATCGGAATGTGAGCGTCCACGGACTTGTAAGCATGATCTAGCTAATTGCGGTATAGGGGCGCCTTTGCTACTTTTGCTACCGAGGGAACCAGCTTTTCAGAATACTTTCCAGGCCTCAAACCTCATCTTCTCACCCTCGAATCCAACTTCAAAATCCCCTTCTATCGCGAGCTGCTCCTCATTCACGGATGCGGCTCAGTGTCCAAAAAGTCGTGTGCAAACGTGCTATCGCAGGGACCCGGTAGCGCGATTGCGATTGTGATTGGAGGAGCTGCCGAGAGTCTGTCGGCTCATCCCGGAACGGCGGATTTGACTTTGAAGAAGAGATTCGGGTTCGTGAAGCTGGCTATCAGAGAGGGCGCGGACTTGGTGCCAGTGTTTTCGTTTGGGGAGAACGATGTGAGTGTGCACGTTGGGTCTTGACTCAAGCTGACAAGGATGTAGATCTATGCTCAATTGTCGGTGCGATCTTAATCCCTTGGGCGTGACTGACGGATCGGATGTAGAGCGAATGCGAAAGGCTCGATGGTGTACAAGCTGCAAAAACGGTTCCAGAAGGCATTCGGTTTTACCCTACCATTATTCTATGGTCGAGGGTGAGTTTCTGTTCTCGAGATATTGGGCACAGCCGCTGACTTGCGTTTGTTAGACTTTTCAATTGTACGCCATCCGCGCAAAGCTTGAGTGATACACATGCTGACATCTGACATCGCTGGTACAGACAATTACGGCTTGATGGTAGGTTGAGTGCTGAGGTCCTTCCAACGCAACTGACGAAAGACGTTAAGCCCTTTCGCCATCCTATAGTGTCTGTAGTCGGCAAGCCCATACACGTCGAGCGCGACCCGCACCCAAGCGACGAAAAAGTGCGCGCTCTTCAGCGGGAATACATTACAGAATTGACCAGGTAAGCTTACGTGGAAGCCTTCGAGGGTCATGCTTACTCTTGACTATAGGTTATGGGAAAAGTATAAAGACTTGTATGCCCGCCATAGAACGAAAGAGCTCACTTTCGTGGAATGACGGAAGACTGTTGGGATGGCGAGATGGATGTTGAAATGTCTGTACTGGGGGGCGTCTCCTCACATGTAACTACCCGTTGTCACAGGATACCCTATCCTTTTCTTTTTTCATAGCTGTACTGTGTCATGATCACGATATGAGGGCCTCGTATTGACCCATATGCGACCATTCGATTGAAATGGGTTATTGCGTTCCGCGGAGTCTGTTTTAGCGCGCACTTCATGAAAGCTGCCAGTATGCATAGAAACGGAATGTATTGCGAGGCCGCCGCAGGACAGCGTCTACGTATGCATAGACACACTGACGGTGACAAAACGTGTGATGGACAAGAAAAAAAAGAAACCAACGGTGGGGATCGAACCCACAATCTCTCGCTAACACGTTTTGATCAGATCATAGGAAGCGAACGCCGTAACCATTTGGCCACGCCGGCTTTCGACATATTTTATAGACACATTGATTGTGTCACGATAATGTGAAAAACAAGAGAACAAAAAGAAACCAACGGTGGGGATCGAACCCACAATCTCTCGCTAACACGTCTTAATCGGATCATAGGAAGCGAACGCCGTAACCATTTGGCCACGCCGGCTTTCGATGTCTGCGGTGCAAATCAATCTTCTGCATACCACAACAAACCCTTTGCTTGATTGTTTGGTTCCCACATTGATTCTTGTTGTGCTTGGTCTTCTTGCACTCACACGTATCCACCCATGATCCAGTCATGCTCATTCTCATTGCCTCTCGATTGTCGGATCTGAAGGGGGGCCAAAGAAAGCACAGCACTGACAGCGCCCTGATACGACACCCCCACTCGGTTCGGTTCTACCGATCAGATGTCAAAGGAAGCAACTCCCCACGGCCTTCCGGCTGTGTCACCTCGGGTGTATCACCCTGGCATCGCATCACATCTCACACCATAGTATATAACCGGGAACAACCTGGTGTATTCTAACCTTGCCACCAGTACCACAGACCACAGACCATGACCGCCACCCCGCCACTCACAGCCGAGCCCGGCATCATCACCCCTGCCTTTGCCACCACCCCAGACGAGACACTGCCCCCGGCCCCTGGCGACTGCCTCTCGTCCTTCAGTGATCTCTATCGAGAAGAGGTAGCATTGGAGTCGGCTCAAGACGCCCTCGCACATCTGCAAGCCTCCATTGTCGCCGCTGCAGCAGCTACAAGGGCCTCAACCAAAGGCTCGCTGTGGTATGCGTTACTCGGACGAGCGTATACCGGTTTTGAGAAGATGATGGAGTGTGCTACCCACATGCATGACGCCAAGGTACAAGCTTATCTTCTGGTGAGTCGATGTTACTGATGGAAATCGGTTGCTAATCCATCGATAGGTCGAACGATGTGCTGTCGTACCTGCTCGAGAAGCGTTCGCAGTGGCGCAACACATAGGAGGAGATGCCTGGGATGTTCGAATCCGCAACATGGGACACTTGGTCGAGTGAGTGCACCATTAGGCGGCACGAAAAGAGCATAACCAACACCAGCAACACAGATGGTTTGACAAGACGGCACCCATTGTTCAAGACCTTGCCCATCCCTCTTGGTTCCATCACTATCGCAGCTCGAGCAAAGTGAAAGATACCCTCGCCCAGGCGTTGAACAGCCTTGCTGATCTGATGACGAGTCTCGAGGTACATTGCTGTCTTCTCAATCTGATACAACGTGCTAACCGGCCCAAAGTACGCAGGATACGACGTCAAGCGTGCGATCCAGCTCGAGAGCCGTTCCACAACCGTCATTAGCGACGACGAAAAGATCGACTCGGCTACCACCACCCAGTCTGAAGTTGACGACGCTCTCGAATCCGCCAGCAAAGCTGAACGTCGACTCAAAGTCGCTGCTACAGCTGTCTCTGCCATAGCTGAGGGATTGAAAGAGGGCGCTGGCTGGGTGCCTGATGTGGGATTGGTATGTGAGGTGGTCAGTCAGATGATGGAAAGTGCTGCGCTAGTGGCGAGTATGAAAGTTTCAGCTTTGGGTCTGGTGGGTACTTTACCTTCCCCGCGGTGGTGGGAGTCTGCCTAACAGTACGCAGGTTGAGCGATGTGCCATTGTCAGCGAGACGATGCTCACGGCGATCAAAGATTGCGATGGAAAGCTACCGCCCATGATGCAGGGCAACATCTCCCAGCTTATGAGGTCAGTATATTGCCGTTGGTGAAAGCAGAGGGCTCATGTCAATCCAGGGCATTGGACAAGAACCAGAAGCTCCTATCCGACCTCGCATCTCTTTCCAAATTCCAACTCTGGCGCAAGTCTGGTGAGATTGGAGACAAGATCTCAGACGCCAACGAGAACGTTGCCCTCTTGATGAAACTCTTCGACGTACGTTTACCCTCGGCCTCTGACTATTAGGCGCTGACTAGTCTCATGTCGATCAAATCTCAAATTACCATCGCCAACATGCTGCAAGCGTCGGGAGAACAGTGGAAGAAGGATTACAAGGATCTCCGAACGGTCATACGCGAGAACCGGTTGGACGGCAAAGAGGAGAACGAGGATATCAGGAAAGAGTGTACGTCAATTTGCAAGTCCCAGAATCGAGTGGTATACTAATCAATTGCTTAGTGGACGAGATCAAGGAGATGATGAGCCAGATGTTTGCGCAGTCTCCTACTACCAAAAACGGGGCCAACTTCGGTCGTCAGCACAACGTTTTCGAATCGCCGAAGCTTCCAGGCCGGCGGCTTGGCACAATCTGAGAGCCGCATGTAGTATAGTTGTGGGTAAATCAGAACACTTGTAGCATAGTAGTATGTATAATAGCTTGCCATACTTACGAGTGGCAGACAACTTGTTGGGTGATTGTCACACGGGTCCATGACCTCTAGCGATGCCCTTGTAGTAGTCGAGGTGAGTCGAAATGACTTGAGGACCATGAGAGGTAGCCAAGCCAATGCCGGAGGACATGGACGCTTGTGTTGGAGAGAGACAACAATATTTGATCGAAAGAGTATCTAAAAGCTATGAAAGAGTGTGGTATTTATATCCAGCCTCAAGCCTACGTATCCCTTTTCCATGACCTTCCAGTGTTTTCTACAGTGGCCAACAGAGTGGCAAAGATTATTCTAGATGCTTCGAGATATTTCTGGGTCGAGTGGCGACAGCCACGTGACAGTGATCAACCGTACTCCAGTAGGCTCCTTTTGAGTCGCTCCCTATGGGATCACAGCTTGCACGAAACACACTATACATCATCGCATTGACTATAAAGCACATGTATAAGAGAGGAGATGTTCTGGACCCGAGTCAAGGCTTCCCAATGTATCACGCACTCAAAGAGTACGGGATATGAGGTAGCCTCCGGCTTATATCAAAGTCAGGCGAGTACACCGGCACAAAGGCTGGTAGGTACAAGATCTTTCGTATGCCCCTCCAATGGGTACCGCTACTAGGGGGTGCTAGAAGCAGGGGCACGAGGGTTACTCGGCTATGGAGGGGGAAAGGGAAGGTTGGTGGAAAGGATTGCTGAGGGAGGGGTAAGACTGATGTCTTGCATGTTGCAGATTATATTGCTGATAACATTCGAGGCGTCGGAATTTGATCTTGATGTGTATTGGCACAAGAGGTAAAGACAAAAGAGATGCGAAAGAGAATTGACATCTCTCGCCCCTCGACGCGACTGGATTTAACCAAAAAAAAGGCCAAAAGATATTCTAGAAATACTTCCGCAGAACAAAAGGCGTTCGACAATTGCGCTTCAGGGCTCAGGCACTGTGCCTCTCCTAAATCTCGGGTCTGATGTCTGATGCTTGTCTGCCTTTGCATCTCTTTCCAAAACACCAATCTTGCGTCCACTACATCACTACATCCGCAACCCCCTCACCATGTCCTCCAACGGTATCTCCCCTGCCAACCTGGCCCGCCCCCACAAGACAACCATGTCAGAGCTCAAGCTCCGGCGCCTGAAAGAGCACAACGCTCGGCTCAGGGAGGACCTCGCTCGGCCCCGAGTCCGAGTGAGCGAAGCCAGCGTCAGCTTGATCAAGCACTGCAGCTCCACAAAAGACCCGATGCTTCCTTCTGTCTGGGGACCGCCTGGGAAGAATGAGGATCCTTACTCACCGCCAGAGGCTGGGTGCTGTACGAGTGAGTTGCTTCTTCCGCACGGTTGATTAAGGGCTCGTATTGATGTCTTGCCGCACAGTCATGTAACGCCCCGCTTCTTGGACCCACATACCCCCAGTCAATCTTCTCTTTGAAAAGACACCACATTGTACCGCATTTTTCGACCCCGACCGTACCTATAACGATTTAACGGTTTAACGTTGTATCAACATCACCCACGACTATTCCGCCGGGTTCAGCACGCGCTGCTATTATACAAACATCTATATTCAAGCTACAAGGGATAGAGTGGGCCCAGAAGGGATGACTACAGCGTGTAGAGAATGGCTTGGAAGGGTAGGAGAAGCATGTCCTACCCAAAACCCGCGTTCGGCGCGCCGAGTGTTACGTTATAGAACCACACTGGCCTCTGATAAACTAGTCTTCAATGAACAAATCCTCTTGCAGCTTTTCCATATCATGATCGAAACGCAATATAGTACAGCACATGCTAATTCGCCTGCAGATAGTCCCCAGCCCCTAGTCAAACTCATCCCTAGCAATCCTTTTCCTCAATTCACTCCTCGTCACGCCTCCCTTCAAATCTTTCGGCAACCCCAGCACCTCAACGTAAGTGGAAGGGAATATACCCTTCCTTCCATATCTGCCCTCGCTCGCTAGCCTCCCCTCCCACCATTGTCCTCCCTCGCCCACGGAATCTGTCACAATCACGACCTGCCCGGCGCTGAACCCGAGATCCCCATCGGCACCGGCCTTAAAGTCAAACAAAGCCACAGCACGGGCGTACCCGTCATTGATATCATCGAGCCCTTGCTTGAGACGGATCTCGGGTTTGGGGGAAGAAGAGCTAGATGGTTTCTGAGGCGAAGAGTTCCACGGTGATGGGGTTGATCTAGCAGGTTTTTGATAGTCTTCGAACGGCTTCGAATAGGAGCTGGACCGTAGTCTGCCCGTAGAGTCATCGTCAAAGGGCGAAAACTCGCTCCTGGATGGTTTTGGAGCAGAAGCAACGTATGAAGAGAATGGTCGGTTTTTCTTGGACGGTGAACCGTACCTCGCCCTCTCATCCTGCTGCTTGGCCCTCTGCGCCTCGAGCGCCGCCAGATCCATGCCCGCGTACTTTGACACACTTTCTCGTGGTGTGTAATCTGGCTCAGCAGATGCCGACGTGTAAGAGGTGGAAGTGGATGGTTTGGGGTGTTCGAGGATGTTGTCGAATGGCGGTCTGGAACGAGAGTCGGATCGTGCGCGGGCGTCGGTGGACAGACGGCTGAAGCTGGCGTTGAGACCATTGCCGTCGCTGTCCCATTGGCCTAGCAGGTCGCGCTGGGTAGAACTGCCGTTGGAAGGTGTCTTTTGGTGGGACGAAGAGTCCCAGTCTGCGAGCAAATCTTTGTCCTTCTTCTCCTTCATATACGAGAACGGCACGGGCACCTCGCCGTCTTTCAGCAACGAACCACTCCTCGCCCTTCCTCCAGACGGCTTCGAGCCATGCCCCACACCCAAGCCCATCGGCCCTTGAGAGTCTGACGTCAACCCGGCAGTGTATGCTTCGCTGGTATGGCCTTGGCCGAGAGAACCTTTTCGGGGGCTGGAAGTGCCGCTGTTAAAAGGATTTAGGATGCTGCCACGGCGGTTGCTGGACGGAGAATCGGAACGGGAGGGTTCTTTGTCTTTGCCGAAGAGACTGCCGGCGCGTCTGCGGTTTGGGGGCGGGGTGCTGCCGGTAGCAGCTGAGCCTTCGCTGAAAGCATACCCTCCACCCCCGCGCCCAGACTCTGGCGTACTCCAGCCCATACCCCCGCCACCTTCCTCATTTTCCTCGTTCCTGTTAATCCACTTTTGTCCGCCTGGCAGTGCTGTACACTTTTCCAGCTGATCCAACAGCACAAATGCCCAATCGGGCATATCTATGCCGTCCAAGATGTGACCAGAGAGTATTTGCTTGGAAGAGACGTTTCCGCCGTAAGCCATGCGGTTTGCGTCTTGGCGTTCGACGATGACTGAGCCTTCCACAGAGACACCGCCAAAGAGACCTTTGGTTTTCGAGTAGGAGTACATGGCGGCGAGTTTGCCTTTGCTATTCAGCGCACCGGATCCTTCGGCATTGCGTCCCAGAGGTCCCACAGCCACCTGCTAGAGTTAGCCTGATGTTGTTGTGGCAAAGAAGATACTCACTGAGAGGTTACCGCCGATAGTCAGGGATCCGGCCGACATGAAGGACGCCACAGCAGAGTGTGACTACGGAACCGTCAGCACATCCTTTATTAGGCCAGGAACCGCCTACGTTCAACACAATCAAAAAATCTGTGACTCTGCAAACTACGTCAGCCGTGCCACGATGTCTGCGCGTGCGGTGTAGGCAACTTACTCAGCTCCGGCCTGGCCTCCAAAGCCCAAACCACCTAGACCGATAGCACTCGGAGGTGACCAAGCTGCACATTTATCAGCGCAAGCTCAAGGACTACGGGGAGTACTTACACCCATCTGGAAGCTTGGCAACTACGACTCCCGAACCGGCTCGGGCAGAAAACAAGAAGCCTGCTTTGAATACGGTAAAGATGGCGAACCCTGCGGCTCGTTCAAGCACCGTTCGCGGAATGACCTTGTCAAGTCCATTGTTGTTGACATCCACAAAGCTCCTCACTGCACCAAAACACTTTAGTCACATCCCTTTCATTTCCAGATCAAGACGTACGGATCTTGGCAGCTTTGCGAGATTCGTCTTGCAGGCGGACTTGGTGCCAGTTAGTACTGGCCGTTTGTATAGTTGTTAGGCTCACCTGGGATAGGGCTGTTGAGACCCATGTTGATTGATGCGTCGCAGATGAATGTGGCTGAAAGAGAGATGGACCGAGGTGGGACGTCTTATTGAGACGATAGTTCGGTGTCGGGCCCCGCGGGACTGCTGCTGCCGAGAACGGAGGTAGCCGCCCATTTGATCCCGTCTTTCACGCGTCGTGCAGTTGACGCGCAGGCTCATGCACCGCTGAATTATACTGAATCACTCAACGTCCCATACATTGCCTGTCTCGCCCTACAGGCTCTACTCCCCCGCCACCTATTCCCACGGCCATATACCCAGCATGACCTCGTCCCAGACAGAGGATGGGGTCCTGGCCCTGCCCCCTGGCGACGGATTGCTCTTTGATGTCGCCGTCTTCAGGACATACCTCGGGAGCTTACTGTCACTTGGTATGTACTGGAGTACAGTGATGCTGAATTCACGCTTACAACCCCCTAGTGATGTCGGCGACTCCCCAAGAACTCAATGATACTCTGTTCGAAGACCCCAATTTTGATGAAAAGACGGTAAGGTTTGCTACTGACGTAGGTTGTCAAGTTGTGTATATCACGAAAGAACGATACTTGGATGTAGACGAAGAAAGTGAGCAATTTACTAGGCAGGAGGGGAATATACTCATCTGGCGGCAGATTCACCTGTGGCACGGATCACCTACCGACTTCACCTCCCACCGACCCCTCCCCACTCCTCACATACTCTCGGCACCCTTGCCCTGATCAAAACCTCACCCACGCTCGACTCTATCAATGCCCTCGGTACTCAGCTCCATTTCCTCCAACTTTCATCCTCGTCAGTCGCTCCAATGCTTGTCGAGGATGACGGAGCACCATCCGGCCCTGGAACCGTTGTGTCCACCCCCACAGCGCAAAGCACACCCTACGACGGTCTCCACAGCCTCGTGCACTGGGGTGTGGCACCTTGGTTCGACTCGTATGTCAGTTCCAAGCAGTCTATCGCAACTCTGGGCGAGGTAACGAGCAAGAAGGGTGGAGAGGCGCAGATGGGTATCCCAGTCACCAAAAAGAAGTTTGCCGAGCTCGAGCTATCTTTGCTCCATTTGAAGCAGAATGTTGAGATACCCGAAGTGCACCTTTCTGTACACCCTGCTATCCGAAAGGCGGTGATTCATTGCCGCAGTACGGGTCAACGTGTCTCTCCCGATGCCGTCGAGCCCCAATCCCTTCTCTCCGACCCTGCTTTCCTGAACAAGCTCCAAGCAGATGTCAACTCGTGGATCAAGGAGATTCAAGCCGTCACGAAACTGAATCGTGACGTGTCCAGTGGTACGGCTTCGCAAGAGATCAACTTTTGGTTGAGTATGGAGCATGCTTTGGAGGGTATCGAAGCGCAGTTGGGTGGTGAGGAGGTGACGCTGGCTTTGGATGTTCTCAAGCATGCCAAGAGGTTCCATGCCACTGTCAGTTTTATTGCAGACACTGGTCTGAAGGAGGCTGCCGATCTTGGTACGTATAGTCCTCCGAGGTAGATGGCGAAGCTGACTGCTGCATAGTCCACAAGCACAACATCCTCATGAAAGACTTTCCCCTGGACGAGCTTCTCGCCGCTACGGATCTCGAAAAGATCCAAGACGCCATCTACCTGATCTTTGCGCACCTGAACAAAAAGCTCAAGCTCAGTCCCTACCCCATCCGACGCACCCTTCCTCTCGTCGAAGCCATCTCGTCAGACTTCAACGACCAGCTCTTAAAGATCTTGAGCTCGCAGAGGCTGATGTATATGGACTATGCCAAGTTCGAAGAAGTCATGGCTCTGGGGGCGGAAGTGTTTGGGACGTGGGAGGAGAATATGAAGGACTTTACAAATGTTGCGCGTGAAGGTGAGCGAATTGCCAATTTGGTCGACTTGAATGTGGCTGATCGTGAATGTAGTGTCTCGCAAGCGAGCAGAGAAGTTCATCTCTATCAAGATCAACCCCGTGCATGCCAAGCTCCAAGAGCGCATCACCTACCTCCGAGCCTTCCGCCGATCGCACGAACAGCTCCGAGTCATGACCAGCTCCACCCGTAGCTTCACCGGTCTCGGCGGTGATGCGCCTTTTGAGATCGACATGGAGCAGGAAGTGCGACTCAGTTACGAGAGCGTCAAGAATGTCGACGTCCTTGATGTCTCGCCCGAGGGCTCAGAGATCTGGTATACTGCCGAGACGGCGTACAATGACCGAGTTGCCAGAATCGAAAACCAAATCATCTCTCGATTACGAGACAAGCTCGCCACGGCGCGAAATGCCCAGGAGATGTTCCGAGTGTTCTCCAAATTCAACACTCTGTTTGTCCGACCCAAAATCAGAGGCGCCATCCAAGAATACCAAACGCGCTTGATCGAATCCGTGAAAGAGGATATCCGACAGCTCCGTCAGAAGTTTACTGCTAACTATAGGAACTCTCAAGCGTATCACATGTCGCAGATGCGTGATTTCCCTTCGGTCTCGTCGGCCATCATTTGGGCACGACAGATTGAGCGTCAGCTGTTGACGTATATGAAGCGCGTCGAAGATGTTCTCGGTAAAGGTTGGGAATCATACGCGGATGGTCACAAACTTCAAGTTGAAAGCGCCTCTTTCCGATCCAAGCTCGATACAAGGCCGCTCTACGATGCTTGGATTAGCGATATCACGAAGCGAGGCAACTTGACGATCACTGGTCGACTATTCGATGTCATCAGAACGCGAGCGACGGCTACAAATGCTCAAGGTCAGCTCCAGCTCGTCGTCCAGTTCGACCCACAGGTCATTGCGCTCTTCAAGGAAGTCCGATCCCTCATCTGGCTCGGCTTCCCCGTGCCGCTGACTATCAGTCACAAGGCCAAGGACGCGAAGAGAGTCTACCCGCATGCGGTCAGTTTGATGGAGTCTGTGAGGACGTATACACAGACCTTGGATTTGATCGAGAAGAATGCGGAGGTGGAGATCCTCTTGGCGAGTTATCGGGCTCACGCGCAGCAGATGATTGAGCGAGGTATGTTGCTGGTCATTATAAGAGGCATAGCTGACATACTTTAGGCATCAAAATGCAATGGGACCACCTCGTCAATGCCTATGAAGGCCACCGCTTTTTACCTGGTGCCGCTGCCGACGGTCGAGAATCCCGGCACTTCCTCTTTGTTCGCGAGTTTGCGAGTGTCATCTCCTTACTCCAGGACAAGACCAACGCTCTTATTGAGATCTACAACGACATCAACCGAATCGTCGACGAGCTCGCCGTCTGCGACTACAACACTGAGGCGTTCTCCTCTTTGCTTACTCAGATCCAAAAGTTTGTGGATCATCTCAATTTGGAGAACTATAGCAACCTCGATGCTTGGGTCGCTACGTTGAACGAGAAGATCGACAAGGTTCTGAGCGAGAGGTTGACCAACGCCATCGATATCTGGTGTAGCGAGTTCAGCAAGGACGAAGACGCGCCTCACGCTGAAGTCGCCCTGCCTTCTGGTCACAAGATGGATATTACCATCGAACCTCTGATTCACGAGATCCGAATCAGAAACCAGGTCATCTACCTTGACCCGCCAATTGAGCTTGCAAGGCAAGAGTGGCTTGGGCAATTCCAGGACGCCCTCGGTATAATCTGTAACTTCAACAGAATCAGGAGTTCGAGATATGAGATCAGTCTGCAAGTGGAGGAGGCGAGTGTGGAGGAGACGACGTATATCGGTTTGGTGAGTATTTCAAAGACTCAAAGGATGCTTTTCTAATACCCTGTAGCTCACCACTTTCCCCGATGGCACCCTTCAACAACCCCTTGCCCTCATCCAAGACAAGGTCCAAACTGTTTCCGCCTACGTCGACAAGTGGCTGCAGTTCCAATCTCTTTGGGATCTCGAAGCCGAGTTTGTCTACAACCGGCTCGGCGACTCCCTTTCCGACTGGGGCAAGCTTCTATCCGATATTCGACAGACTCGTACCACTTTCGACACTGCTGATACTCGCAAGGGCTTTGGTGTCTGCATCATCGACTATACCAACGCTCAGAGCAAGGTCAACGCCAAATACGATTCCTGGCAGCGAGAACTGCTCACCAGGTACGGAACACGTCTTGGTATCAATGAGAAAGAAACCTACGCGGCCATTTTGAAGGCACGAACGGACCTCGAGGGGCTTACCATCGAAGGCAGTTCGACTGCTCGGGCTGTGTCTTTTATCACCCTCGTACAAGACCTCAAGCGCAAGGTCCAGGTCTGGGGGCCAGAGATTGAAGAGTTTGAGCGAGGCCAGAGGACACTGGAGAGGCAACGATTCTCTTTCCCCGCCGACTGGCTCTACATTGACCAGATCCAAGGCGAGTGGGGCGCATTCTCAGATATTCTCAAGAGGAAGGACGACTCGATCAAGGAGCAAGTTGCTGGCTTGCAGCTCAAAATAGTGGCCGAAGACAAGGTCATTGACCAAAAGATTCGCGATTTCATTGCCGAGTGGGAAGAGAACAAGCCTCTTCAGGGTAGCATCAAATCTGAAACTGCTATCAACACGCTCAACGTATTTGAGGGTCGTCTGAGTCGACTTTTGGAAGAGTATGATCTGGTCCACCGTGCCAAGGAGGCTCTTGACCTTGAGCATACCAAGGACAACAGGCTGCAGCCCGTAAATGAGGAATTGAGGGACTTGAAGGCAGTATGGACGGCGCTGTCGGGTATATGGGGCAGATTGGCTCAGTTGCGCGACGTGCTTTGGACAGCTGTACAGGTACGTTATGGTTCGACTGCTTTTGAAAAGAAGCTGACATGGTTTCTAGCCTCGAAAGCTTCGCCAAGAATTGGACGCTATCCTTGCCTCAACCCGGGACATGCCCAGTCGAATGCGACAGTATGTTGCTTTCGAGTATGTGCAAGAAACTATCAAGACGCTTTTCAAGTCGAACGTCCTTATCGGGGAGCTTAAGTCTGAGGCATTGAGAGAGAGGCATTGGTCGAAGCTTTACAAAGCTTTGAGGTTACCCTCATCCCACCAAGCGTCTTCGTAGGTCCTATCGTTGTCGTATGTGCTTCTGAACAACGCTGACACCACCTTAGCATGACCCTTGGACAAGTTTACGACTTGGACCTCAAGCGTAACGAGGCTCTTATCAAAGAAGTCGTTGTTCAGGCCCAGGGAGAAATGGCGCTCGAAGAGTTTGTCAAGCAGGTCAAGGAAACTTGGACATCCTATTCCTTGGAGTTGATCAACTACCAGAACAAGTGCCGCCTCATTCGTGGCTGGGACGACCTCTTCAGCAAGTGTGGTGAACATCTCAACTCACTCACGGCTATGCGAATGTCTCCTTACTACCGCATCTTTGAAGAGGAGGCCGCTTCTTGGGAGGACAAACTCAATCGAATACATGTCTTGTTCGATGTCTGGATTGATGTACAGCGTCAATGGGTATACCTCGAGGGTATATTCTCTGGAAGTGCCGATATCAAGCACCTCTTGCCTGTCGAGAGCGCTCGCTTCCAGAACATCAATTCCGAGTTCTTGACAGTCATGAAGCGAGTCAACAAGTCGCCTTTCGTGCTCGATGTGCTCAACATTCCTGGTATCCAGAAAAACTTGGAAAGACTTGCCGATCTTCTCACCAAGATTCAGAAGGCTCTGGGCGAGTACCTTGAGAAGGAGCGAGCTTCTTTCCCTCGTTTCTACTTCGTCGGTGACGAAGACTTGCTTGAAATTATCGGCAATAGCAAGGATACCCGGCGTATCCTGAAGCACCTCAAAAAGATGTTTGCTGGTATCTCCACCTTGCAAATGGACGATGAGGACACCCAACTGCTTGGCTTCTCTTCGCGAGAAGGCGAAGAAGTGTACTTCCGCGCGCCAATCAATCTGAAAGAGTTCCCCAAAATCAACGACTGGCTTGCAAAGGTGGAGTCGGAGATGCGCCTTTCTCTCGCTTATCTCTTGTCGCAAGCTGTTGCCGAACTCGACGGTTTTTTCAAGCTCGATTCTAGTTTGTCCATCAGCGATCTTCTCGCCTGGATCGACTCGTACCCCGCCCAACTTGTTGTTCTCGCTGTACAAGTCGCTTGGACGAATCTCGTCGAGACATCCATCTCGTCTGCCGGCTTGACCGGGGTACTCAGTCTTGTATCACAAACACTGGACTTGTTGGCCGATACCGTTCTGCAAGACATACCTGTGCTTCAGCGACGAAAGTGCGAGCATCTCATCACCGAACTCGTTCACCAAAGAGATGTCGGACGATCTCTCATCACCGCTGGAGTTCGCGACGTTGGTGACTTCACTTGGCTTTACCACATGCGTTTCTATTTGAACGAAAGTGACGGCGATCCTTTGACAAAGCTCGAGATCCGCATGGCCGACGCCGTCTTCCCTTACGGCTACGAGTACTTGGGCATCCCGGACCGACTTGTGCAAACTCCATTGACCGACAAATGCTACCTCACTCTGACTCAGGCTCTCGACAACCAGTTGGGTGGATCTCCATTCGGGCCTGCTGGTACCGGAAAGACCGAATCAGTCAAATCTTTGGGTGTTCAGCTTGGACGTTTCGTCCTAGTCTTCTGCTGTGACGAGACTTTCGACTTCCAGGCGATGGGTCGTATTTTTGTCGGACTCTGCCAAGTGGGAGCGTGGGGTTGTTTCGATGAGTTCAATCGATTGGAAGAAAGAATGTTGTCTGCTGTATCTCAGCAGGTCCAAAGTATTCAGCAAGGTCTTTCGCAAGCTGCCCATGACCCTAATGCTGAGGTTGAACTTGTCGGCAAGAGGCTCAGGATCAACACTCGCACCGGTATATTCATCACTATGAACCCGGGCTACGCCGGTCGATCAAATCTGCCCGATAATCTCAAAAAGCTGTTCCGAAGCATGGCAATGACTCGACCCGATCAAGAGCTTATTGCACAAGTACTCCTTTTCTCCAAGGGATTCCGAACCGCCGAGATCTTGGCCTCGAAGATCGTACCATTCTTCAACCTCTGTGCTGAACAGCTGTCAGGCCAGCCTCACTACGATTTCGGCCTTCGAGCTCTGAAAGCTGTGTTGGCGAGCGCCGGTATTTTGAAGAGAGAAAGACATTTGAGGCAGCTTGACGAGAATGAAAGCGCTTCCGAGGTGGAGGCAGATCAGCTTGTTGAACAACAGATCATGATTCAAAGTGTGACAGAGACGATTGTGCCAAAGCTGGTGGCGGATGATGTTCCTTTACTCAAAACGTGAGTGTAGAGTCACGAGACAGAAGTGGTACTAACATTTCCTTATAGACTTCTCGAGGATGTCTTCCCGGGTGTTGCTTATGTCCCTGTCAATCTCGACGCGCTCAAATCGAAAGTTCTGGAGGTTTGCAAGGAACGACACCTTGTTGCTCAAGACGCTTGGCTCGAAAAAGTCATTCAGCTGTATCAGATTCAGAACATCTCCCATGGTCTGATGATGGTCGGCCCCTCCGGCACTGGTAAAACCCAGGCATGGCAGGTTCTCCTGGCAGCACTGGAGAGGTTCGACGGGACCGAGGGGACTTCATATGTTATCGATCCCAAGGCTATCGACAAGGAGGCTTTGTATGGTACTCTGGACCCGACGACAAGGGAATGGAATGATGGTCTATTCACGCACATCCTACGAAAGATTGTAGACAATGTGCGAGGCGAAACGTCGAAACGACATTGGATCATCTTCGATGGTGACGTTGATCCCGAATGGGTTGAAAACTTGAATAGGTAAGTGAGATAGCTGGACCATGATTTTTGTCGTATACTGACCTCTGAAATAGTGTTCTGGATGACAACAAGCTCCTTACTCTTCCCAACGGTGAACGACTGAATCTCCCTCCCAATGTCCGCATCATGTTTGAGGTCGAACACCTTCGCTACGCTACTCTAGCTACCGTCAGTAGATGTGGTATGATCTGGTTCAGCCAAGACGTCATTGGCACATCGATGATCTACGCCCATCACCTCGAAGAGCTTTCGGTGGTTCCCGTCGGTACCGACGAGGACGAGGCACTTGACTACACCACCGGAGCAGACCCCAGCGGCGTCAGCTTGGACGTACAGCGCCAGATTGTCGACCTTTTGAAGCCCTCTTTCGAGGCTGATGGTCTGGTCAACTCGGCGTTGCAGTACGCTGAGAAATCAGAGCATATCATGGACTTCACTCCCGCGCGAGCTCTCAATACCCTGTTCTCTTTACTCAAAGCGACCGTTCGCAATGTGGTCGGGTACAATGCTCGCCATTCGGATTTCCCTTTGTCTACCGACAAAGTCGAAGCATATGTTGCCCGGAGGCTTCTGCTCAACATTGTCTGGGCGTTTGTTGGCGATTCCAAACTAGACATCAGGGCCGACATGGGCCAGCACTTGGTCCGAGAGTCTGGTGTTGAGACGCCGCCCCTGGGTCCGGGAGCATCTCTCATCGATTACGACGTAGATGTAGCCACTGCTTCCTGGGTCTCTTGGCAATCACGGGTACCTGCCATCGAAGTTGAGACACACGCCATCACCTCTGCCGATGTGGTCATCCCCACTATCGACACTGTCAGGCACGAAGAGGTCCTCTACAGCTGGCTTGCCGAGCATAAGCCATTGATCTTGTGTGGACCCCCCGGTTCCGGTAAAACAATGACACTTTTCAGTGCCCTGCGTAAACTACCGAATCTGGAGGTCGTGGGCCTCAACTTCTCCAGTGCTACGACCCCGGAACTCATTCTCAAGACATTTGAGCAATACTGCGAGTACAAAAAGACACCCAACGGCGTTGTGCTGGCCCCCACGCAAATTGGGCGCTGGCTCGTCGTCTTTTGTGATGAGATCAATTTGCCAGCCACCGACAAGTACGGCACTCAGAGGGTCATATCCTTTCTGCGGCAACTCATGGAGTGCAACGGTTTCTGGAGGACCTCTGATCTTTCATGGGTGAAGCTGGATCGCATTCAATTCGTTGGTGCTTGTAATCCGCCTACGGACCCAGGCCGTGTCCCTCTCAGCCATAGGTTCATGCGACACGCCCCTGTCGTCATGGTCGACTACCCGGGAGAGATATCGCTCAAGCAAATCTATGGCACCTTCAATCGCGCTCTCCTGAAAGTCATTCCCACTCTGCGAGGTCACTCAGACGCACTTACTGACGCGATGGTCACTTTCTACCTCGCGTCGCAGAAGCGGTTCACTGCCGATATCCAAGCTCATTATATCTACAGTCCTCGAGAACTTACTCGATGGAGCCGAGGTATATATGAGGCTATCAAACCGTTGGAAACGCTCTCTGTCGAAGGGCTCCTTCGAGTCTGGGCTCATGAGGCCCTTCGTCTATTCCAAGACCGTTTGGTGGCCGAAGATGAAAAGAGGTGGACGGACGATCTTATCGACACTACCGCTGCCGAGCACTTCTCCAGCTTGGACTTGTCGTGGGCTCTGAAACGACCTATTCTTTTCTCAAACTGGACATCGAGAAACTACATCCCCGTCGACCGTGAGCAGTTGAGAGAGTACACCAAAGCAAGACTACGAGTGTTCCATGAGGAGGAGCTGGATGTGCAACTGGTGTTGTTCAATGACGTGCTGGACCATGTCTTGAGGATCGACCGAGTCTTCAGGCAGATTCAAGGTCATTTGCTGCTCATTGGTGTGAGCGGTGGAGGCAAAGTGAGTGCTCATGACCGAATTTGCGTGTGGACACTGACATACGCTCCCATAGACCACCCTCTCCCGATTTGTGGCTTGGATGAACGGCCTGAGCATCTTCCAGATCAAGGTATCAAACAAGTACACTGGCGCCGATTTCGACGACGACCTTCGAACAGTCCTCCGCAGAGCGGGCTGTAAAGGAGAAAAGATATGTTTCATCATGGACGAATCCAATGTCCTGGACTCCGGATTCCTCGAGCGTATGAACACTCTCCTCGCCAACGCCGAGGTGCCAGGCTTGTTTGAAGGCGACGAGCATGCTGCTCTTATGACGGCGTGTAAAGAAGGTTCTCAGCGGGACGGCCTAATGCTGGATTCGCACGAGGAGCTATACCGTTGGTTCACCCAGCAAGTTGCTCGCAATCTTCATGTCGTCTTCACTATGAACCCGCCCGCCAATGGTCTCGCTTCTCGCGCTGCGACCTCACCGGCTCTATTCAACAGGTGTGTCCTCGACTGGTTCGGCGACTGGTCCGACCAAGCGCTCTATCAAGTTGGTCTCGAGTTCACTCAGACGCTTGATCTCGACCTGGCCACCTACGCGTCGCCAGCGCCTTTCCCGATTTCTTATAGGGAATTGGAGTCTCCTCCATCTCATCGACAAGCCGTGATCAACGCAATGGTCTTCATTCACGAGTCGATGAAGATCATAACGACCAAGCTGGCTAAGCGTCAAGGAAAGTACAACCATGTGACCCCGAGACATTTCCTCGACTTGTAAGACAACAATGTTTACAGCAAGTGGTATCAGCTGACAGAATACCTAGCATTAATCATTATGTTCGTCTCTTTGTCGAGAAGAAAGAGGAGCTCGAGGAGCAGCAACGCCATTTGAACGTGGGGCTCGACAAGCTACGTGAAACAGTCACGCAAGTCGAAGAACTTCGCCATAGTCTTGCTGCTAAGAGCACTCAGCTGGAAGCCAAGAACGTTGAAGCCAACCACAAACTGCGCCAGATGGTCAAAGATCAGCAGGAGGCTGAAGCTAAAAAGACGGCTTCCATCGAGATTCAGGCCGCTCTTGTGCAACAAGACGAGTTCATCCGTCAGAGGTCGAATATCGTCAAGGAAGATCTCGCCCAGGCCGAGCCTGCTGTTCTCGAAGCTTTGGCAGCTGTCGGCAACATCAAAAAGCAGCACCTGTCCGAAGTCAGGTCGATGGCCAATCCACCGGAGGCCGTCAAGCTTGCCATGGAGTCGGCCTGCACCGTGCTTGGACATCATATTGACAACTGGAGGGCTGTCCAGACCCTTATTCGCAAGGACGACTTCATCTCAAGCATTCAAAACTTTGACACCAAGAAAATGTCAAAGAATCTGCGCGATCGTATGATCCGAGACTACATCGACAAGCCTGCCTTCAACTTTGAGACTGTCAACCGTGCCAGTCGAGCATGTGGTCCTCTGGTCCAGTGGGTCATTGCTCAAGTCAGGTTTTCCGAAATCTTGGACAAGGTGGCACCTCTTCGTCAAGAGGTAGCATCGTTGGAAAAGCAAGCGGAGGCGACCAAGCAGCAGGCCCAAGTCGCTATGGACACTGTGACCGAACTGGAAGCCAGTATTGCTCAGTACAAGGACGAGTATGCGTCGCTCATCAGCGAGACTCAATCTATCAAGAGTGAGATGGACCGTGTGCAAAGCAAGGTGGACAGGAGTATGACGCTTCTGCAGAGTTTGTCATCGGAGCAAGAGAGATGGGATGCTGGAAGCAAAACCTTCGAGACGGAGATGGGGACTATTGTGGGAGACGTCATGATCTCGGCGGCATTCCTCGCGTACAGTGGTTTCTTCGATCAACACTATCGAGAGATCATGAGAAGAGAGTGGATGGAGCACCTCGCGGAAGCAGGTATCAAGTACAAACTTGACCTGGCTCTCTCCGAGTTCCTCTCTACCGCAGATGAGCGACTGGGTTGGCAAGCGAATGCTCTTCCTGCAGACAATCTTTGCATCGAGAACGCAGTCATGCTCAATAGGTTCAACCGTTACCCCCTGATTGTTGACCCGACTGGACAAGCTACAGCCTTCCTCCAGAACGAGTATAGCGACCGCAAGATCACAGTCACGAGCTTCCTCGACGAGTCGTTCTTGAAGAAGCTGGAGAGTGCTTTACGATTTGGCAATCCTCTCCTGATCCAAGATGTCGAAAACTTGGATCCTATCCTCAACTCTGTCCTCAATCGCGAACTTCGCCGCACAGGCGGTCGAGTTTTGATCCGCATCGGGAACCAAGATATCGACTTCTCCCCTGCCTTTACGATGTTCTTGTCTACGCGAGACCCATCGGTAGAATTCTCCCCCGATATCTGCAGTCGTGTGACATTCGTCAACTTTACGATGACTCGAAGCAGTCTACAGACGCAGGCCCTGGACAAGGTTCTGAAGGCAGAGCGTCCGGAGATTGACCAAAAACGTACCGACTTGATGAAGATCCAAGGAGAATTCAGGGTCCGACTGAATCACCTTGAGCGGTCTCTTCTGCAAGCTCTCAACGAGTCTTCCGGCAGCATTCTAGACGACGACAAAGTGATAGAGACTTTGGAGATATTGAAGAAGGAGGCGGCCGAGATCACTGGCAAAGTGAAGGATACTGAAGTAGTCATGAGGGAAGTGGAGGCCGTCACAGCTGAATACCTGCCGCTTGCGCAAGCCTGTAGTGGCATCTTCTTCACCCTTGAACAGCTAGCCTCCATCAACCACTTTTACCAGTTCTCACTCGATTACTTCCTCGAAATATTCGACTACGTCCTTCTCCAAAACCCTCGTCTCAAGGGCATAGTTGATCTAGGAGGCCGAAAAGATATACTTCTTCAGGACATCTTCTTGACATCTTTCCAGCGAGCCTCCCGATCCCTTCTACACACCGATTACCTTGTCCTGTCCGTGATGTTGGCCAGATTAAGGATGAGAGGAGAAGACGGAGCGCGTGTCAATGAGGAGTTGGATGTTTTGCTCGAGATTCCCTCTGGGGGTGTGGCGCAAGGGTTGGTTCTCTCGGCTGAGCAGAAGCGGGTGATGGATGGTGGGATTGGTGTCGAGGTTAGCCAGGTAAGCTGCCTTAGTATCCAATCAATTCCACAAACTGACACACAACAAGGCCTTGGAGCTTGACTTTGCCGAGAATAAGGGTCGTTGGGAGGCTTTCATGCAAGCGCAACAGCCCGAGAAATCAGTGCCTTGGCCTTGGGCTCCATCTGACAGTACGTGTGAATATAATGACAACGATACATAGCTGACATCTCCAAGCTCTTCTCACTGCCGCCAGACATATGATTGTCATCAAGATTCTCCGACCTGACCGATTGCTCCAAGCTATATCTATCTTCACGGATCTCGCATTCGGACTCGATCTCGCTACCCAAGCGGAGTACAACTTGCAGACTGTGATTACGGAGCAAGTCGGCCCTACAAACCCAATCGCTCTGGCCTCCGTTCCAGGCTATGACGCCAGTTACCGAGTCGACAACCTTTGCCGTGCCATGGGAACTAGCTGCTCCTCGATAGCCATGGGTTCCGGGGAAGGATTTGGTTTGGCGGATAGGGCTATTGCGGAGGCTGCTAGGGTTGGTACTTGGGTCTTGTTGAAGAATGTTCATCTTGCGCCTGGATGGCTGGCCCAGTTGGAAAAGAGACTGCACAGCCTTTCTCCCAACCGCAACTTCAGGCTCTTCTTGACCATGGAGACCAATCCCGTAATCCCTGTCAACATCCTTCGACAGTCTCGAATCATCATGAACGAGCCTCCTCCCGGTGTGCGTGCAAACCTTTTGGATACCCTTCGCGGCGTGCCTGAAGCGCTGCTGTCTTCAGGCCCTGCTGAGAAGCCCCGTCTATTCTTCCTTCTCGCTTGGTTCCACTCAGTGGTGCAAGAGCGTCTTCGCTACCTTCCTTTGGGATGGAGTAAGAGTTACGAGTTCAATGACTCTGACTTTGATGCGGCTCTCAATACCATCAACACTTGGATTGCTTCTCTGGCTAAAGGCAAGGCCAATGTCGACCCTGCGCAGATACCGTGGGTGGCGATCAGGACGCTAGTCAAACAAACTGTTTATGGAGGTCGCGTTGACTCGGACTACGATCAGCGAGTGGTAGATGCTTTCGTGGATCAAGTCTTTACTGCCCGCGCGTACGAACCGGATTTCATATTGGTTCAAGGCGCAGATAACCAGGAAGGACTGGCGGTGCCCGAAGGGACACAGATGTCGCAGTTCGTCACTTGGGCGCAAGGCCTGCCCGAAAGGGAACCTCCCGTCTGGTTGGGTCTGCCGTCCACTGCTGAGGGTGTGGTCGCTGCTGCTGAAGGTGAGATGATCGTTGTTTCTCCGATGTATTCTTGTGCTGACGCGTGCTCTAGGTGATTCTCTAATAGCTAAGCTGAGGAAGATGAGGACCACGGAGGACGACGATGACGACGGACCTGTTTCTGGTGGCTCCACTGGACGGCCAGCATGGATGATGGCTCTCAAGGGGCACGCTGAGCAGTGGCTATCTACGCTGCCGGAGGTGCGTTTCTTCCGTGTCTCTTGATTATACGCGCTCACGTTGTAATCACAGGCGCTGTCTACATCTGATAAATCATCTCCCACACAATCACCCCTTTCTCGATTCTTCATCCGAGAAACCTCCACTGGGTCCCGCCTTCTCAGCCGTATCCGACGTGACCTTTCCGAGCTCATACAAGTATGCCTCGGCGATCTCAAGCAGACCAACGAACTCCGCGCCCTCATGTCTGATCTCAACAAGGGCACTATTCCCTCCCACTGGCGTAAATTCAAGATTCCTCGCGGTACTGCTGTCAGTGAATACGTCAACAATCTGTCAGAGAGGCTGGCTCAGCTGGAGAAACTCTCAGCCGGAGCGGTCGATGCAGAGAAGGGCGTGTGGCTGGGTGGTTTGTTCCAGCCGGAGGCTTACATCACCGCGACGAGACAAGCCGTGGCGCATGAGAGAGGATGGTCCTTGGAGCAGCTGGTCTTGGGCATAAGCATTGCGAATACCGGCGAAGCAGATGCGTTTACTGTGCGAGGTAAGTCGGGTGTTATCTCTACGTGTATTGTCAGCTGACATGAACAAAGGTCTAACCCTGCAAGGCGCTACCTGGACCTCTGCTCGCCTGGCGTTGAACGACGGACAGACTGTTCCCCTCGAGCCTTCACAGATAACCTGGAAGTGTCACGACGAGGTCTCAAAGGTCGAGACAATGTCCGTTGTCAATGTCCCCGTTTATCTCAACAACGATAGGAGTGATGTTCTTTTCGGTGTCAATTTGGAGACAGAGGAGGGCGGGGATACCCTAGCCCAGAGGGGCGTATGTCTGACTGTTGCTTGAGTGAGAAGTAGTGATTCTTTTGGCTTGGCCTGAATGTGATACGAACCAAATAACGTTAGATTATGATGTACATACGCAAAGTAGTTAGCAATGTATAGGCTGTTACATGAAATGAAAGATCCGCAAGGACGCCTTTACCGAGACGTCTAGAGGCAACGGTGTATATCACATTCAACGAGGGCTCTACTAATCGTCATCCTCGTCAGAGTCCATAACGACTCTTCTTGCGGTCGCTCTGGGAGCCCTTACTTCATCGTCGTCCTCGTCATCGCCAGCCTCTTCGAAAATTGGCATGCCACTCTCCGAACTGTGCACCACGGGTCGCATGGAACGACCGTTGTGATCCTCATCAGATTCACTGTCACCCAGCTCCTCATCGCTCTCCATCGCCATCCGCCGCATGTCGGCCAACGTTTCCTTCCTTCTGTTCATCGCAGCTATCTCCTCCTCCGTGACGATTCTCGTCGTCACTCCAGGCTCCCCTCTATCGCTTTCCGGCTCAACGACGTTGCCCATTGGCGTCCAGCTGGGTAGCGGCAGGCCCTCATCTTCAGAGTCCACTATTTCTAGACTCTTGCCCTTCTTGCCCTTGTCCTTTCCTGCGCCGCGTTTCCTCTTCACGCCTCGGTCAAGCATACTATGCCCACCGCTAGCGGCGAGGGCATCCATCTCTGCTCTCAACCTCGCCTCATTCTCAAAGAAACTCCTAGTCGCTTCTTCGTCTTCGTCATCCGAGTCTTCAATGAACGCTGCAGACTTGAACGTCTGTGTCTCCGCAGCCTTCTTTGCCTTCTTCCTACGCGCACTGTTCTTGGGGCGAGAATCGCGCGTTGATTCGCGGACTTCACCAGTTTCGGAGTCGTAAGACTCGACAGACGGGGAACGTCGGCGGCGACGAGGTGCACGAGGTTTGCGACGAAGAAGCTTCTTGGGATCTTCGTCGAGGCTCGGTGGGTCTTCCATATACTGCTTGAGAGCCCCGATACTCGCCTCCAAGTTTGAGGGTACGACGTCTTCAGGAATATGCCAAGCATAGTTGGATTTCTCGACGGCAGCAGCGAGCTGTTCCGGAGCGATATCTTCTTCGAAATCAAGTTCCATGGGAGGTGGAGGAATGTCGAAGGAGAGAAGCTTGAGCATGAGCCGGAAGTGCTGATTCTTTTGGATAGCCGCCGTCTGCTCGTCATCCTCTGGTTGAAGATCTGCTCGGTGTCAGTGGCGGAAAAGCAATATTCGAGGACACTTACCATACCGCACAAACTTGCTCTTCGCCTCCTCACTAGGCCCACCAAAGTTTCTAGCCCGAACATTCCCATCCTCGTCTTTGTCAACGTCCATACCACCATCTGTGGCCAAGACAATCTCCTGCCTAGCCGCGAGCACCTCTTCGAGGACGCTGATAATCCACTTGATGAGGTATCCTTGGCCGGCTTCGTGCAGTATCGCGAATACGACAGACATCTGTTTTGACCAAGAGAGGTTGTGTTTCTTGACGAACGCCAATTCAGCGGGACCCATCTGTGAATATCTGTCAGTGTCGAATTTTCAACATCTCAACAAGAACGCACCTTTTCCTTGATTCTACTCTTCTGACCACCCATCCCATCATCATCACTCTCCCCACCACCGCCCCTCCATTTGCTTCGCGCTTTCGTACTCAGGACTTCGATGATTATGTACGGATCCTTCTCCACATGCTTGAAGAATTTGCGAAGGATGAAAGTGATAAGTGTTGTGAGATCTCGAGAGGCAGGGGCATCGGGGAGGGCGTGTTTGTTTTCCAGTATACGTTGGAAGAGAATCATCGTGGTCACCTGCGCGTTTGTCAGTCAATCTTTGTTGCTACCTCGCGTACGCACTTTGAAGAAGAGGCCCTCGGCGTGGGTTTTGACGACTTGACGGTGCATCAGTCCGACCACACGCTTGACCTGTTCGGCAGAATCGAATTCGAGAAAGCGTTCGAGGTACACCAGCAGAGTATTGACAATAGCTTCAGTTGCAAACCTCTGCAATGACCGTCAGCTCTACCCACCAAAGTTGAGGCCCGGACAAACCTTCTCGAACCCCTGGAAAGTAAACGCGTGTTCCTCATAACTCGGCGCATCCTGATCCGGCCCCTGATCCGCCTCTTCCTCATTCCCATACTCTTCCGGGATAGTTCTCCTCCTCACTTCCTCGCTGTCATTTGGATCCACCTGTTGCTCTTTACGCTTTCGATGGGTGTTTTTGCGTTTGCGGATGAACATGAAGGATTTGGTTTTGGAGTAGCGCTCCAGCATGCGGAGGAGGACGTAGGCAAAGTGGATGATGGAGTCGAGGTACCTGGGAGGTGATCAGACTTCGTCCCGGATCAGAGAGCGGAAAAGCTTACGCGATGGATTGATTCTTGTATTCTCGAACCACAGAGAGGGCAGAGTCCAAGATGTCGTAGTTATAATACAGCTGATGCTGCATGATCTCGGCAACTTCCACCTCCTCTTCGTCGGGCGATGAGGCCATATCGTCAATCAGCAGAAGCTACCATCATGTCAGTCACGCCTTCAACAACTCTTGACATGACTCACAATCTGCGTAAAGCAGTCTATACACGCTTGCAACTCTGTCCAAGCCTTGGGCTTATCATCCCAACTAATTCTCAACCTTGCAAACAACCACTTGACAGAGTCCATCTCTGCCATCTGCGCTATCAACCCCAATGGCAGCTCGTCCCTCTCACGCGAGCCGCCGTTGTCGTACAGCTTGTTGCGGAGGAGAAGGAGGTATTCGATAAAGAAGCGGGTGAGGTAGAAGACGCGGATGTTGTCGGAGGGACGGATTTTGGTACGTTCCATGCGAATGTCGCGAAGAATGTATTCGAAGAAGGCTGAATATGGTGTGAATTTCACTTCCTGCGTGGGGTCGATGACTCACTGTTGAAAGCAGTTTCTAAGAATGCCCGACAAAAGTTTTGCAGAACGACCATGGCTTCCACACTCAAGGTGAAGTATTGAGTCAATTCATCCTACGACGGTCAGATACCAAACACTACGTAACGATTTGAGACTCACCATCTTCTTTGGGGGCGCTTTCTTTCCCTTCTTGACAGCATCCAAGATCTTTCCCGCGTCCTGTACGACGGCATTCTGCTTGTGCAGCACCACGCGTTGCTCAGCCTGAACGGGGTCAGCTATATGGCCAAAATCATGTCAAGGGACTCACAGTCTTGACCGTGATAGTAGTGCCAAACCTCGAGTGCCGTGTATACCCAGATTTCGAACTCATAGCCTTCTGCTTCTTCTCCCCATCAAGCAGCTTTGCCAGATTGTCCAGTGGTACCCTCTTCTGGTCTTGCCCCAGGTCTTGCACTTTGACGCCTCTAAAGATGAGATGCAGGATGTCGAGGACGATGACATTGAAGGCGTTGAGATCACTCTTGTCGGAGCAGGAGGCGAGAGTGAGGAAGAGTTGGAGATATGTGAGAGAATCGAGTTGACAGATCAGATCAGACTGTTTTCCATGGTCAGTGATAGTCGCTATGTATGGGATCCGTTCGCTCACTTGAAGTTGGGCCATTTCTGCTTTGGTACCGGTCGCAGTACCTTCCGCAGAAGCATCCTTCACGGCTAGAAGGTTTCGTACGACATGTAGACCTAGAGAGATGATTCGCGTGTCTTTCTCATCTCTGCTCTTGTATCAGCTTGTGAACCTGATCATGCGCGGGCAGCTCACTTTCGAGGTTTTGCAAGACACGGGACCATGAGTGCTAACAGAGCTCTAAGCGGGCGATCGCTCTTGAGAAACAATGCCTTGTACTCCATCTGTGCACGGAGCAAAGACGCATAGTCTGTGATGATGGGCCCTTCCTCTTCAATCTCCTTTAGTTCTTGCGCAACGTCGATAGGCCATGTCAGAGCAGCAATCAAGTCACCTACGAATTGTCAGAAGAAAAAAAAAAAAACAACATCAGGAGTAGAACTCACAAGCAACAAGCGACACTTTCCGCCCCCACTCTCCTCTGTCTGCACATTCCACCAAGATAGCCACCAACTCCTTCATCAACCCCGCCTGGGCCATGCACCTCGCCACCGTCCGTTCATCATCTTCGTCGTCCTTTCTCCATAGCTTCTTGAGATCCTTGAGCACGCCCAGGACACTATCACCAGGCCTGTAGATGGTATCAAAGTGGCCGCTTCCTGGAGGAGACTCGATATCTTCGTAACCACCGAGAGCGTTGACGAGGGTCTGAACGGCATTGTAGAAGAGGTCGTACTTGTCCTCTGGGGCGTCCAGGAAGGGCGGAGGGGAGGGAGGGCGGTGGTCGTCCATGGGTGCGTAGGAGGTGAGAGGAAAGATGTCATGTCTCTACGCGTCAAAACATCAGCAACGCGCCTTGGAGTAATTACGAGCTGTTTATTGATATTACGCGTTTCTATCATTCTATGCAGCAGCTTTGGACGGTATCGCTGCATAGCGAGGGGTGTGTCCAGCTGGGCTAAGAAGTCCTTCTGACCAGCCATATCGAATGTATTCCTTGCCGTGGATGTATCCATGCATACAAGCCAGCAATATATCCCATAGCCCGCTACCCAATCATTAACCCTTGCTTAATTTGGTCCTCGGCCCGCCGGTGGTCTCTGATACAACTGAAGCATCTCTTACGTTTTGACTTGCTGCAGACAAGTATATTGCGCTCTCTTTCCATCTCGCCATGGCTGAGAACATCCTCGGCCTCCTCCTAGTCACCTCCTCCTCCCGCGGCCGCCACGTCTTCCGCTATCCTCCCGACCCCGCCTCCCCAAACGTCCGCCTCCGCCAGCCCATCTACCCCTCCGCCACATTCACAGCCACCGACGCCGACATTGAATACAAACACCCGCGTGCCGGGGGTGTCGGTTCCAGCAGGCGGAGAGGCTTTGACGACCGCTCCTCGAACGCTTCCATCCGGCGCTCTTTGTTTGGCCCCTCGACCCGGGGCAGCAGTAAGACGAGCAAGAATGTCAAGAAGGACAAGAAGAAGGGGGACGACCTCAGGCAACGATATATGAACCCTTTAGCCGAGGGGAATGATTCAGAGTATGAGGAAGAGTCAGATCAGGGGGAAGAATCAAACAGCTCGTCGTCGGAAAGTGATTTTGAGCCCACGTGGAAAGCTGGGTCTGGCGGACCCCAAGACAAATCGGGTACGACTGGCAAGACGCCGCATCGCCAGACAAGCGGAGACGACGACCACAAGGCTCACGGCGGGTTGCGGTCCCTCGATCATTCCACTCTGCTGGGCCCGTCTCGTAGAGGCTCGTCCAGTACGACTACGCCAACCGCTGTCGGCATGGACAACGGCGATAAGGATGCTCAGAAGAAGGCTATCGAGTCTCAATACAACTATGCCCTTGGGTGGCCTCTTGAAGTCCTCGCAGATATGCTCACTCCGCCCAGAGCTGCCTGCAATCGGCGGTTCGAGCTCTGCGTGGGTAATGTCGTATTTCTAGGCCATCCAGTATGTGCTGGACCGGATGGGAAATGGGAACTACCCCCTGACGATGATGAGCTTGAGGAAAGAGCACCGTCGAGAGGTAGACGGATGAAGGACCAGCCTGTAGGGCTGACGAGCCTCGACACGGTCGTAGAAGGTAACGAAGCCTACACCTCTACCATCGCACCCGGCGACGCAGACCCCAAGCGAAAGCCTACCAAAGAGGATGTCCCGAATCTTATCATGTTCCATCTGGTCATCATCATTGACAAACCTGATCCCAGACCTGGAACAGAATCGCATGATGAACATCATACACATACTCTGGGTATTTACGATGAGATATACCGCGAAATCGCGTTCAAGTGGACGGCGGCGGCGTATAGATTGCAGTGTGAGAGTAATCTGGTGGCGAGAGAGGCGTGGATGATTGTCAAGTACAAAGAAAAGAGTTTGGCTGACGGTATGTTATGATTCCACTATACAGTTGAACGACTGCTCATAGTGCGTAGGCGTCGCTATCACAGAATGCTGCCGCTGGACAGCCGCTCACTGCCACATCGACCGAACCCTCAACTACCTATACCTACGTCTCCACCAACTCCGCACCCATCCCACCAACGGTCTCCACTCCTATCTCCCCACAACCATCACCAACCGCCTCTCCTATCTCCTTATCGAAACCATCCTATCCCCGCGCCCGGCCAACAGCGATGAAGCCTGGGCACACTGGGGTGAGCTGTCAGGGATGCTCTCGGACGAAGGCGGGAGTGACGATGAAGAATCTAGTGACGGGGAGGAAGAGTGGGGCGGGGTACTGGGAGGGAGGGCGCCGGAGTTGAATGTGAAGCCGTGGCAGACTTTGCTTTTGACTGATGATGGGAATGTTGCGAGGCAGGATGCGGTCCATTTTGGGATCGTCGGGCTGCCGGCCGAGTCTGTGGATATTCGGGTGGATGGACGCAAGTCTCCCGATAAGAAGGCATTGGCTGCAGAGGTAGAGAGGTATGAGGACGAGACAGAGTTGCTCCAGTCGCTCATTGCTGCCTGCGACGTGACAAAACCGTACGTCTCTCGCTTCTCAAGTGACTTGTCTGACTCGTCTGCAGACTTTACGAGATTGCCCATTTGCTCCGGTACGACCTCGAAGGCATCGTCATCCCCCTCGCTCGCGACCTCGTACAGAACAAACGCGCCATGCTCATCGACGTCGTCAACCCCCGCCTCCGTACTGTCGTCATGCCCACCACCATCGACGAACACGGTACCTCCTTCGACCAATACTCTGCACGCTTTACCCGCGAGTTCCCAGATCTACCCCGTTTTGCCAGGCTCATATCGGCTCTGTCGCTCGAGCCTGTTCCTTTCAGAAAAGTCATTCCAGGCCCAGGAGAGCCGAGTCACGCGACAAGGCAGAAATACATGTCGGCGCTGCTTTGGATGCTCAAGCAAGACTTGGTCGTGCAGGTGCATACAAGAGCTCGGGTGTTTGCGAAAAAGGAAGTCATGGCAGAGGCTTGGAAAAGACTGTGGTATAGACGCAGGAACAGGTGGCTGAGTATCCAGAAAAACAGAAAGGAGAAGGAAAAGGAAGCCCAGGGCCCACAATCTCCCTCTGGATCAGACTTGATTACTCCAAGAGCTTCAGAGAGCTATCCCAACCCCATCGACGCACTCATCAACACCACACCCCAGAACAAAACCTCTGTCCCTCCCCCTAACCATTCCGCGCCAAAAGGGCGGGAGTACCACCAATCTTTCCTGTCATATGACCCTGCGCTCGAGATGGACAGCGATGAAGAGTTTGACGGTGTCAGGAATAAACAACAGTTCTCGGAAGAGGTGGAACATCCTAGCAAGAATGAGATACCGAGCTTTGAGTCGAGTTTTATATTCAAGCCTGCTAGGGCGCAGAAGGATGAGGCGCGGTGGTTGAGGGTGATTCGGGGACGGGCGGATGAGGTGTGGGCGAGCAAGTTTGATTTGTAAGCTGGTCATAACGTTTGGTCGGCGTAAGCTGACACTCTTTCTAGGTGCGTACAGTACTTTGATGGTGTGACGACGTTTGAGGAGATCACATATCGGACGGGGCTGCAGAGAAAAGAGTTGGAGAAGATCTTGCAGTTGTACAGTGGAGATGTAAGTGTGGCTTTTGTCGTCGTTATTGCAGTGCTGATCAAACCCGCAGGTCGTCACGTTTGTACATCCATAGATTGCGCTCGAGATGTCAGCAGCAAGTACTCCTGCAATGCGCACTCGGTGTATACATGTACAACATACTCCACTCTCCAAAGTCCATGCTAGACCTGTCGCCGGACCCCTTCCCCCAGATCAGGCGTACTAACCACTGTACCTCCTATAGGCAGCCCCTGCAGCCCCACAGTCGTACTTTTCCCCGATCCTTGCTCCTTTGGGTCTTCAACTGAGCCCTCCGATAAAGCAGGCGTAGAGCTCTCCAGTCCTGAACGGCGTGTAGGTGCAGTAGAAGAAGGACGAGAGAGTTGGGGTGTGGAGCCGCGCGAGGGTGGGGGGGCGATCTCGGTTTTGAGGACTCGGGTAGCCTTCTTTTTGGGTTTGGGAGCTGTATAGATGTGAGAATGGTGGTAAAGACGAGAAGAGGCAAGGTGCGTACCGTTGGGATTTTGGGACATGTAGAAACGCCGTAAGAGCATGATAGCTTCTTCTCTGTAAAAGCCTCCCTCTGCCACATACGCAGGGTGAGAATCCAATCTAGGTCTACTTACATCAGATTGGAAATATCCCTGAGGCAATCCGTAGACGTACGAGCTGTTCACTCCAATAACACTCCCACACCCTCCAAATCTATCATTCCCGCACCCATACACCACTCTTCCTATACCAACTTGACGAAGGGCTGATGCACACATGACACAAGGTTCTACGGTAACGTAGAGAGTGATGGACGATAAAGGAGCGGGGTTGTTGGGGAGGAGGTGGTCGATAGCCTCGAGTTCAGCGTGCAGGGTGGCCTGAGTTGTAGTCAGCATTGTTTGGGGCTTGGGTGAATGTTCAGTGGGCTCACATTCCTCCATTCATTGGTTCTGTTCCGCGCTCGAGCGATAGCCTGTCCATCCTTGACAAAGACACAGCCAACAGGGACTTCGTCGTTTGACAGAGCTTCTTCTGCCTATCGAAATGGCTGGTCAGCTCGAGCTCTAACCTTGAAGCCAGGTGACTTGCCATATTGAGAGCTTCCCTCATCCAAGCCATGTCGACAGCATTTTGCTCCTCTGGTGGGATATAGGTCTGAGACCGACGGGGTTAGACTTGCGAGTCACCGTGATGGGTCCCACTTACCGCCATTGTTGCGGTAGTAGAGCTCTGTTGAATGCAAGAAGAGAAGAGTTTTTGAATGATCTACCCTGTGATGGTCCTCCTGATTATCGCGAGTCGATGCTTCAATTCGAGCTGCAAGTTGAGCGAATCACCATGGCCGTCCGAATCAACAAAAGTCAGAAATATCAACAAATGCTCTTACGTAAATGGCAATCAGGCACGCACTTGTTCAACGAAACAACGACCGGATGTGAAGCTATGCACGACGAGCGACGTCTCCCTTGTGATCGCTCTGCGCATGGTTTTTTCATATCTGAGCTAAGCCTCTATTGGTAATCAGCAGTTGCTACAATGATGCGAATATACAGTTCGAGGGGCAGTCATGAGTGAGCCCAAGGAGATACACAATCGTCGTATGCGGCCGTTTTACATGTAGAAGTTGCGTCGTCTTGATGGGTTCGTCGTCACCTACATCTCCTAGCTTCCCATGGCTCGTATGCATATGCAGCATACTCAGGCAAGCGCTTGACCGAGAGCGCTGTTCTACAGGACGGACATCGCCGCTTGCGCTAGAGTGCCACGTCAAAACCGCCGAAACGCCGGCGCACCAAATTCCCTCTTTACTGTTTTTTGCGGCATTCGTTTTTCCTCACCCATCAACACTCGTCAAAATGGTGAGCGACTCCTCCGGCAGCACCCAGGAATATCGACTGACTCCTCCAGGCTCCCAAGAAGGTCCGTGCCCCCCAGGAAGCCGCCGTCTCTCTCGGTCCCCAGGTCGCTGAGGGTGAGAACGTCTTTGGCGTTGCTCACATCTTCGCTTCGTACGTCAACCCATTGCAACGGGAGAAGGATGGAGACTGATTGTGCAACAGCTTCAACGACACTTTCGTCCACGTCACCGACTTGACCGGCAAGGAGACCATCTCCCGTGTCACCGGTGGTATGAAGGTCAAGGCCGACCGTGACGAGTCTTCTGTATGTCGAAATATCAAAATGTCGCCAATCGCCCGCTGACTCTTCTCCAGCCTTACGCCGCCATGTTGGCCGCCCAGGACGTCGCCGTCAAGTGCAAGGAGGTCGGCATCACTGCCCTCCATGTCAAGCTCCGTGCCACTGGTGGTACCGGCACCAAGCAGCCCGGTCCCGGTGGACAGGCTGCCCTCCGTGCCCTCGCCCGTGCTGGTATGAAGATCGGCCGTATCGAGGACGTCACCCCTACCCCCTCCGACTCTACCAGGAGAAAGGGTGGTAGGCGTGGTAGGAGGCTGTAAGCTACCTTTTTGGTGGTTATGCAACTCTCTGCGCTTTTAACAAGGTCGCCGCAGAGCACGCGGTTGTGGTACTTGCGGATGCTATCGTAGACGTGATGACATGATCCCGTGGCTCGCTGCGTTACAAGTTTCGGTCCTGTTGCAAGCTACAATCAGAACATGAACGTGATCATGCTGACTCCAGACATCGCCAAATGAGATTAGTCGAAACGAAATACATAAAGCCTTGCGGCGAAACAATCAACATGGCAACGAATCCGGAGTATATATCGCGTGACTAATAATATCATCAAACTATAGAGATGCTCATTTAAAATCGGTAGTCCTCGTAGGCTTCCTCTGTGACACACATTAGCACGACCGCGCAGGCTTGGTACGGACCGACTCACCCTTATCATCATCTCCCTTCTCTTCCTCTTCCTCGTCGTAATATTCCTCCTCCTTGTCATCATCCATTGTCTGCAATCCCGCCGTCGAATGCCTGTCTCTGAAGAGAGTCCCCGGCTTCACGTTCAAAGTACGACAGATATCGTAATTGAGACGGCGAGACATAGGCTTCTGGGCGACAACGCTAGCGATGGCCTCTTGGTAGTTTTTGTGTGGACCTTTATGAGGAGCGGCGCGCTTGCGTTTTTGCTGAATCGACGGTTAGCTTGTTTGAAGAGTGGAGGCGTAGAGACGTACACGAGGCTTGGATGGATCGATGCCCTTGGCTTTATTGACTGCAGCCTTTCTCTCTTGCTTCTCTGTCAAAGTGTCAGCTCTGTCCAACAGGACAAGGGGATCAACAGACCCTTCTCCTCCTCCAACCATTTGCCGTTGGAACTCAACCACATCCTCGCCCTCGCCTGCTTTGTATCCTCATCCAGCTCGAACCAACCTTCCAGCTCTTCATCATCCAAATCGGCAAGCTCCCTATCCTCTTCCACGACTTTCGCCCCCTTCTCGCGTAACCATCGCGCCCGCTTGACGGCTTCCATCTCTTGGTGGATCTCTTTCGGGTCGCGCGCGCCGAACCACATTTTGATGCGGTCGTGCATCTTGTTCTGGTAGAGGTCCTTTTCGCCGGCAAAATATTTTTGCTCGAAAAAGTTGAGGACGGCAATCTCATCGTCCCAGTCGGTGAACTCCTTGTTTTTGGCATTTGCTTGGGAGACGGTGTTGAGCTGCGTCGAACGTTCACCCTCGTCTTCGTCCTCTCCTTCTTCATCCTCCTTCTCCGCATCCTCCGCCAAAGCCTCCAGCTCATCCATCCCTTCTTCATCCTCGTCCACCCCGTCATCGACCCCTCTGACCTCCTTCAGCAATGCCTTGCTTGCCCGTCGCCGTTCCTCACGCGCAGAAGCAGGGTCGTCTCGCGCAGACTCGAGCTGGGAAACATAGTCGGAAGGAGCGAGGGGGTCGAGTTGGTCGTCTTCGTCGTCAACAGAGCTGGTAGTCTCAAAGGCTGCAGAGGCTTGGAGAGCATCCGCTTCGTCCACAGCTCGACCCTTGCCCTTTTCCAGCTTTGCGCGCTTAATCGGGCCGTCTTCATCATCTTCATCCCCATTCTCCGTCTCCTCGTCTTCGTCAAAGACGATACCCATCATCAGATGTTTCTTCAGTTCCTTCTCCCTCTTCCTCGCCTGTTGCTTGACGACAGGGGGTTTTTCTTCTGTCGACACCGCGTCCAACTGCGCGTCACTCAACGCCCGCCATTCACCCACAGTCTTCTTCGCCATGTCGGTTTCCGCAAATTCCAACAACCTCTTCTTGATGGTGTTGGGATGTACTTTAACGACTTGGGCGACTTCATCCGGCGTACGCAGAAAGTTGCTCATACGTCCCGCAATGATGATGCAAGCACCACAAACACCAGCTGGTCTTCTACCCTGAGTCATCCAGTCTGCTCTAAATCGCCTGACGAGCCGGCTGGCATCCGCTGCGACAGTGTTGACGAGAGGGCCAAAGTTGAGGCGGTGCGCGAAGCGGAGGTTGTAGATGGCAGGGTCAACTTCGGGCATGGGGTCGGTAAAGTTGAGGGTGGAGCGGAGTTTGAGATAGGTGGCGCCTAGTTCAAATACATTGATCTGTGCAGCCTTTTAGCGAAGGGCCGAGTTCATAGCGCGAAAGACTTACAGCGAGGTGTTCACTGAAATCGATGAGCATACGAGCGTCGCGTTTCAGACGGCATTGCAGGTAAAGACAGCTGGCGACGATGTAACTCGTCTTTCGTCCGCGGTTGAATTTGTTGTCCACGGCGAGAGAGAAGAACCGCTTGGCGCCTATGCTGATACCCGATCCGAGGTACATCTTGCGAGCAACTTCATCAATCTTTGCAGAGCCTGGCCATGAGGTTAGATGGATCGCATGCATTGTGTAATATGCTCACCGTTGGCTTTGATGTTTTCTGTATTTTGCTGCCCACCCCGGCCGCCTCGAGTACCAGCAACACCAGTCGCGTAATTAGACACAAACGTTCCCTGTACAGAGATACGTCCACCAGAACCCTCAGCAAAGCCAACCTCGGACACGAGGATACCCTCTTCAATGATCTGCCCACATGACATACACCTGGAGAAGATCAGTCGCCTGTGCAGATGCCCAGCGCGTAAAGACTTACACAACGTTACCGGCACTCTGATCTGTGACCAGCTCGCCGTGGGGCCCACACTGGGGACATTGTTTGACAGAGGACATGCTGGTGGGTCACTCGTCAGGTGGGTTGGAAGATAAAGACGGGCGTGGTTTATAAGAAGAAAGGCAAAATGATTGCGGATGGATGAGGGTTGAACGGAGGACCCCCGAGCGGCGAGAAAATTGTCGGAATGGAGGTAAAGCGGGTGGATCACGAGTAAGATGCGGGGCCGGGGACCGGTTGTTGTGGCAGTATCGATCCTTCGAGGATAGGCAATGTTGACAGAAGAGCAGGTGGATGGAATATGGCAGTAGAGAAGGAGATGGGGTGGATGATGATAATCTTGCGTTGTTATCATTTTGTTGACGTTAGATAAAGTCATGACGTGCACGCTTTTGCGCGACGCGTCCATCAAAAGTCTCCTCTCGACATTACTCGCTTTCGTTTGTCAACCATTAACCATACTCCCACAATGTCTAGGTCGTCCCACACCCAAGCTCTTCTTGGCCCAGAGCTCTACAAAAAGGTCCGCGAAACCAAGATCCTCGTCGTCGGCGCTGGCGGTATCGGCTGTGAACTGTGTGAGTCTCACGTCGCGCTCCAAGATCGGGCTGACCGCTGTGTATCCAGTGAAGAACCTTGTGCTTGTCGGGTTCGCCAATATCGAAATTGTATGTCGTATCACTACCCTTCAAGCTACTCGGGCTGACGAGTATGCAGATTGATCTCGACACCATCGACCTTTCCAACCTCAATCGTCAATTCCTCTTCCGAAAGCCAGACATCTCCAAGTCCAAGTCTCTCGTCGCTGCTGCTTCCGCCCGGCACTTCAACCCCAACTCTGGCATCAGAATCAATGCCCGACATGGCAATGTCAAGGACAGTGAAAATGATCTGGAATGGATTGCCGGCTTTGGATTGGTCATGAACGCTCTGGATAACATGGGTGAGTCTTGAGACGATTCAAGAGCCTAGCTGACTCTTTGGTAGACGCTCGTCGACATGTGAACCGTCTGTGTCAAGCCGCCAATGTGCCCTTGATCGAGTCTGGTACCGCCGGCTACCTTGGACAAGTCACTCCTTTCATCAAGGACACTACGGAGTGCTTTGACTGTGTCCCCAAGCCTGCTCCCAAGGCTTTCCCTGTCTGTACTATCCGATCCACTCCCAGTGAACCCATCCACTGCATCGTCTGGGGAAAGACATACCTCTTTGGGTGAGTTGCCGTCGTCGCCAAGTCTTGCTAGAGCTGACTGTACTAGGAAATTATTCGGCGAGGATGATGAAGATATGGACACAGAAGAGCTGGATAAGGCCAAGGCTGGTGGCGAGAATGGTGAGCTCCTTAAAGGTCCTTGTAGACATAGCTCACCATAGACCAGCCGAAGAGATTGAAAACCTCAAGAAGGAAGCAGCCGCCTTCAGACAGGTCCGCAAGAACCTCAGCGCTGAAGGTGGTCCCCTGTCAGTCTTCCACAAAGTTTTCAACGAAGACATCCAACGTCTCTTGGCTATGGAGGACATGTGGAAAAAAGAGGGCCGAGTCAAGCCTGTGCCTCTCGACTATGACACCATCATGGACGGTTCTTTTACCGTTCCTCCATTGCGCGTGGCGCCTGCCGCCCAACCTGCCAACGGCGATAAGAGCAACGGAAAGGCCAAGCCAGCTGCTTTGTTGAGAGATCAGAAGGAGTTGAGCCTAAAGGAGAATTTGGAGCTGTTCTTGGACAGCTGCAAGAGGCTTTCGGCGCGGGCTGTCGCTTTCCCCGACACTCCTCTGTCTTTCGACAAGGACGACGATGACACTCTTGACTTCGTGCTGGCTACAGCCAATCTTCGAGCTACGGCTTATGGCATCCCCAACAAGACTCGGTTCGACGTCAAGGGTGCGTATATCTACATCATGTTGACAATGACTGACACACTATACAGAAATGGCCGGAAATATCATCCCCGCCATCGCTACCACCAACGCCATCATTGCCGGTCTCATCGTCATGCAATCCCTCAACCTCCTTAACCGTATACATTCCTCTCCCAACGGCGCTTCATCCTCCGCCCCCGACGTTCCTCTTCGAAACGTCTTCCTCCGAAGTGAACCCTCCAAACCCCTCGGCGCCTTCATTCCCCAACACGCCGACCCATCTTGTTCCGTCTGCCGAGATGTCTACATCCCCTTCAAGGTGGATCTTGCCAAGTGCACTCTGGGCAACTTTGTGGAGGATGTCGTAAAGGGATGGCTGAATGGAACCGAGTTTGAGAAGAAGGAAGACGATGAGGAGGTCGAATGGACAGTGTTCGAGGCAGGGAGGTTGTTGGCGGACCCAGACTTTGAGGATAACCATGAGAGGACGTTGGAGGACCTTGATGTGAAGCGAGGCAAGATTCTGACGGTCCGAGATGAGGATGCCAAGTACAGGCCGATACACTTCTGTGTCTGCGAGCCGTAAGTCACCCACTGGCCGAAATCAACATTGCTGACGCCTCATAGCGCTGCCGATGCCACAACTCCCTTCACTCTCCCCTCTGCCAAGCCCACTGTCCCTCTCGCATACGTTCAGCCCGAGGCCGTACGCGACTCTTCGGAAGAGCCCGAGATCATTGAAAGGGTACCTCCTCAGACCGAGCCCAAGGATCTGCCGAGCACCACTGCTGGTGTTAAGAGGCCGGCGCCGGAGGATGATCAGGGCGATGAGGCGAAGAAGAGGAAGATCACTGTCGTGGACGATGATGATGACTTTGAAATTCTTTGATCGGGTCTGGTTTAGGACATGTCTGAGATCTAGTAGTATATGGGATGGATATATTATCCTCAAGAGTATAGGAGTACATGATCGGCGTATGCAGCCGAGCAGCTGGTACATCTATGCAATCTCATTCCTCCCCATAATCTTCTTCTTCGCCTTCATCGTCGTCATCGAAACCCCTTCCTCATCCAGACAAGATATCCTCATCATCACTTCCAAATTCATTCCTCACTTTGCCCAGAAGTGGAAGGAATCTGGTGTTCGGCAATCAAGCGTTCGGGCGCACTGAAAGAGGATTTGTGTGCTTGTGAATATGAATGCGTGCAAGATGATGGTAATGAGCAATACCTGAGGAGAAAACTTTAGATACGTACGGCGTGCAGTGACAAGACGCCATCCTGTGTGCCGGTTGAGTATCGCCATTGCCAGCACCGGCCTCCACCTTCGCGCCGCTATGCGCTCTCTGCCTGAAAGATTGGGTCGCCACTGCCTAGCTGCGCAAATAACATGTGCATATCAGCATGCCGTTTCCGTAAGTATCTACAGGGTTTGATTGCTGGAAGAGGAAGGCAAAAGCAAAAAAGACGGTCTCGTCCCGGGATTGAACCGAGGACCACCCCCAAAGCGACTCGAAAATCACCCTAAGAGGGCATGCTACCACTGCACCAACGAAACGGCTATGCCACCGAAGACCAATTGCTGAAAACTAAAACATGGCAATGGTGAGTATGTAAACTAGTTGTCATGCCAAATGTGAGTCGATAAATGCTTCCTCTCACAACGTATAGTGACTGGAGGCACTGAAACAAACTGTTTATTTAAATTGGCTCTCAGTCTTGGTTCTGGATATCTTGAATCAAAACAAGAGATTGCAGAAGAGATTCATGGAACCCCGCGGTCATGCTGACGTGACGCCGCCCATGGTCTTTGTCGCTTGCGCTGTAACCATGAGTTGTATATTCAAGGCGTTGATGTCATCCAGTATATACTCTGTATACGCAATAGTCCGTCAAAACCGTCCAGATAGAAGTAGAAATAGAGAATGAAATGAACAAAGTCGTAATCATAAGATCAAAAACCCAGATGAGCGAAAAAGATATACCAATGTCCCACAAGTCCCACAACGTTCGCAACCGCCCTTCTTGTCTTTCTTATATTGTTCAGCTTCCAGTACACACAGCTGTAGGAACGCTTGCAGCTGTCGCGTCGTACTCACTATGAATCACCGTCAGCAACTGATCTCTCTTCGTTTGGCAAGTTGAAGTCACTCACTCGGGATAATCACACCCCTTCACTCTCACCCACGCCCCAGTGGTATCAGCTGAATTCACCCATCCACCGCCGATCGTCGCATTCGCAGGATGCGTCGCCGTCGCCAACACATTCCTCGTGCCCGTCTGCGTCAGTGTCGGGAAGAGCGAGATTTGAGCGGCAGAGTATGAAGGCGAGGGACCGAGAGCAGTCGGGGGCCAGGCGGAGTGTGAGGCGATTTCAGCAGCGGCGATGGTGGGCGTGGCAGTGGAGGCAAAACTGCCGATAGCGGATGATGGGTAAGTGCCCTCGAACTGCGTTCCATCAGTCTCTGCCTCCTCCGATAGTCAAGGTACTCACCTGATTACCGCCAATGCCAATCCCCTTACAGTACCCTCCAGCAACCCTGGGATCCTTCGGAATCCACCCCTGCTCCAAGCCAAGCTTGTAATGCCACATCGGACTCGTTGCGTATCCCTTCTCGGTACTGTTGCCAATCTTCCACGTCCAGAAAAAGTGGTTCTGGAGCGCATCCATGTTGGCCATGGTGTATTCCTTGACACTTTCCTTGGTAGCGTCGGACCAGTTAAACCATTCTTCCCAGAAAGTGCAGTTGCCGGTACCGGTGGATTCGTATTGGGGTGTGGAGTCGACGCCGTCGAGCCAGTGGCCGCTGTGCAAGGTCAACACTGAAAAATTGAGTCCGAGAGAAAGACTCACCAGTCGTTGATGGCGTTTGACCATTCTCCGCCGATGGTGATACCGAACTGCGTAGAAGAGTCGTTGGTACCACCACCCCAGCCACAAACAGTCTTGGCTTGGACAGTGTGGTTGTCAGTAGTCTGGGTGGCGAAGGCGAGGTAGGGATGTTGGTCGAGGCCGCTGACAGATCCGTCAGTTTGGGATCTGGTGTTATGAGCCGTTTACTCACAGTCGATCAGCACCAGACAAGAATCCTGACCAGGCGGCAACACCACTGAAGGCTTCATGAATGAGGACAATGGGACCGTTTCCAGCACCATAGCCGGTGATTCCCCTAATAAGCTCGTATGCTTGGTAGTAGCTGCACGCTGTCAGGTTGCGGACTTTGTTGGATGAGTAGGGACTTACTAGGCAGCCAGTACGTCTTGCCCAACCACGTATCCTTGGACCTCATTCACAAGTCCAATCCTAGCGAACATCAGCATCATGTATCAAATTCATCATCCCGAACTCACATAGTCACAACCTCCTTGATACCATCCTGCGAGATATACTCTGTGATAGATCGCACAGTCTCAAGCGATCGCTGGGCATTGGCGATACCCATAACACCGTACAAGAAGTTTACAGAACCACCTTTACCAGAGTGGTTCCAACCATTTTGAGAACCAGGGAGAGAGTGAAAGTCGACCAAGATACGGAGTCCGTACTTTCGAGCCCAGCCGATGGCTTTGACAAAGTAGCTACGCGTTGATTCAGCATGTGGCGAGGCGAAGAGATGGGCGAGGCTTACGTCCAGGACACTTTGGGAAGGTATGGTTCGCCATCGATAGTCTCCACAGCCCAATAGCCAAGCGCGATGCTGATCAAAGTCAGCCTCGACAATGTTTGGTGCAGAGGGGGCGCTCACCGGACATAGTTGAGACCAGCACCAGCGATCAAAGCAAAGTCTTCCTCGGTGATGAAAGTTTTGTAGTGCTCTTCCATCTCGGTGGCCAGATTATCGCCCATACTATGCCACACATCAGTACCAGGGCATATAGAAGGATACGGACACTTACGCCTGGGAAAGAGTGTATTCGTCGATAGCTTTGGGGGTGGTGTTCTGGTATCGCTCGTAGAGACCGGGGACAATGAAGGGCTCCGTGACCAGCCAGCCACCGAGGTTGACGCTGTAGTTTTTGAGCACTCAGCCCGCAGAAGGTTGCAAGAGCTACTCACCCTCTGACCACGTGCTCGCCCCATTTCCAATCCTCTAAAAGACTCGGACTGAAACTCTGAGCTTGACCAGAGACCTATCTTTTCGTCAGTCACATGCATCATCAAGAAGGAGTCACTCACAGAATATGGTTCGTACGGGTTTTGAGACCATGTGCCACCGTATTGATTGGTATATGTGAACTCGTTGCCAAGATCAGAAGTGGCGGTAGATCCATCGCCACCAGATCCAGTCGTGATGTATGAGCTCCAAGTATCCTGCGAGCTGCTTCCATCTGAGTTACCGCTTCCACTGTTATCACTTCCGCTCCCAGAGCTGTCCGAAAAACCCGAAGATCCACCCGAAGAAGAACTGCTTGACTTGTTTTTCTGCGTCCCTACCACAGCCCCGACGACAACCGCCGCTACGATAACGAGCAAAAGCGGTACGCCGAAAAAGAGGAGTCTGCGTTTGGTGGGATTGGTCGGGATGCAGGACCTTTCTCCCTTGACAGGCTTTTCTTGGCTGAATCCCATAGGCTCATATCCCAGAGCGCCGGTCGTCGGTCCGTGCGCGTACGGATTTGGCGTCGAGGCGCCGACGGGGGCACCAAATTTGGCAGACGAGTCGAAATGGCTTCGACCGCTGAATATGCTGTCTGTCTCGACGTAGCCATTGTCCCTGCTGGGCGGTATGGACGGGTCCAAGTGAGGAGGGGTGTAGGCCATGGTGGGGAGGAAGATGTCGCTGCTCTCTGAGCGGGGGACGCGTGATTTCCAGGGGGCTGCAGGGGCGCGTCTGCTAGGGGGCTGGGGGGTGTCAGCGGGGGATTGTCTATTATATAGCTGTATTGTGCGTGGAAGAGAAAGGGGCGTGGCGAGAGATCTCTTCTCGAGATTTTTGATCCGCAACACCCTCCGCAAGGCACGAGCCAAACAACAATTGCAGTCGGAGGCACGCGAGTGACCTGAGAAGAGGTGACTTACCGCCGTCAGGTTGCGCATCTCCGAGCCCGATTGGTACGCCCGCTGGGCCCGCTGCGGTCGCTCAACATAGTCGGACGGGCGAGGAGAGGCGCGAGGCGAGGAGAACTGGCTGCTGCTCGACGCGAACGGATCGTCCGCAGAGTAGGGGCCGTACGAGGGCGCCGTGAGCCTCGGGGAAAAGCTCTGGCGCTGGGAAACGAGGCGTGACATGCTTCGTCCTGTATCCTGGCGGACTGGAGTATTATAGGGCGTATGGGGTATGGAGAGGAGGAGAGATGCAAGAGAAAAATGTCGAACCTTTTCCCATGAGAGAACCAAACTCAACGTAACGTTCCTGACCCGCGTTGTCTCCGTTGCTGGTCTTTTGAGTTTGGGACGCGATGTTGACCGTCCGTCCACAGATCTAAAGGCAGTATACTTGCTGCATCGCCATGACATTCAGTGAGATGCAGCGAGATCCTAGAGATACCTTGCATATCTACAGTGATAGTGACAAGAATCTTCACCACTGGTTACTACCGAGTGCCTGCTACGTAGCACCATGTAAGCTTTTCGGACTTATCATCCGCAGCAGCAAGCTCATGTTCGAGACGCGTCTTTGCATCGTCGTCTTTCTCATCGCTGCAACCCGCTGCAACCATGTCGACGCCCATACCTGCCTTTGTCAAGCCCTCGCAGCTGAATCAGATACCAATAGCAGACTCACGAAGCAAAGGTAACGCTCTTCGCCTCCGTACCCTCCGTTGAGCCCTATAAGGGTCAAGGGCAATTCTTACCCTGAATATGTCATGCTCAAATGCTCGACGCGTTTGCTTTTGTGATTTCGCGTACACTGTACCATCTCTATTACTCATCTGGCTGTTTGACGAGAATGATGCACAAGTCCAGAAGTCGCGCTTACATTGATTCAGGGACGACTGCAATCCCCCATCAGTCATCACTGCTGCTCCCAGACTACCAACATCGAGGGATCTTTACCGTCTGTGTGTTCATTGTCGAGTGTAGTACTCAATGGACGGTTTAGGCCCTATTGGGCCATTCATTGTTTGATCTTGGGGGTCGAATATCGACGATTGAACCATCTCGCACAGGCTCCACAGGTCACAGTACTCCGAAGTCCGAAAGGAATGGCCTTCAAATTACGCACTAAAAGGTATATGAGGCCGTCTCCGTGCCACGCACAATCTACCCGCGATACACCGATACATCCCTACCATCATTTTTCGCACACTCCAACTCTTGCCTTCACATCACCTCCCCTACCCAGCCCCACCGAGTCTCTCATTCCTCAGGTGAGTCTCAGGAAAGCCATAGCACACTCACCTCACGCGAGCAAGTGGACCCAGAGTGTCGCGGCGTCGGGAGGAATCGATCAGCAGTTGCATGGGGCTCGTGAGACGCTGACAAGATATGCTCTTTAGAAATGGATGAAATTCAAGAACAAGACTTCGAGTCTGCCCAGAGCACCGCCGACGGAACCCTCCTGTAAGTGTCACACGAAGCAACGTCTGATGTGATCCGCTTGTCTGATCTCTCCATTAGCATGCAGTGTTCTGCTCTCCAGCAAGGCGATTATGTCGCCATTCAAGGGAGGCCCTGCAAGATCATTGAGGTGTCTACCTCTCAGCCCGACGAGAATGGTGAAACTGAGGTTCATCTCGTTGCTATCGACGTGAGTGCCAATCTCACAAGGCAGGCGGTAGCAGTGTGGTGGTGCTGACACAAGTACCACATAGATCTTCACTGGCAAAACACTTGAAGCAACCTCTCTCTCAAACGAGACCATGGAGTCCCCCATCGTCACTCGTCAAGATTATCAGATCTTGGATACGGATGTGAGTGGGGGAGGAAAGGAAGAACACATAGAAAGTAAAGTCGCTGATTGCCAACAAGTCTGACGACGGTTACTTGATTTTGAGGGATTCTAAAGGCGGTGATAGGCAAGACATCAGGATTCCTGCCGGTGATCTTGGCCAGCAGATCATTGAGAAAGAGGGCAAGGACCTCATTGTCACCGTTCTTGGCGCCATGGGTATGTCAAACCTTCCAGACTTGATGATTGTGTCGCTGACTGAGCTGGTAGGAGAGGAACAAGTGATGTCTTATCGCGAGGGAAAGGTTTAGCCCATCTGCTTGCTTTCTTAGCGCAGTATGGAATTTTTATGGTGCTTGTACATAGGCATGATGCATGACTGAATACCATGTTCTGAAAATGCGCATCTCCACCAGTAGTGACATCCATATTTTGAACGTACTGTTACGAGTTGAAAGAAGCCTTGCAATGCACCTGACAAAGCCGCCAACTCTCAATTGGTTACTGACAAGTGCCTGCTACGTTGTATCGTATCAGTTACGAGATCTTATCCGCAGCAGCAAACCAGATCTAGCGCTGCTAGCTTCTGGTCCCTTGTAATGTTCCTCCTCTCATCGCAACGGAGGAACTGCTGTTTGGTGTCTGGCAACGGCAACACAATTTATATATGATCTATAATTGAGCATGCCAAAGCAGTGCCACTCAGTTACGTAGCATTATCGCCGCAGTCCCTCCTTTCTTGCTTACGATCTCATCAAGCACTCCAAAGTTGCTTTTATAATAAGCTCTACACTATGAGGCTTCCCATCCCCCATCATCCACACTTGCCATCTTCCAGTGAGCTTTCAGAGAGGGGCACAAAGGACAAAAAGTAGAGTGTGGGGCAGCCCTGCGGGGTCAAGGACGGTCGTATGACATGATGGGTAACAACTAGACGCTGACAGGTGGCGCTTCTTGATAGAAATGGCTCACCACCCCAACAACGACACCTACCCGTATGTACCCACAACAGCTGGCATGTCGCTCAAGGGTTACATCGCCTGAATTTTCTCTAGAGTACAATTTTCCGCTCTCAAGAAGAGCAACTACGTCGTCCTACACAACGTACCTTGCAAGATCACTGACATTTCCACTAAGCACGGTGAAGCCGAGGTCCACATAGTCAGTGTCGACGTGCGTATACAGATTGACATGGCTCGGAGAGGCAATAGCGCTGATGCGGGCATGATACAGATCTTCACCGGCAAGAAGTATGAAGACACTGTTCCATCTACCCAGGTCATGCAGGTCCCCAACGTCACCCATGAAGAGTACCTGCTCGCCAGTATTGATGTAAGCAAGAAGTCACGGATACAACGGAATGCTACTGATAGCCATAAAGGACGATGACGTCCTCGTCTTGGAGCACGGCGCTGAAGGTGTGCCCAAGTACATCAAATTGCCCCCAGGCAAGCTTGGCGAGCAAATCACCTCCAACTTCCACATGGACAAGACTATCGTTGTCGTTGTGCTTGGTGCTATGGGTATGCCACGTCTTCTCTTCTATCTTGGATATGAAACTGACAATATGCATTGCATGTAGGAGGGGAGCAAGTCGTGTCTCAGAAGGTCACTTGATCTTGTATCTGCCATGTCGCAATATGCCTGTATAAACAAGAGGTGATTGGAGAGTAAACGATTCTCTGCATGGCTCAACGCAGCTACATCATCAGCCAAAGTCGGATCGTATGTACATTGTCGATATGTATCAACGTGCAAGGCTGTGGAAGCTTCATTCAACCCGTTTCTGATGTGTCACTATTTTTGCTTTTTGACACCATTCTCTATTGTCTTCGGTGGCAATGATAATTGGTTCCAGTCTTACATGATGGACCGTTCAAAATACATTATACAAGCATATGTTCTACGCTCATCTTCAAATATAACCCCCTCTCAACACCAAGCTCTTCTCCCTCGCCCTCTCTCTCCACCTGCCACTAGGCGTCCCAGACTTTCTCTCCTCCCTCTCCCTCTCCCTCTCCTCCGGCCTCTCCGACCTCACCTGCCGCCCCTGCTCTTCCCCCCGAGTACCAAATGGCCTCACATCCCTCAAATCAATATCCAACCCCAATCCAGATCCTTTACCCTCACTCGACTCACTCAAAAGCGGCCCCAAAACCGGTCGCTTCAGCTCTTCCACCAGCTCCTTCATACCCAGCCACAGCAGCTCTTTCTCTGTTCTCGCCTTGAGCGATGGGGTGAATTCTGGCCAGTCGCCAGAGAGGAGGCGGTGGGTAATTTGGTGGTATGCCCCGGCTTCTCGCGTGAGAAAGACGCGCATCTCGGTAAACATGCCCTTTTCCTTATTCTCTACCTCGGCCCTGAGCTGCAAAGACAACCTCTGGGCCTTCCTCCTAACATTCAGAGGAGGCGTGCTCCCCTTCTCCCCAATCATGGATATCTCATAAGCCAAAGGCGGCACGACCGGCTCATTGGAAGACCCTGGTGTACGAGGTTTGCTGATGAGTTGGGTGTATTGGTTTCGGGTCTGAGCGCGTTTGTAGCCAGAGGGTTTTGGAGATTTGGGAAGGGGCAGGTGGGACGACGGCGGTGTGATGGGGTTGAATCGGAGGGGAGGAGAAGGGAAGGGTGGGAGAGTGCTGAAGGATGAGTCGGGGGACGGGGCAACGTGTATCGACTTGAGGTACTCTTCACTATGGTTCTGGTCAGTAGAGTTCCCCATTTCGGATAAGAGACATACCGAAGGAGATTCAACTCATAATCGCTTTCCAGATCACTCTCCTCGGCACTCTCGCCATCCGTCATAGCCGGCATCTTTCTCTCCCTCTCCTTCATCAACACTTCCCTCTCTTCCCTCTGCTCTCGCTCCTTCTCTCTTGTCCTTCTCTCTTCCTCTTCCTGCACAATCAAACACCCTTGCACCCACTCTCCCAAATATCCTCCGCCCTCCCTGAGCACCTCCAAAGGCAAGGTGACATTCTCATTCTTTGCAGGGTCAGAGAGCGAGTAGGCAGACTCGATATTCACCAGCGTAACACTCTCTTGCTCGCCTGTGGGCAAACGAGGCAGAGGTTTGCGAGTGAGAGAGAGGAGGGTAGCGTGGAAAGGGGTGTCAGGTTTGGAAGGTGTCCGCGGGGGAGGCTTGATAGTCGTGCGATGCGACATACTCGGCCGCTTCAATATCGGCGAAGGCGGGATAGAAGACGAGCTCGACTCTTTCCCCGACCCAGATGATCCACTCGTCATAGCCGAAGACCTCTGCGACCTACCCCCTACCGAAGATGACCTGGAATGATAGCTCACCGGCGGCGAATTGAGAAAGCTCGCATGAGAGTTTAACCTCGTATGAGTATGTACCGTCGAGGGGCCCGGCGAGAGGAAAGGTGATTTCGCAGATCGACGGTTGGGCGTAATAGGCATAGGCCCCACAGTATCCTTTGCTTCTATCCGGTCCTTTATCCTCTCTCCAAGGACCGGCGCTGCACTAGGACTCTTTGCCAGCCCTCGGCCCAGCCTCGGCTCGAGCCCAGCCCGCAAGTCTGCGCGAGTGGATGTACTGCGCTCCGGTACGGCAGAGCGCTCGAGCTTGGCAGTGAAAGTATACGAATTGTCGACCGACTTGTTGGACTGATGCCCGTACGCATGGGCGGAGTGGGGGTGGTTCTTGGAAGAAGGCTGGGGGTAGCGAGCCTGGGAGGGCAAGGTGGGGAGAGAGTTCAAGGAAGGCATGGGCGGAAGGGGAGGTGGTTTGGAAGGCGGGGTGATGAGCCCGGCAGCTTGTTTCATGCTGGAGGCAGCAGCCTCTCGTGGCGTTTTCACCACAGTGACGCCAAAGCCAAGATCTGAGGGCGTGCGCGAGTGGCCGACTGTAGATGTCGACATTGGTAGAGGTGGGTGGGAGGAAGAGGCAGAAGAGCCGAGGGTGAATAATCGTTTAGGGGATTTGGGGGTACGAAAGTCGAGGAAAGAAGCGCCCGGTGCGGGGGCGGAGGATGAGGAGAATGAGGGCATGGGTGTCAAGAGACGATGCGGTGAGATGTGGTGGTTGAATTTGGTGGTGATTGGCCAGGCACTTGTGTAGGATGTTGGTTGATGTAGTTGTGGTGGTGGAAAGGTGAAATCAAGTTTGGGAAGTAACTGCGTGTGAATATAAGGCCCTGGATGAGCGGCGAGGACGAGTCGGTGGTGTCGTTGCGTGGACAAAAAGAAAGGGGGAGGACCGCGAAACAGATGCGCAACCCTTATTGTCTGCGCCGGCCCGGCCCCCAGTCGCTGCCGCAGTCCCAAAGGCCACCTTCGCACTGCCCCCGCTTCTCGCCGTCTGCTCCATCTGCATTTTACTCCATGGCCGGCAGCAAAGGGAACCGCTCGTTTCAAGGACAATGGAATCGGCGAATTACGGTGGGCGTCCGTGCGCATCATAGCGTATAGGGAGGCGGGGGTCGCCGCTCGAGATCGAAGCAGGTGGCGAAGGGCCTCCTTCAAAGTCATTTCTGGATCTGATTGCAGGAATCGGCTATTGAAGAAAGGGAGAGTACCTGTGGATGAGCATACAGTATACGATTAGACAGCATCACCCTGGGCAGAAAGCGGCATTCCTCCGAGCCGAGCGAGCGTCCTTCCTCATCAATCAGCACCGCTACAAGGCTTCCCTTGATGTCGATGTTCAATCATGACCTGCAGAGCTCAGTGAATGATCTTGACTGCATGAAAACGTATACCGCAGGGACGCAACAGAGACGTTATGACTCTACCTGAAACCCAACCCATCCCTCGCCCTGCCTCCACACTCTATTCTATACACCTTCTCCCAACCACACAACCTGCCTCTCCTTCACCACGAGGTCTGCCTTGCGAGCGCGAGTTGCGCAAAGGAGAAGCTTAGAGGCCACGCTGCCGGGCGAGAGCTATGAGGTCGACGGGAGGGAATTCGACGCCCTCGGGGGGTTGTGAGGTCTTTCGGTTGGCGGGGGAGGCCATCTCGCTGTATCACTTCTATCAGTGCGAGCCCATTTCATAATACTGGGAGAAGAGGCGCACCGTCTCAACTCGACAAGCACAGTCTCGAGAGTAAAGTTCCTGTTCCACCTAGCGATCGTGGCGATACGGGCAAAGTCGACCTGTCACGCGAGCGTCAGCGATATGTCTCTTTGTTGCTTTCGGTCTATACGCGACCGGTCGAGAGACCGTCGGCAGACCGGGGCTGTTTTCTGAGCCTGATGAGAGGATGGACGTACGAGACCTTGGGCATTTACGCAGGGAAGGTTGATCTTGGATTCAAACTTGACAAGAGGAGGCACATCTACACCGTCCATCAGCCCTCACCCCCTTCATCCCCCCCACCCCTCATCTGCCTCCTATCCCCCCCCCCTACCCTCTCAATGAAATGCACTCACCAGGATAGTTGTCCCCACAAATGATACTCAAACTAAAGATCCTATTCTCATAAGCCGAATGGGGCGGCCCGATGATGGTGCCATTCCACTCATACATGGCAATATCGTCGCCGTCCTTGAGCCCGTACGAGCAGGAGCCATCTCCGATTCCTTTCTCGCCGTGCTCGAGTTCAGAGAGAAGTCGGAAAGAGCGGGGGACTGTGGGCGTGTGTGTTAGTGATCTAGACTCTTGTTGGAGGGGTGGGATGATGGGCGCTGGGGCAGGGTGTGGCGAGGGGTAGCGCCATCTGGTAGATTGAACAGACTTACCTTTGGCCATGGTGTATAAATGAATGCAGCAGCAAGTCGAGTGAGATGTCGTTCTCGGGCATGGTGGTGACGGCGACTCGCTCCCAAATCAGCTCCCGTCGCCCTCAAGTGGTCCCGGCCGCCATTTTCCACTCTCCTCTATCATTTCACCACATCTCAAAAACAGCACCCATACATCCTTCAAGCACCCCCGGAAGACACAAGCATCGAAGATGGACTCTCTTCTGGCAGAAATCTCGGAAAAGAAGCGGGCGCTGCAATCAGACGGCGCCGACGAAGGACCTGCGAAAAAGTATATGCGCCGCGCTGATGTAGAGCGCGCCAAAGAGGAGGAGGAGCAACGGCGGAAAGAACTAGCCAAGCAAGAAGCAGAAAGGAAGAAGGAGATACTACAGGCTGAAAAGGCCAAGAGGGTGAGTCTGGCCAGGACGGTTGCGAAGCGGTCGCTGAATGATCTACAGTCGGAAGCCAGACGAGCAGCTCTAGGCAAGCTCAACCCCGCCTCCCCCACCCCTTCCTCCTCCCGCAACACCCCCGACCCATCCCTCCCCTCCGAAGAACGCTTCAACATCTCCCCCGAAGAATGCATCCGCCGTCTCCGAGCCAAAGGCCAGCCCATCCGTCTCTTTGGCGAGTCTGACAAGGAACGCCGTCTCCGTCTGCGAGCGTTGGAGCTGTTGGAAGAAAGGGGGCCGTCCGGGGCGCAAGGGAGGAATGATTTCAAGTGGGCGTTGGAGGAGATGGAGAGTGGGCTGGATGAGAAGGGGTTGGAGAAGAAGGCTAGGGAGTTGCATAGGCTTGCGGAGGAGAGGGGTAAGCTGGAGGGTTCTGGATCTGCGGGCACGCCTGTAGAGGGAGAACAGGAAGAAGGGAAGGAAGGGAAAGAGGTGGAGAAGAAGAAGAAGGGTGTTGATATCGGCATCCTGGATCTGAAATTGATCAAGACGGATCCTAACAAGGTCTACCCTATCATCTACTATGCTCTCAAGGTGCGTCACATCTTCACATAGTATACCACGCTGACATGAAGGTAGGGTGTATTGAAAGAGTGGGAAGCATGGATGGACAACCGTCCAGAAGAGATCCGTCGCTCGACACAAGGCAAAATGGCAGCCGCCACCCAAGTCCAATCCGCCCAGTCCCTCAAACCCCTCTTCCGCTCTCTCCGTTCCCGAGACCTCGCCCCCGATGTCCTCCGTCTCCTCGCAGAGATCGTCCATCACATGCAGAACCGGGCGTACCAAAAGGCGAATGATGCGTATTTGAGATTGTCGATAGGAAATGCGGCGTGGCCGATTGGTGTGACGAGTGTGGGTATTCACGAGAGAAGTGCGAGGGAAAAGATTGGGCAGGATAATATTGCGCATGTGTTGAATGACGAGGTGTCGAGAAAGTACATCCAAGCGGTGAAGAGGTGAGCACAATGAACGCAATTCAAAGTTTATATGCGCTGACGTTGAGCAGATTATTGACATTCTCGCAAACTATCCGACCACCTGCTGATGTCTCTCAATTGATGGGTTAGAGGGGATCATCTTTGTTGTCTTCATATTAGGTATATGCATTGTGAAATCCAACGGTACACAGTAAACTCTGGAAAGCTCTTTTCTCCACTGTACAACATGAAGCTGGGTTCGTGTATATCCTCAGCTTTCATTTACTTTCCAAAGTCCGATCTTCTTCTCAAGCAGCTACGCCACAGCGCTCAGAATGTCACCGCACTAACATCCGACCTCTCCCTCCTTTTTGCGCAAATGCCAAGACTCTGGACACTGGGAAAAGTGTGTTTTAGCAGAAGAGACACAGGTCAAAGCATAGGAGACCAGCACAGAGACCAGCTGGGGATGGATGTCAGCAATAAACTCGGTCCCACGGACAGCGGTACTTACCACAGAGACCAGCTCCCGCGCCCGCACCCGCACCAGCGCCCATCCCTCGCTGATCCTGCACATACACCGGCTGAGTCTGATGAGCATACATCGGCTGTTGTTGGCCACTGCCATCCCTCTTCGTCAGCTATGTTCTCATATAGACCTCGGTGGCAAGCAGTAGAAACTGCCAGAATGTTGTCACTCACTACGGCTGGTAACCACCCCCGTAGCTAGGCTGGGGAGGCTGCTGCTGGCCTTGCCAGTTCTGGGGCATGGAGCTGGTGGGGTACCAGTTTCCATCGCTGGCCTGGTACATTTGCTGACCGCCTTGGTTTTGCTACAGCCACGAGGGTTAGCAGGAGACGTGGGATGGGACACGAGAGTCGAGAGCATGGTGGTGGACGTACGGTGGGGTAGCTGGGCTTGCTCATGGTAGATATGGGTTGTAGGTGAGTTATGGAAAGATGAAAGTCAGGAGATAGTTGTGGATGGAAGAGAAAAGCGATGAAAATGCGAACCAAATACGTAGCCAACAGCTGCGCACGAGAGCCAAGAAAGAGAAGGTGGCAAATTTACGTAATTGCGGGGATCTCCGATCATTCTCCGCACTCTGCTGGGAAAGGTCCCGCCTGATAATTGGACGCTAATAGGGGTTTTCCTGGCGAAGGCCCTCGCCAGTGGATCTGGCTATTCCACAAGGGAGGCGGCTCTCATAGAGAAGAGACAGCCTCTTGAGAAGGAGCTGCAGGAGCAGAAGGCGATGGCTAGTCTCCAAACGGCGTCTCGTCACACAGGTGGGCTCGGGAATAAGCGAAAGCGGGATCTGAGCCTACAACAGCGAGAGTCAGTGACGGTCAGTTTTATCTCCTCTACCTCCTTTGCTTTTGCTGACCTCGACGGTAGAATACGGCACGACAGGTTGTTCGGAGACTCATTGGTCTGGGAGACGCCAAGGCGAAAAGCAGTCTTGGTGTTGGCAAGTGGCCCGAGCCCAACGACGATGGCACACCCTTCCTCGACGGCTGACTTTTCTACAGAACAGTAAAAGATACGAAAGGCTCAAAGAGCAGCCCTTCCACCACTACGACGCAATGAAGTACAATGACCAAGCAGTGACATCGTGTTGAGCGATGCTGGTAAACAGACTGAGTATGGCCTCACAGCCTCGTTTGCATCCCTGAACCTCACATCGGAAGAGCCTACCATCCCCATCTCGTCCTTCGCTGCTCCACTGCAGTTAGCTGTCTCCCAGCTCGTACCGGCTGTGAGGCGGCATGACCTACATCAAGCCGGCACACCTGGAGAATCGTATTGCTACCGGGAACGTCGCCGGCCCCACTTGCTCTCGACATTCCAATCGCTCAGCCTCCCCTGACGCTCCAGGGGAGCGAGATCGAGATGTCCGAGACTCTCTTTGTAGGTGCCTGTAGTTGCTTGTATCTGCGGTTACTGATCTCGAACGCTGTAGACTTTCGAGGCGGCGCCCGCGCCAGACGACAATGATATCGAAGAGGAGCTTGCCCAGTCGTCGCCCGCCGGGTCTTCTCAATCTTTGGGAGATGGTATCAGCAGGCCGTACGAGACTGTGAGCTTGAATTGATGAGGCGGATCAGCATAGTGGCTCACGTCCAGCAGCTAGGAACTACTCCTTTGCCAGACAGCCTGGCATTCCGATTTAGACAAGCAGATTTGGGGTCCGATGACGAAGAGCCGGTTGAGAAGCGTTACCCACCCCTTTCCGAGAAGATCGAAGAGAGGCAGGCGCAAAGAGAAAGCTGGAGAAAGATAGCATAGGGAAGAGTAAGATGTAGCAAAGAGATGAATCAAGATTGTTTATCGATACGACCTGCCTGCTCACGCGATGACGAGTTGACCCATCATCACAACGGCTCATTGAGCGGTACATTGCAGGCTGAAATAGCGCAATGACAGTCTATGCTTTGTAGCTCTGTCCTATGCATAGCTCTATGGGAACGGTAGGTCAGGTCGCCGCCAGACGCCGGAACCCTCCACGCGGCGATCTCCGATAATTCTCGGCTCCCCGCCGCCGCCGGGTTCCGTCCGAGTGAACAGTCGAGCAATGTGGACGCGTTCTCCAGCGTTTCTAGCATCTCTTGTGCAATCTAGAGAGACAAGTGTAATCATGGGAGCAGTATCTCCAGAGCAGTGCACCGCGGTAAGTGTATTCAATTTCAAGGGTTCCAGATCGCACTGACGCTTCAAAGACACACGATGTGCCCACCCTCGTCCTGTCCCTTGTCTTGATCACAGGCTTGATCATTAGTTACTTGCCTCAGGTATGGCTTCAAACTATACATATGACGGATCTGTCTGACAACTCGAGCAGCATCTAGCCATCATCTCAACCCGCACGTCCGAAGGGATATCGCCGGTAAGCTGATCCTTCTGAAGCTTGCCGCTTGCAGCTGAAGACCCTTGTGCAGTGGTATCTCCTATTGGGTGCGACTTCCTCTGCTTCGGGGGTATTGAACCTCCTCATCGTACAATGGCCCTTATTCCGGTGCTGCATTGTCATCGTAGGCTGCATACGCACTTGCGCTCGAACCTTTATTAACGAAAACAGAGCGCCGGCAGGTGTTTCGAGTCTTTGCTCGGTTTCTACCAAGTCACTCTGCAGTGGCTCCTTTTCAGTATAGTGTGAGTACCCAGTATACATGGTTTGATCCTGCTGATATTGAGTAGCCTCGTTCTCTTCCTGATATACTTTCCAAAGCACCTCAAATATCAAGTCGTCAAACCGATATCATCCTCCGCTTCGTCCCTTGCCGAGCCCAACTATGGAGCTGTACAGCACCTTCACGAGGAACACGAAGCAGAGCATAGTCTGGAAACTGAAGGGTCCAAGTCGACTATCACGACAACACCCGAGTGGAGATTAGCAGTGACCCTTGCCATCGTTGTGGCTTTGCACCTGCAAGTCATATCTCATGAATGTATACGTTCATCACTGATGGCTTTTTAGCGGTCTCCTTCTGTTAGTGTCCCTGGCATCACTTCTTGTCCTCCCCCCAACAACCCCTGCCCACCCCCTCCTCCGCTCCCTCGCAACCTTCCTCGGCGTCTCTGCCACTTTCCTCGCCATCCTCCAATACGCCCCCCAAATATACCAAACCTACAACTCCAAGCTCGTAGGTGCTTTGAGCATCGGGACGATGGTGATCCAGGTGCCCGGCAGTGTGCTGTTTGTGTTGAGTTTGGTGTTTAGGGAGGGCACGGATTGGACGAGTTGGTTGGCGTATGCGGTGACGGGTGGTATGCAGGGGGCTTTGCTGGTGAGTTGTGCTGTAAAGAGATTGAAGCGTGACTGACCCTCTGCAGGTGATATGCTTGCTTTGGAAGCAGAGACAAAAGAGGCTGGGGATTGATGACTTTGGCGATCCCTTACCCGAAGCCACCGAGAATAATGAGGCCCAACCACTCGTCAACGGACAATGACTGATGCTCGCCCGATGGTTTGGTCAAGTTGTATATAGGTGGTGCCGGCATATAGCGCGTGACCAATGCATGTTCACATAATGATCTACAATGGTCAAAACGCTGCCCCCGTCGACCACTCGAGCCCGTCCACCCTGCTCGCCATGACCCTCATAACCCCCACCATATCCATCAACGACAAATCCCCTCGCTGCGCTATAGCATGCACCGGCCAAGATGGCCGCAGCTGTACCAGATATGGCTCGTTCTTTGCTGGTGATTCCTCCGTTTCGGAGGAGGAAGTTGATATGCGTGTTATGGATAGATGAAGGGTGAGGGGAGTGGAGGTTGGGATTGGGATTGGGAGGTGAAGGAGGTGCCCTGAGAGGGTGTATGTATGCGTATGCCTTGAACTCTATCAGTACAAGAAGAATCGGGAGCAAGAAGACTCACCGGAATCCAAGAACGTCTATAAATTGTTCTATCTCTTCTGTCGTACTCTCATCTTGCACCCCAATAGCAAGCAGAGCCCTGACGGCCGCTTCCGAGTATTCCGCCCCCCTCAAAGGCGCCGAAATATACGCCAGCGTATGCACCCATCTCTCCTCCCCTTGCCCCTCTACCTCTTTGCCCTTTCCTTTCCCCTGTACTCCTTGCCCCCCAACAAGCTGAGAACGGAATCTCAAGCTCCGTAACTGACCCGGCAAAACAGGGTTGGCAGTGGTGTACATCCGGTCGACGATGTGGTATGCTTCGGCGTGGATGGCCTGCAAGGAAAGGTGTGCGAGGATGGGACGGTGGAGGGCGGGAGGGAGGATTGCGTAGAGGGTTGGTTCGAGGGGAGCCGTTTGTGAGGAGGAGGCGGACATTGTGGAGATGACAGTCAATGGAAGCTGGAGGGGAGGTGTAAGGTGATGGCAGATGGTGGGCTGCCAGCTGGATGAAAGAGAAGAGTAGCCGGCGGTGATGTCCGCAAGTCCGACCGTAACGCGACGCGACGGCGACGGCCCCATGCCGTGAACGCGTCCAATAATTGACTTTCCTGCTATCATGGTCACAGCAAGGAAACTAACTCACAAAAGGTGAACATGCCTGTCGATACCTCCACCATTAGTGTCTACCCTCCCCCAGCTGCCAGCGTCTGTGGAGCGGACCGTAGAGCATACTACCGGGAGCTCATCAGACACCGCATGCGGGTATCGAAGGCAACCGTTATCAAAGACCAATACCATTTGGACTCGGCAGCATACGACTTGGAGGTCATCGATGGGTACTTTGCCTCCAACGACCAGGCTTGCGACTATTTCGAGAGATACAGGCAAGACGTAGGAGACCGTGCAGCCCGCTCCTCAGAAGTCCAGGGTAACGGACCGCAGGCGATAGTAGTAGAGCTGAAAGATGGCGCGAACTTACCAAGACGACCGCACCCGCGAGCTACTACAAAACGCCCAGGCCTTCCCCGAAGCTACCTCTCTTCGAAAGACAGCATTAGAACTATTCAATATCGCCAGCAAACTCCATCCTCACGGGCTCGCGTCCGACGATGCTGTAAACCCTCCCGACGATCAACCTTTGGAGAATGCTGAAGCGGAGAGGTTTCGGCAGATGTACCTTGTCAGCGAGCAGGCGAGGCATTATGAAACCCAAATGCGGACTGAGGCCGATTTGAGGGCGGAGAAAGCTGAAAAGCAAGTGGATGATTTGAAAGAGGAATTGGATGAGCTGACAGAGGAGATGGATGAATGGAAGGGGAAAGCCGAGCTCGCTGAAGCTCAGCTCGAAGAGGAGGATTCCTGGGCCAGAATCAAGAGAAGAAGACCGGAAGCGTATGACGAAATAGGATGGTGAACGTCTGATGCCTGCAACTCGTTGTACAAGAACCATTGAGTACTCGTATAAAATGTGAGAGCGCCACATTGAATGAGAAGCAATCACCGGACGAGATGCAAAATGAATGCGTTACGATATACTGGTCTTTCGTTTCTGTGTATGAATATATATGCTGTGTTGAAGTACAGTACGAGTATTCTCTAAGTGCAGAAGCCGCTAATCTGCCCCTGAGCCGACACACAATCCTATGGCTCATCCCCCTCCACCCCAAAAGCTCTATCGGCCATATTCCTCAGTACACCCATCATGCCACCTTCTCCAATCAGCATGCCGCGAAGGTCCCCCGCCAGCTCTCTGATCACCATGCCCTCCTTGCTCCCACCCTGAGACAGTGACATCCTTCTCTTGGTCGTAGAACCTTCACCATCCAGATCCATCCCAACTTCCTCAGTTTCAAAGCCCCTTTCCTCCGGTGAAAGGAGAGCATGTCGCAATGACAGCTGCGTATAGGAGACAAGCGCGGTTGACTCCAGGAGCTGGGAGGCGATGTCGCGTATTTGCTGAGTTGCACTCGCCGACGGTGTCATATTATATTGGCCACCAAGAGTGGGCGTCAAAGACGGCAGCCGTTCGAGGATGTTTTGCACAATGACGTAGATGTCATTGATGATGCCCACAGGGTCTGACGAAGTACCGCTTGCGTTTTCATCCTCTGGCAGAAGGATAAAGTCTTCAATACGCTCAGACTCGATCGCATCTCGCAGAGCTTCCCACGACCTGGTGAGGACGGTGAGAGTGAGGATGATGGTCCGAAGCAAGCGCAAAAGAGTGGTAGCTCGCCCGGCAATGATGGGTGTGCGTCTCACGTCTAGCAGATCGACATCTTGCTTCTCCTCCACCGCAGCAAGCTCCTCTTCCAGCTTTTCTCTCTCTTCCTCAGACGATGGTACGACAAGTGTTGAGAAGAGGCGAGGATGGGAGAAGGCAAAGCGGATGCCTTTCAGCAAAGCAAGAGCTGGGACGGCGTAGTCGTCAAGCGACCTGGGCCCCAGAGCGCAAGCAACGCCATACTGAATATCGACAACCAACTCCATTTCCTCCAATGCCGGAATCGATAGAGGTGTCTCCCCGTTCCAAGCAAATGCCCTTTGCATCTGCGCTGAGCACACCCGAAGGAAGGGAACGATGTCTGTGCGCGTGAAAGAGGCAGTATCAGGTAAAGTTGCGAGAAGCGCCTTGACGACAAGAAGCATGCCGCACCAAACGTCGTGCACCGTGTTCCCCTGACTAGAAGGCGCCTCGATCTTTCCCATCTCGGCTTCGGCGATGATGGCATTATCAGAATAAGCTGGGAGGATACCCGACACTGCAAGCTTCTCGGCCGATGAGGGGTTGCCAGCGAGGGCGAGATGAAGTAGCAAGATGCTCGAAATATGGAGAGGAATCTGCCCATCGGTGATTCGAGCCCTCACAAGGACATCCAGGCTCCGGCTAACGAGGTTCACGCCCTGGACACGATCGAGCCAGGTGTTGGCTGACGTCGACAGTCGGCTGATAGCGCAGATAACTCCCACCACCATGCTGAGGATGGGGACGAAGGCCGGTTGAACCTTCCGCACAATAGAGTCGAGGACAATGTCCGCAGACTCGAGAGCGAACACGGTCCCGGCATCCACAATTGCCTCGCGAGAAGCCACGCTGGACGCAGTGCTCTCAGAGGAGGATAAGTGCTGCAGCAAAAGAAATAGTATTCTCAGTGCCGGCTGGTGGATAGCAGGAAGGTCGGGTTGGCGCAGGGATATTATGGGAGGGAAGCTGTGGCTATTGATGACGCTGTAGATGTATGTTGAAAGCTGTTGGACAAGAAGAGTGTCAGGTTTGTGCTCCTCCTGCGGGTCCAAAGCCGTCTCCAGTAGTACTGCGAGAATTGACAGTCGCTCCACTTGGATAGCAAGCATGATATCCCCTTCCCTGTACTCCTCGGCAACGTTCTCGGCGATGGCGATGGATGCCTTGATCGCTGCAGTCATTGCCAGAGCATCTCCTTCGGCCCAAGCCGCGATATTCTCGGTCAGAAGACGGAAGGACCGGGTAAGGGCTATATCTGCGTCGAGCATCGACCAATTGAGGTTTAGAAGATCGAGAGCTGAATTAGCCGTAGCTTGTTTCGAGGAAGATTCCGGGACAGTGATCACCCCATCTGCGAAACATTGGTCTAGATTCTTTCACGATCTTGTCGACTTACCGTAGAGGTAGAATTGCCCGAACTCTCTTTCACACCCGACTCTCGCCGTCTTCAAAACATTCAGGTTACCGCCGCACTCCTTGATCTTTCGCTCTTGCTCTTGATGCAGCTGAGGCACACAGCTGGTGTGGCAAGCCATGAGCCCTGCCTCTTGCAACGCCAGATCGTTCCTGAACAGACTCAACACCAACTCTCTTGCTTTCGTCTCCGGCTCATCCTCATCGTCATTATTCATGGCATACGCCAACTCTGCCGCAAGGAGAGACGTGGCGTTAGCCTTGGCTTGCACCGAATAAGCATAACGTTTGATTCGAGGGACAAAGTCTTCAGAGTGCAGCGACAAGGCGAACGATGGCGGAGCGGGAACAATCCGAGTAGACAGATCAAAGACATCCCGCCAAAATTGCTTGTTCTTTCTCAGGATGCCAATTGCACTGTCCGCGCCTGCTGACCGCAGCGCTGACTGGATGAAATTCAGTACAGCGGCGATCAGGTACGGGGCGACCCGGAAGATCTCCTCCCAAGATCCCACCTCTGCGACAGCGTCTTTCAGAGGGCCCGTGAGCTCGTTCTCGTTATGACCAAGGACCGAAAGCACACAACCCGGTTGATTTGAGACGATACTGGCAAGAAGATGCCATGTAGCAGCCTTGACGTCAAAGTCATCAGATTTTTGCGAGGCTTCGACAATGTCGCCAAAGGTCTGCGAAGGGCTACGAAGCATGCTCGCCAATGAAGGTCTTTGAGCCTCTCCGCCAGTGACCTCAATATAAGTCTTGAGTGTGGCCAGGACGCTCAAGACGTTGCTCGTCTGTGCCATGGGCGTAGAAGCGATCTCAAAGAGAGAGTCTACCAACTGAATCTTGTTCAGAGCAGCCGAGGACACGGGTAAGGCAAGCAAAGATTTCGGCAGAGCACTCGATGGCGAGCCGATGAGGAAGGAAACCCTCAAAAGGGTGGCGAGGAAAGACATGGTCTCATCGAGACATTTCACAACCAGCTCAGCGTCTGCAGGCCGCCGCGAGTTGATCAGCCTGGGTACGAGGAGGTTTGATTGCGTGACAGCTTCAATGAGAGGTCGGTAGGTGAGAGGGGATGTGGATGATATGAAGAGGTCAATGAGAATTTGAGCCGCGGGTGTAGGCTTTTCCGAGTCGGGCGACAATGGATGGGATAAGACAGTGTCAAAGATGGCGGTCACCAGCGACGATAGCTCGTATTTTTTCGCCACATCCGAGTACCTCCACGTCAAAAAGTTGTTCCAGATATCAAAGAACACCAACCTGAGAGCAGAAGTCAGAATGACTGTATCGGCTTCAGGCACGTGCGAGGCGTTTTGAACCAGAGTGAGAACAAGCCTCAAGAGCGACGTCGTAAGGTGGTGGTGACCTTGGACGCTCTCCGCCTGTACCAGCCCTGCTACGCTCGCCTTCCGCTTTCCGCTGGCGTCAAAGAAACCTGATGCTCTTAGAGCAGGCCAAACGTTACTCGAAGGGGTAGTGATGAGCGCCTCGACCACATTGACAGCATCCGATACCACACCAACGTCCATTGCCAGCTCGGCGATACGGCTTTGATGAAGCACCGTAAGCGCGAGTTGTAGCAACGCTTGGCCCGAAGACATGTGCTCTTCGGGGATGAGATGCGTAAGGACAGTGGCTTTGAGATATGGAGTAGCGTGGAGGATGTTTCGAAGCAGTTTCAAGCCAGCGGCAAGGATTTCTGTCGACGGTTGTTGGATGTCAAGGTCTCTGACAGACAGGTAGACGCTATCCTCTAAGTGATCGGAGCTCGCTTGCGTTTTCTCGTCGATAGGACGAAGACCTGCAGCAGCTTGAAGGATCTCCAACAGGAGAGACCAACCAGAGATGATCTGGTTCACCCACATGACCTGAGAGGACCCATTCTCAAAGATTATGACACCTTTGGAACCTCGGGGAATACTCTCGCCGCCAGGCAGCACCAATGTTTGGGCCGCCTCCACAACCTCCACCCCCGCCTCCGTCCCCAAACCTCTACACCACGCCGGCTCATACGCGTGCGTAATTGAAGGCAGGTTGGTAAAGTAGTGATGCACCTGGCTTGCGGCATCAGTGCCAAAGACATCTGATTCGCCTTGACCAGTCAATGCTGCGAGGGTTCGGGGAAGGTTGGTCGCCTGGTATGGGAAGTGACTGCGGTCGAGTACGGCTCGTCGTTCCTCGTATTGAAAGTCGGCTATCCAGAAATCTGCTGCACTGAGAGAAGAAGCCGATGGTGATCCCTACTTAATGAATCAGCGACGTCACCATCAGATAGATGACACTTACACCACCAAACAGCAACTCCCAACTCCTGTACAATCCCGGCCGGTCGGCGATACTCTCCAGCTGCACCAATTCTGTCAGGCCAACCAAGACATCTGTGAAGACTTGTAAGTTTCCTGTCTGATCGCTGCGCATCAACTTACCTTTGAAAACCTTCCGGTAGAAGGCGCCCTCTTCGCCCCCGGTCCCCTGAAGTGCGCCTTCAAACAATGATCCACTCAGAATAGTCTCCACCCAAGGGAAAAGACCCGAAGGCAGCCGCAAAGCCCTGATGGCCATTCCCTGCCACGTCGTAGCTCCATCTACAGTGCTCGATGGTGCTACCGCAGGATCAAGCGACCTAAGTACCATAGACCAAACAAGGCAGATGATTGGCATTGGCCAAAGAGGGAGCGGGACGGTACCGGGTGCGGCTTCGGGGATGTGAGGTTCTAAGTCGGTAGATTGTTCCACAAGGAAATCGTGCACAGAGACAATCGTCTTTTGAGATTGGATGAGGGTGTTGAGGTCGAGTGATTCGAGAGGGTCTGAAGGGGAGATGATTTGCCCCAGGCAGAGACTTTCAATGGCAATCACGACCATCAAGTCTCGTATTCTTAACGCAATAGCCTGAGCCTCTGAATTCTCCTCCCATATATCTCCATTGGCTTGCGATGTTCCAAACGCAGACATGACGCATCCACGAATGAGGCCTTTGGAGATACCAGCAGACCTCTTTGGAATTTGGTAGACGAGGACAAAGAGGAGGTTGAGAAGGACCTCTTGTAGGCGTAATTGATGTGTAGCCCTACGCCGGATCAGTAGACTGTCTACTTGACGCGTACTATCACGTACCAGAACAAAGCGTCCATCTTCCTCTTCTTCTCATCGACCTCCTTCTGCGCCAATACACTGAAACCCCTAAAGAGCCCCTCAATATACTTCTCCGGCTCCCCAATCGCCTCTACCCTCACATCATATGCCAGGTTCCCTAACGGCGTCTCGTCGTCCGAAAGCTTGAGGACTGCCAGCGCGATTTGAGGCACCGCAAGCGTCTCCTCCGCTACCCATAACACCACCCTATCCACAATCCTCTCTTCACTCGTCTCTTCGTCCAAGCTATAGTTGAGATATGACCTCGTCGCCAAGAAAGCGGCGTATTCGTTCATATCCAGCAGATCCGACACCTCCAAGACAATCTTTCTCACATTGTCGGCGACTGTGAACGCAATTTCCGTTTGGGGCAGGGTAAAGGTCGCTTTCTTGATCGCCTCGCGAGCAGTGTTTGACCGGGGCTCGTAAGGATTCCATGGTGTGGATATGCATTGTTTATGTCGGGCGAGGAGGGCGCGGAGTTTAGGGATGGAGATGGTATCAGAGTCGGGGCGGAGAAGGGTATCGCGGATAGTTGTTAGAGGACTACGAGATGTAAGCTCGTGGGTCATGAGCGCCTCAGCACACACCATAAGAGGTCCTCTTTTGTGAGGCTGGCCACCGCCGGTGCTTGGTTGACCATTCTGAGGGAATAAATTGAGAATCGAGATGTATGAATGAGAGAAGCGACGGCATAGAGCAAGCATAGAGAAAGTTGTGCTTGCGCCGGGCTGCCGTTAAGTGGGTGGCGTAGATGCAAACGATGCATCTGTCATTCAACTGCAGTTCAACTGTGTCTTTTTGGATCACATGCATGCATAAAGCGTCTGTTAAACGCTGGGAGACAATCAAACAAATAATGTGTGCGTCCTGTCCACATATGAGGTGCTCATTAATATAGGAGTCATCGATAGAGAGAGAAACTGGCAAATCAAATGTGCATCGCCGCGTCTGTTTATTTCTCTTGGGCACCACCTTTCCCGCTTTCCACCTCCACATCCTCCTTCTTGCCCTATCTGTAGAATACAGCACAGATCAAAGCATTGAGCAACAACCACCCCAGAACGAACCAGAATGACGCTTGCACGTTGGTAAAGTTCGTCATACCCCCAGGATGAAGGGTGAGTAAACCAGCCTGTACCGAGAGTCCTATGACTGTACCGAGCTGAAGCGAGACTTGAAAAAGAGCACCAGCTACGCCACTCATGTCTGGGGGTGCGCTTGTCATGATGACAATGCTACAGACTCTGGTCAGCACGCTTCTCCACTTCAAGTTGAATGATACTCACTTGCACGACAAGAAGAGAACCATATCCACTGAACTACCCACAAACATGGCCGGGAACCACCATCGCCAATAAGCATTGTGGAAGATCTCTCCTTCAAAGTAGATGAGAGGAAGGTACATCAAGCCGGCGACGATTGGGCATCCCACAATCATCCAGCGCAGGTTGGTAATCTTTTTGAGCATGGAAGGGAGGATCAGGGCAATCGCTGCTCCGGAGACGGCATGGGGAAGAACACGGGCGGCGGCGACGATGGGGAGTTCGTCGAAGACGGAAAGGGAGCGTTCAATCAGGGCAAGTTGTGTGACCTATTATGCCGTCAGCGGCAGTCATGACTCGGAGACTGGGAGAAGACTCACTGCCCAGAAAGGATAGATCCCGATACTGATCCAGATGACCAAAGTTGCGTTTCGAATTTTCCAGAAACGGGGCGGGATGAGAGCATACCCTTCTGGGAGGCGAGATTCCCAAAGGAAGAACAGCACCATAAGAGGCCAGGACAAGAGGAAGGGAACCAAGAATCCCGCCTTCTTCCAGCCAAATGAAGAGCCCAAAGTCAGGCCGAGTACGAAAAGGATGATGGACGAAAGCATGAGGAGACAGCCGACGAGGTCAACACGCTTGAATCGCTCCTTGTTGTCCAAATCTTTGTGATCAACAAGGCCGGCATCCTTTGGGATACCGAAAAGCGCATAGACGGCAAAGGGGATGACAAGAGCAGCACCAACTGTCGAGTGTGGTCAGCAGTTTCGTCATGACTCTTGAAATTCCAGAACAGTTACCCGGAAGAACCACCTCCACCCGGCAAGCTGGTTGGTAGCATCTATAAGGCCAAATGCTCCGGCTAATAGCATGGATGTACACCCTGCGATCGGGCCAGTCACGATGAAACATGTCAAAGCCAGATGGAGCTCTTCCGGCTCAAACACTGCCATAATCAAGCGGTACGCAGATGGAGTCTGTCATCCAACGTCAGATCTTCCTGATGTTATACGAGAGACACGACTCACGGTGGCAGCTCCGCAGATACCGGACAACGCCCGGAAGACGAAGAAGCCATACTGATTGGGCATGAACGAAAGGATGAGACTGAACACTCCAAGGAAAAGGAATCCGTAGGAAAAGACTACTTGGGGAGAGTAGAGATCCGCAACACGGCCCCAGAAGAGGAGGAAGGAAGAGAAAGTGACAACGTAGGCAGTCTGGATACCGCATCAGTACAGTGATACAACATTAAGGGATCAATGAGGAGCCAGTATACGCACAACAACCCAAGTGGATGACTCGTAGATGATACCAAGCTCGTTCGTCACGACGTCGGTGAACACCATGGCTGCAGAGTAGAGGGACAAGTCTAGATACTAATATCACTCATGTCATCAGTCTCTGGTTCTCGTACAAGCGCACAAGCCCTTTTTTTGGGGGAAAGATAGAACTCACCTGAGCCATACTAAACAAGAACAGAAGGAACCACTTGCGACCCTGCGGGATCTTGACAGACTTGCCAGCTTTGGCAGCAAGCTCTTCGTTACCATTTTCCTTGCTGACAGCATCTGAGGGCACATCACGCGTATCATGAGGGTCATTTGAGTGAGTGAAGGTATGACTTTTGCCGAGGACAGGGGACCCGGCTTCAGCAAGAGTCTTGGTAGAGCAAGCGGAGGCGGGTGCGGGCGGTCTGTCGACCTGGGCGTTGGAGATTTCGAGGGTCGCCATTATAGGATAAGAGAGGATATGCATTCAAGCATTGCCACTGGGCAGCCCGCTGACCTTTAAACAAACCAGTAGTGGAGGGCGCTTTGCTCAACTTTCAGCTTAGTAAACGTCTCCACCAGACGATCTCGATGTGGAGGCCGAAAAGGTGGAGGATGGTGGAGGATGTTTGTCATGTACAATTATATACGCCTGGGGCAAGAAATCGGCAAATCACGCGATGTTTCCAAGTCAGGAGCGATGTGGGTGCCGACCAGCAAGCGTAGCGGGAAAGGCCGCCCACCGACGGTCAACATGACGATCTAATCACGGCTGTTGACGAGATGTATCTGGCCGTGATAACGGAAGGCCGAGCAGCGTATTTACAACTATACACATTTACATACTCCACAGGCTCCTGAAGGAACTCCATATGATACTCGCCTCTCTCTCTCCAAGTCTCTCTATCAGTGCGCCATGACAGCAGTCTCTCCACTCTCCTCATCCTTCTCATCTTTTTTAGGCTGCCGATAGAATACCGCGGTAAGAAGTGCCGCCAGCAACTGCCACCCGACGACGAACCAGAACGAAACAGAGACATTGTCCCAGTTGCTGACGTTGCCAGGGTGGAGAGTGAGAAATCCGGCTTGCACGGAGAGCCCAATGACTGTGCCAACCTGCAGGGCTACTTGAAAAAGCGCACCCGCGACGCCGCCCATCTCTTTATCGACACTGGTCATGATAGCGACACTGTTGGCATGGTCAGTTGGCACCTCTCACGGGCGCGATGTTGGGTTATAACTCACTTGGCGCAAAGGAAGAACACCGTATTGGCACTACTCCCTACTATGAAAGCAGGAAACAGCCACCTCCAGTACGCATTGTGGAAGATCTTGCCTTCCGAGTAGATCATGGGGATGATCAAGAGCCCTGAAATACCCAGACCAAATACCATCGGCCACCGAAGATTGCGCACATTTTTGAGTATGCGGGGCAGAACCAAGGCAACGATGATTGCCATAATCGAGGAAGGAAGCATGCGAACAGCAGCAACGATTGCGAGCTCGTCCCAGACAGTGAGAGAGCGTTCAATGAATACAAGCTGAGTCACCTAAAGATAAGAAGTCAGCGAAGTATAGAGATGATTGTAGCACTCACCGCCCAGAGAGGATAGATCGCCAAAGAGCAGAATATGATGAGGGCCGTGTTCCTCAACTTCCAGAAATGTGGCGGAATGAGGGCGTAACCCTCCGGCAATCGCGCTTCCCAAAAGAAAAAAGACACGAATATCAGCCAGGAGAGAAGGAAGGGCACCAGGAATCCGGGCTTTCTCCACCCGAATGAAGACCCCAGAGTAAGACCAAGAACAAACAAAATAATGCCGGACAACATGAGAGCGCAGCCGACAACATCCAAGCGTTTAAGTCTGTCCTTACGGTCAAGCTTCTGGTTATCGAGCCGGCCAGCTTCTGAGGGAATAGCTTTCAAAGCAAAGATACCGAAGGGCGCGACGACCAATGAGATACTCTATGACCGATGTCAGTACGATTCGGGGCTCGGAGTCTCAGAAGCCTACCCTAAAGAACCATCTCCATCCGGCCAGTTGGTTCGAGACTGTTACAAACTCGAAGACTGCGGCGATGATCATAGCCGAGCAAACAGCCATTGGTCCGCTCATCATAAACATGGTCAGGGCAATGTTGAGCTCTTGAGGTTCGAAAATCGCGACAATCAAGCGATAGGCCGAGGGTATCTATACCCGGTCAGCCGCAGCACATGAGGCATGATGGTGAAGACTCACAGTTGCGGCTCCACATATCCCCATCAAAGCTCTGAAGACAAAGAAAGCATACTGGCTTGCCATGAATGACAACACAAGGCTGAATAATCCCAGAAGGAGAAACCCATATGCAAAGACTGCTTTAGGCGAATAGAGGTCGGAGACGCGACCCCACAGAAGGAGGAAGGATGCGAAGGTGACAGTGTATGCCGTCTACGTGCAAAGTTAGTGAAATGTCAGAACGATAGTCTGAAGGTCAATGTACGATAACCCAAGACGAGGACTCGTATAGAATACCGAGATCTTGCTGGATGCTGTCGGTCAAAATCAAGCCACTCGAGTAGAGCGCGATATCGAGATACTTTGATGTTAGGTCAGCAGGGATCCTCCATGAAAGCGGTACCCGGCTCACCTGCGCCGCACTAAAAACAAACAGTAACATCCATTTTCGTTTTTGGGATAGCTTGACATGTACGCCTGCTTCCGGCTCTTTCACTTTGGACTCCGCACGAGCCGTCTCTTCGCTCATTCCACCTTGAGAGAGATTAAGCGAAGCAGGCTTCTTGGTATCATTGCCTGCTTGGGTAGTGGTGGGGTCATCTGTGTAGTTTTCGATCAGAGTGTTTGACGAGGGAGAGGAGCTCGGGGGTGGATATGTCGAATGGTCGGGAGGCGACAGAGTTGCCATTTTTCGCAAGAGATCTCGCCTGGGCAGATGGTTGGTGCGGGGGTGTAGGTAGCTTCATGGTGTCCAGCGGCTTTTGAGATATATAGCGAGGTTCTGCGATTATGGTTATCAGGCTGTTGACTGTTTTGACTGACATGATTGATGATATGCTTAACAAATGCTCACTAAATCACTGCATGCCTCCACTCGCCTCCACCAGTATCTCCGCCGGAATACTCTCCTCCACTAGTACTTCCGCCGGCATACTTGATAAGCTGGTGACAAGATTGTCCAGATGGCTAGGCAAGGATGTATTACACGTCTATACCTTTATACATATTCTATATCATGTCCCTATCAAACTACGAGTACTCGTACTTTACTCATACTCGAACATTATTTCGTGCGTGACTATAATCGCTACTCTCTGATCGCCCTAATGCGCCATGACAGTCGCCCCACTCTCCTCATCCCCATCTGCCTTCTTCGGCTGCCGATAGAACACTGCTGTAAGGAGAGCAACCAATAATTGCCACCCGACGACGAACCAGAACGAAACACGGACATTGTCCCAATTGCTGACGTTGCCGGTGTGCAGTGTGAGGAAGCCAGCTTGGACGGAAAGTCCGATGACGGTTCCGAGCTGCAGGGCCACTTGGAAAAGAGCACCTGCGACGCCACCCATCTCTTTATCAACACTGGTCATGATGGCAACACTATCATGTCGTCAGTCGAAACTCTACATCAGTGTGGGGATGGAGAAGGACTCACTTGGCGCAGAGAAAGTACATCATATTGGCGGCACTCCCAACAAAGAAAGCGGGAAACAACCACCTCCAGTAGACATTGTGGAAGATCTCGCCCTTTGAATAAATCATGGGGATGATCATCAACCCCGCGAGACCTATGCCAGCTACCATGGGCCATCGCAGGTTGGAGACGTGCTTGAGCAAGCGGGGCAAAAACAGGGCGACGGCGCCTCCCGAAATGGCATAAGGAAGCATGCGAACGGCAGCCACGATGGCGAGTTCGTTCCAGACAGTGAGGGAGCGCTCAATGAATGTAAGCTGAGTCACCTGGATACAAGTTGTCAGCCGAGAACAAGTATGACAATTGTCGCACTCACAGCCCAGAAGGGGTAGATTGACAACGAACAGAAGATGATGAGGGCGGTGTTCCTCAACTTCCAGAAACGTGGCGGAATGAGAGCATATCCCTCGGGCAATCGCGCTTCCCAGAAAAAGAAGGATACCAGTATCGGCCAGGAGAGAAGGAAGGGTACGAGGAATCCGGGCTTCTTCCATCCAAAAGAAGATCCTAGGGTGAGGCCGAGGACGAAGAGAATAATGCCCGACAACATGAGGCCGCAGCCGACAATATCCAAGCGCTTCAGCCTGTCCTTGTGGTCAAGGTTCTGGTTGTCGAGTCGACCAGCTTCTGATGGGATAGCGCTCAAGGCAAAGATACCGAAGGGGATGACGATCACGGAGATGCTCTGCCACCTGTATCAGTAGAGATTCGGAGTTTGAGTTTGAAATGCTTACTCTGAAGAACCATCTCCAGCCGGCTAACTGATTGTGCACTTTCACCAATTCAAAGACTCCAGCTAGGATCATGGCCGAACATATCGCTATCGGACCGCTCATCATAAACATGGTAAGGGCCAGATTGAGCTCATGAGGCTCAAAGACAGCAACGATCAAACGGTAGGCCGATGGTATCTGCACATGGTCAGTCTCTAGACAGTGTGTCATGATGGCAACTCACAGTAGCAGCTCCGCATACTCCCATCAGAGCTCTGAAGACAAAGAAAGCGTACTGGTTTGGCATGAACGACAGTGCCAAGCTGAAGAATCCGAGAAGAAGGAAACCATAGGCGAAGACTGCCTTTGGTGAATAGAGGTCCGAGACACGACCCCATAAAAGGAGGAAGGATGCAAAGGTGACTGTGTAGGCTGTCTGAAGGCAAAAGTCAGCAAAGTGGTAGATTGAGGAAGCGGTGAATGACGAACGATGACCCAGGTTGAGGACTCGTACAGGATACCAAGGTCTTCCGCGACGCTGTCTGTAAATATCAATCCACCCGAGTAGAGAGCGATATCAAGGTACTACAAGCCTCAGTTAGCGAGTCTCTTTGAAGGTAGTTATACGACACATACCTGCGCCACGCTAAATACAAAGAGTAATGTCCACTTGCGTTTCTGGGATAATTTCACATGCACCGCGCCTGTGTCGGCGTTCTGGTCCAAATGGGACTCGGACTTGTCTACACTCGAATCTCCTTGAGTAATCTCCTTGCCTGATTTGAGTGACGCTGCCTTGAGTGCGTCGCCTGATCTGGTGGGATCATCCGCGTCTTCGCATAGAGTCTTGGAGGAGGGGAAGAAACTGGGGGGTTGGTAGTTGTCGTGAGCTGGCGATGGAGACGACATGGCCGAGACAGCTCTTGCAAGGGGATGAAGAGTGGGTATGAGAGTAGATGGGCGTTTCCATGACGTCCAGCGATCCTGGGGTTATATACGGTGGCTGGCGATTGCGAAGATTGCTAAGAGCTGATAAAGCGATCGCGACCAAACTTGCAGGAGCGCCTCCACCTTAGCCCTCCACCTGCCCTCCACCTGCCTCCACTCGCATTGCGATGTTTATAAGTTCAGTCGGCGTTCAGTCAGCAAGCGGGGAATGATGCATACCAAGCTGGTTGCGAACAAAAGCAGGTCGCAACGGTGTTTGTCATCTCCTGGGAATGCTCTGATTCATGGCCGAGGAGAGTGCGTACTTGTACGAGTATTGTCTCATCAGACATAATAATCAGAGCGACTTTTGCCCCCCCCGAGGCCGAGCAGCGACGAGCCTCATATGCAACATGCCGATGTAAATTGTCCCCAATGAATGGGGCCTGTGGTTCTGGAATACCTGTACTTGAGTACAGAAAGATCGGAGCGATTTGTTGACATGATCATGATGAGATATGATAGACAACGGGTTGATTTCATGATTACGTAAGCTTCTATAAATCATTATTCGATGATGTCCTCTTGCAATCACCTCTTGAGATCTCTCTACAACCATTCCACGAGCAAACGCAGTATGGCTACTCCCCTGCCCTCCCTCTCTCCCGCCGAGTCTTCCTACATTTCCACCTCCCTCGCACACCCCGAAGAGCCCACCCGCAATGACGGCCGCGCCCTCTTCGCCTCCCGCCCCATCCAGGTCTCCTACAACGTCTTTCCCCACGCGAACGGCAGTGCCCACATCACACTAGGCGGCACCGAAGTCGTCGCAGGTGTGAGACTAGAAGTCGTTGATGCTACTGGAGAGCAAATAAAGGGGCAGGAAGTGTGGAGGACAAAAGTTACTGTCGATATGTGCGTCTTGCAGCCTGTCTCGCGGTACAAGCTGATATCAAGTCAAGCACCCCGCAAGCATTCCCCAACACCTCGTCATCAATAATCAACAACCTCGCTACCCACTTCCAAGCCCTCCTCACCTCCCACGTCACCCCCTCTCTCCCGGCACTCCCCATCCTTCCCAACAAAAAGTACTTCCAGCCCCACCTCCACCTCACCTTGCTCTCTTCTGCTGGAAACGTCCCCACTGCTCTCAGTATTGCTGCTCGGGCGGCGTTTTCGGATCTGAGGGTACCAAAGACCAAGGTCATTTCCTGGGTCGGCGAACCGGGAGAGGAGGAGGGCGCAGAAGTCGCCAAGGGAGATATGAGTGGTATCAAGGCGGCTATCGCTGCAAGCAAGACGAAGGGAAAGGGCAAGCTGGTAGTCAAGGGGAACGAAGATTGGGATCTGGATATGGAAGACGGAGATGGTGTAGCGTATCTGGAAGGGAGAGAGCAATTACCGGTTCTTGTTGCCTTGAACCTTGCAAGTCTCTCGTATCTCTTTTTCTCTCATCTGGCTGACACCCTACAGGTCCCCAACTCTGCCAATATCTTTCTTGATGCTACCGGTCAGGAAGAAGCCGCCTGCCCCACCCGCATTCTCCTCTTCTTCAAACCCACCTCCCCCGACTCTTCTTCCTCGCCCAATCTCTGTGGTATGCGGTTAGAAGGACCTCACGGTCTGGATCAGAGCCGAGTGCGGGGGCTGTTAGAGCAGGGAGCGAGTGTGGCGGAGGAGCTGGTCAAGGAGCTGAATAAATCCATACCGACTAGCGATTGAGATGGCATATAATCATATTCGCACGTCTCCTTCGAGCGGTTTGCGCGCAGAGCAGGATGTTGGGCTTTGTAGATGGCTCCACTGGCGTCCATCACGACTCGCGACTTCTTTCACGCACATATGTTGGAAAAGAAACTACTTGTAGATTCATGCTTCCATGTATGATGTCGTGTCTGAGTCGTGCTACAAATGATGGAATGAATTGTCCAGAGCTCGAGAGAAATGAAGCCCTCTCCAAGCGTGATAATGAGGAAAGTGAGTATAGTACAGGATGAAAAGAACGCTCTGATGCCCAAAAAGAAAGCCTTAGAGAGCCGAGATGTTGGAACGGTTTGCTCAACAATCATCTACCAGTCGGTTCTCCGGCCAGACGGCGCCAGGGACGTCACCAAACACCGTCTACACTCTGGGTCAGATCTTCATCCTGTCTTGAGGAGCTGAGTACTTACGATATTAGGGTTCGAGTATGCCTCAGGGAATCTATCGCAGTGGTCAGCAAATGTTCCGCTGGATGCAGACGCGTTTAGACTCACTGCGCGATATATGCAGCAGTTGGCCTATCCGCAGGATCGCACCCGATGTTTCTCTTCTTCGGGTCCTCTGTCACTGGCGTCAGCACCCGTCCTCCACGTCACAAAGAAGCACGCACGATATACTCGGACGTAATCGACCTCCATACTATCATAGTTGTCAGCCGTCGACTCCATGTGGGCACAATGCAGATATCTCACGTGATAGGCCATAGCGGATCCAGCCCCACAAAGCTACAGACACATGATCAGCCCGATATCCTCAGCAGGTTGAAGCATAGCAAGCTTACTGGATAGCACCAAAGTTCTCCGAGAGACCAAAATTGAGGATGATATACATTGGCTCGTCCGGGACGAGCCTCTGACCGACTTGGGCTTCTTCATCGGGGCCCATGGCTATATCGTCACATCAGCGATACCCCGATGTAAAAAACCTGGTAGGTACTTGCCAGGTCCACGAATAGTCCAAGCTTTCTTGTCATCGTTGATCCATGTGATATACCCGTCCGGGCCTCCTTTGTATTCGAACCCATAGGACTCGAAACATCCCTTTTCGTTGGTGCTATACCATGTCAATTTCTCCAGCTTGTACGGCTTTGAAGTGTTGGGCTTACTAGCAGTCCTACAAGATCGTCAGCACTCTTCACCGAAAGGAAGACGAAAGCCACTCACTTGTTTCGTCATACTCAAAGCCGAAGTAGCCTGCTGATAAACACTCCCCAAATAGGTATTCACCTTGGTCTCATCCTCATCATAAACCTTGTAATACTTGTCGGACGTGTTCTTGAACTGCCAAATCTGTAAGCAAGATTGAACTTGAATTACAGAAGAGACTCACATAGTAATGTGAACTGAAAGGCGCCCATTGACCCGATTGAGACACTTTTCCTTTCCCATCATCAATCTGACGATATCCCGTCAGCCACAGCCTTTCACTTCAACCAGAAAACGATCTTACAGTAGCTTCAAACATATCAATCTCCGGCGCCGACCTGCCCACCCACGTCCCATCTTCATGCTTTGGCCCAGGATGATGCGGATCATCCTCGCACGTGCAGCTCGACAATCGCTGGCCGGGGAGGTAAGAGAGTTCGTCGCCGTTGTTGGGATCGCCGTTCGTGAGAGATGTTTCGGGTTTGCCTGTTGCTCTGATCAGCTTTTGCCTTTAGTAAAGGAGATATGGAGGATATGTACCGTTCAGGGTTTGATTGGGAAGAGTACCGACGTCGCAAGTGTCGTAGCTGTATGGCCAAGTACCATCTAGCGTCCCGCCATAGCCGGCACGTCCGAGATTGCCCATGGTCCAGATAGCAGGCCAGAGGCTGTTCTACCATCAGCTTGCATTTCGGATTTGATGATCAAGAAACTTACCCAGGGATATCGTTTGTACCAGGAAGCGAGACCGATGCTAAGCATCACGTTAACGCAAGTCCAGAAGCAAGAAACAGGATGGAGGTGAGCGTACCTTCGACGTACCCACCGCTAAAGCAAAACTGGTTCCAGCTTGACATCACTGTATACCTATCAGTACCAACGTCTAACTCGGGATGGACGAAATACTCACTGCCGCCTTCAAAGTTCATCCCGTGACTGACAATCTTGTCCAAAGTGATAACCAGCTTGCCGTCCTTGGTCGTCACACGCTTAGGGTCATACCATTCCAAATTATTTGTCTGCCAATAGTGCAAATCCACAGCTTCCCAGAACGGATCATCGCCTTCCAACGCCATAAGTACCACCTCCCCAGCGCTCCGATTAACTCACCAGGATTAAAAGTCCTCCCCTCCTGATTAAACTCGTCCGAAAACACCAACTCCCACTCTTCGCCCGTCTCTGCGCTCGTATGCGTGTACGCCTCTGGGGGTGTCTCGGGGTCGATGAGCTGGAAAAAGTTGGTGATGCTTGGGACTTGGCCTGTTGCGCTACATTACGATGATCAGTTATGGGGGCTGCGCCGAGGAGAAACGACGCACTTGATACCGCCGAGGTTGTAGGCACCGTTATTGTCCATGTGGTTCGGGTGGTAATAGTAGGTGATGACAGGGTAGCCGGCACTATGATCTCATCAGCAGTGATTTTGCCTCTGGCGCGTCCACTCACAAGATCATGACGACTGTTAAGAACAAGAAGAGTAGACAGCCGAGGTTGGCAAGACCGCGTTTGGAAAAGTAGACCGTCTACCTTTCGCGTCAGCCATGCTATAGCGAGGATGAGATACCTGACTCACATCGTGCTTGTCCATGTCGTCAGGATGGTGTAGCGAGTCGTCTTCTTCTGGATCCATATGGTGCCATTGCGAAGGATCGATGTGAAATGGCAACTACTCTCCCTTCAGTTTGTCGCACAACGTCATCCATAGGAGAACGTACCAGATCATGCAGCTTGCTGTTCTCCCGCTTCTTTTGCTTTGGCCCTAACCTCAAGCTCTTGAGGGTATACATTGATTGCAGTTCATTCCTCTCTCTCCTCTCCTTTTCCCCGTTGATGCCTGCGCCCAGCCCCATGGCTCTCGTGAACGGGTCATCCGCTCGCAGCTGTGTGACACTATCCATATCGCTGTCCTGGAAGCTTGAGAAAGAAGCATGACTGCGCATAGAAGACTCGTAGATGCTCGGTGCCAGACTCGGCCCGCTCCCAAAGGTGCGGTTGCTGAGGTTGGAATGGCCGCCTGGGAAAAAGTCTGAGCCGGCAGAAATGTCCAAAGCCGAGAGACCGACGGGAAAGTGGGCGGCGAGTGGGGAGAGGCTGGCTTTGTGCGAGTAGCCGAGAGAGCCTTGGGGGTGTCTGCCGTTGTGAGAGTCGGAGGGGTAGTTTTTGATCTCGGGATCAGAGACGAGCGGGCCGGTAGGAGATTTCGGGGTGGGCGGTCCAGCAACAGGACGAGTCGTCTCGAACGAGGCTTGGCGAGTGGGATACCCACGGTGGTCGTAGGCTGGCACAGCGCGACTGTTGGTCGATTCGCTCGCGACGGACGGCGAGTGCAAGTCCAAGATCAACCAACCATCCTCCTTCTTTTCTGCCCCGCCCATATCCAGCTTGTCACGCAGCCAGCGGCTTGTCCCCTTGATGATCCGCTCTGCGCCAGACGAGTGGGATACATGGCGCACGGTCGAGTCTCGCGCGCTGGAGGGGACAGAGAGGTTGGGTGAAGAGTTGGGTTTGGTGAGGACGTGGGTGCCCTTGTCTTTGCGGGGGGAGGGGCGAGAGCGCAAGCCTGAAGGGGATCCCTGGGCGGGAGGGGTAGAGGCTTTTGAGCGGTGGAAGGTCGAGGGCTGGCGGAGGGCAGAGGCGGCGATGACCTCGGACTCTGAGCGCTGGTGTTGGGGGCGGGCTGTTGTGTCGGGGGAGAGCGGGAGGAGGGGGCGGCGTTGGCCCAGGGGTAGGCGGGGGGCGGCATCGTCAGCGCAGCAAGAGCTGAGGATTAGAAATGGAATAGGAATGGGATAGGGAGGGTATACAGTAATTGCTGCAGAGAGGGCTAGTAGTAGACACCTCCTTTCGAACGCCCACCCACCATCACTGTCACCAGCTTTATTTAGTTTTTGGGTTGCGTATTGTATTAGTATTTTCTATTAATCCTAAATTTGGGTAGCTCAACTTCTGCAAGACCTATCCATGTACGCCCCATGCATATGCTGGTTCTGCAGGGCGGGGTTGGAGATGGTTGCTGCGGTGTAACAGTAAGGGTCGAGTCTCACTGGGCTGTTTTCTCGTCAGCCACACTCAGATCTCACAGACCACTTACATGTTCTTTCACACCCTCCCACCCACCTCCAGCTACTCTTACCCCTGCCCCTCGCATGCACCCTCCGCCTCTCGATGTCGATAGCCCTCGGTCAGCTCGGAAGGCCGCATACGTGACGGAACCAATTGCGGCGTTGGCCGGTATTTTTCCATGTGGCAAAACTACCTGCGCGAAACTCTTCTTGCACATCTGCCAATTTTGATTTTCCCTAGACTCACAAGCCGAAGGTAAATTCAATCCCTGTATACAAGTGGCCCCGACTAACCCTTCACAGGCAGCGGCACGTATCAAGCAAACACTCAATCCCCAGACTTCATCAAAAAAGTCCCAAAAACCACTCCTCCACAATGATCATCACCAAGGAAAACCGCAGGGCCGTATGTCCATCCCACAACACTCTCAATGATCACCCACTAATTCATTGTCTAGATCTACGAGTACCTCTTCAAGGAGGGTGTTCTCGTCGCCCCCAAGGACTTTAACCGACCCACCCACCCCGACATCCCCTCCGTCCGAAACCTCGAGGTTGTCAAGGCCATGCAGTCCCTCAACTCCAAGGGCTACGTCAAGACCCAGTTCTCTTGGCAGTGGTACTACTACACCCTCACCGAGGAGGGTCTCGCCTACCTCAGGGAGTTCTTGCACCTTCCTTCCGAGATTGTGCCCAACACCCACGTCAAGCCCGTCACCAGGGCCCCCGCCAGGACCGGCGGCCAGAGGGAGGGTGCCTACAGGGCCCCCCGAGGTGACAGGGAGTACAGGAGGAAGGACGAGGGTGGAGAGGAGCGACCCGTGAGTTCTCAGAAAGGCTTTGATCAGGCGTGTGCTGATTTGGTTTGCAGCGATTCGGTGGTGTCGGCCGACCCTCCGCTTAAGCGGTTACCCCTAGGGTACTGTTAAAGGATCGAGAGGCAGTGAGGGGATGAAAACGAGTGTTGGCGCGGAGAGCATGGGAGAGCAATTCGTTGGGATTTCATGCATTGACCCGTAGCCGCTTGACCTATTCAATGGAACGCCGAACAGAAGCAGAGGTGTAACGCTGACTCGAGACTCCTTTGGACGGTCGTGTACGATTCATGCCTGTTGGAGGCCAGCAAATTCGATCGAGTCAGAGCGCATTGTACAAGTGGTTTACATGCGTCAAATCCCATGCCATGCTCGAAAGAATACTATATATGTTATGCTCTACCGTCATGTCATCATGGTCTGTCATTGCGACGGCCCAGCACCCGCCGTCGAACTGGGAGTCGAAGGTGCAGAAGGCGTCGAACCTTTTACGTTCAATATCTTGGCCAGACTCAGTAGTTGGGGTTTCGTACAGAGTCCAAGATTGCTGCGCCCTCGTCAGCTCATTGTTCGTCTACATTGTTTGCGGGGAACGTACATGGAGACTTGGACGCTCTTCTTGTCATCCAACGTCTTGATAATGGTAGCCGGCCATTTTTGTGAACTGGCAGCTGGCGTGGCTTGGACGGGAGTGGAAGGGATCAGGCCGATACTGACCAGTTGGGGGAGTAATGATCTTGAAGAGTTATCAGTATTCCAAATCCGGAATCAAAGGAGGTACAATGAACGTACATGTTGATGGTCAAAGAGACAGGCCCCTGAGGCGGTGGCGGCGGTCTCCCCGGCGTACCCGCCCCATTCACCCCAGGCGTAGGCGTACCCGTCCGTCCCCCAGGCGTCATGGCTCCAGTCGCACTGCCGGGTGACCCTGCTGCAGAGCGAATCGGGTTCCCATTGGGACTGGCAACAGCTTGGAGATTCGACCCCGAGCTCGCGGCGAGCTGAAGCCTGCCTGTCCCTGGTGGTCTGCCTCGAGTACGTTTCGTCGGAGACTCTTGTATAGGCGGACGGGCTTGTTGCGCCGGTATTGACGGTCTGGACCCAGTCCCTCCATTCCCCGGCCCCAAAGGTCTCACAGCCTCCTGCATAGCCATCCCCACCACCCTCTTCATCGCCTCTTCATCTTCCCTCGCCTTCCTCCTTACTTCAGCCACCCGTCTTTGCTCCTGGTCCAAGTACGACCACTGTTGTTTTGATTGCCGGAGGTTGGACTGCAAGTATGAGACTTCGTCGCGCACGGCGGACTGGGAGGTTTGGAGGAAACTGATAGCGGAGGGGAGGGGGGCCGGGCGGTCGTCTTCGCGGAGGAGTGCTTTGGCGAATCGCGATTTTATATTCTTCAACCGTAGTAACAGCTCGGATGCTTCTTTTGTTTCTACATCCCCATCAGCTCATCACCCACACTCCCGGGATGTTAACACTCACCTCTCGCTACATCCGCTTTGTCCCACGTATTCAGTTCCTCGTCATGCACCTGCCAGATATGATACGGCAATAACCTCTGAACCGCGTCCTCTACTGATGTGAATCGTGTTGGTGGTGGTGGGTTGAGGGTCGCATCCTGATCCAACTCTACAGCAAGATGCAGCCTGCACTATATCAGCTCTGCCTCGATTATGTATTCGGGGGCAAGCTTACGATGTCCAAGAGTCGGCCAAAGCCTCCTGCTCGTCCTTTCCAAAGCCCATAACACCCCACTTCCTCTTCCTCCCTACTAATTGCTTCTCCCAGCCACTCCCTCCCGTACTGCTCCCCTGCTCGGCGTCGACTTGACCGGGGAACGGTTTCGGTGTAGCTTGGACGGGTTTCTGGTGCTGATTTTGCTGACTTTGTGGTGGCGGTGGAGCGTAGTGGCGGGAAGGAGTGGAGGTATATGATGTCGGTGTCGCCGACCCTCTCGCAGTAGGCGTAGGCGTCGACGCATCTTCCCGCTTAAACAACCTCTGCCCATCCCCATTCACCCCATTCGCCATCACCCTGGCCGGCTCAGGGGCGTCATCTCCAATCGCTTCTAGTTTGACGGTATAGCCATCTGACATGGCTTGGAGAAGAGAAGAGAAGAGGAGGGAAAAGTCAGAGGAGATGAGCGGGCAGCGTGGACGTCCTCCACCGCAAGGGCAGGCGAGAATTGCCGCACTGCACAAGCTGGCGGGGAATGCGGCGTTATCCGCTTGTGGCGGTTGAGAGATTTGTTTGGTTCGATGCCATGCATGCATGTCCTGTCTATTGTCTAGTATGTGTGCTTGTAGATAATGGTATGATATGCCACGTGCAAGATCGCCTTGACTCAACTACGCCCCGACGGCCTTCTCTTCCAACTTTTCCCTCTGCTCCCTCAAGATCTCGCCCTGCAATACCTTCAGCAGCACATACGTGTACTCCAGCCTGGGAGTGTCCACCTTGTGCTTCTGAGCGAGTCGAAGTACGGCACCGGTGATGACTTCGACCTCGAATGGACGGCCCATCTCGACGTCGATCAGGAGAGAGTATTTGTGGCCGACGCCGCGAGCTTTGGCCATACCAGTGATCTACCCTGATTAGCTCGCTTTGGAAGGAGAAGTAGAGAAACACACCTTGTCCCAGCAGTACTCGACAACATCGTCCAAACCCTCGCTCACTTCCTTGGTTGGGTACTGCACCATCCCCTTCCATAACAGACCCGCTTGGAACCCAACTGTCACAATCTCGCGAAAGTACGACTTGATGACAGCAGAGTGCTCGGGAGAGAGAGGAGCAAAAGCAAGGGCAGTGGATCGGACGAGGCCTTGCATAGATGCCCAGGCGCAGTTCCAGACGTTCTGCGACCCAGATTAGCTTGGACACATTGTGGTATGATGTGGACGGACCTTGGAGAAGCGGATGGAATCAATGTGCTCGGTGGTGTCGACAACACCCTCACCGGCCTTCAGGATGTCTACCCAGAGCTCCAGCGCCGCGCTCTCTCTTGGGGAAAACTCTCGATCTTGCACTTGGCCCTTAGGAGGTTTGGGAGGATAGTTACCAGCAACGAGCATTTCCTTCGTAAAAATTACTTTGGGTGACATATGGGAACATGTATATCACTCACGTTGCCTCTCCAAGTGACGACTTTGCCGTCGGCAGAGGTCATGATACCAATCCAAGCACAGCTCGAGAGAACCGGGATGTTTTGGTCTTTGACGCCTTGATACAAATCCTCCTCGATACCCAGCCCGTTCTGCCTCACAATCAGCTTCTATATGACGAAAAGCTATACCAATCAGAGACGTACTTGGATCAGGTTATAAGCACCAATTTGGCCGCTCTCAATAGTATCGGCTAAGAGCTTGACATTCGGGAGGACGTCTGGAAGACATTTCGTGCAGACCAAACAGATTGCGTAGTGAGTGCCATCCGCCAAGGCTTCCTTTTGTGATTTGAAGACTAGATTACTTTCAGCAGAGTACACAAAAGTCCAAAATGCATGACTGAAGTCACGAGAAGGGGTACATACCTCGATAAGGCTTCCAGCCCTCCACCGTCCCAAAGCGCTCGGTCTCGAGCGTCACACCAGTGGTAGTGTAAAGGTTGTAGTTGGATCGGGCTACGGCAGTGACTCGAGCTTTACCTCCCTAGAGGCGTACACGCGTCAGTGGAGGATATTTGAGATGAGACAAGGCAGGATCTGACCTTTTCGAGAAGATAAGCGTAAATGGAGCCGATGGATCCTAATCCAATGAGGAGGACGTCGATGGGGGCGGTGGGGGAAGCCATATCTGTATTTGGGAAAGTGTGCTGATCGAAAAAGAGCAACAAGATGTTTTTGGATGAAAACAAGATGCAAGAGCGCATTTGATACGGCGCATGATGTGACTAGAGATATCGGACAAGGCCGAAACGCCCGGCGCGCATCTCTCATTGTTTGGTTCACTTTTGCTACTTTGAGCGGTCCTATATTTTCAGTATATTATGTGATATATTTATGATAAACCCCCCCAGCGCCACAACTATCGGCGTGGCTCGGGGGTAAAGTATACTCTGCCGTGACAGGTGGGCACGGCATTGAGATCAGATCTCGGTGAAGAATTTGCCAGGAGGACGACGATTTAGTCAGTATCCGAAACGTGAAAGTGTCCCGGCGAATGGCGCGTAGAAGAGCTCTTAAACTTACCACCTGTGAGCTCGCTATGTATGTATGGGACTCTGAAACTCTGCGAGGAAAGTATGAATTTGATGTGTTGGTCGCAAAGGAGGCTCGACAAGGCGCTCGTCTCGGCGGGAAGAACACGACTTTTCAACTCTCCATCTCCCTGTTGTCACCTGTCAAGTGCTCAACCGCTCCACTATGACACGCGGAGCCGGCAGCATCTTCAAGACTGTCGCTCGCTGGGCGACCGAGTCCCCCCTCGACAAGCTCACCACCGACTTTGGCCGGATCAAAAGACCGACGACTATGCCCGGGCTGCCCACCTGTGCCGAAATCTATGGCCTCACAGGTGGGCCGATCAACTTTGATTCATCTCGTCTGGTGGAGGAAGGTACTGAGGGCGACCGAAGGCTTGAGTCTGAGGCACGTTGGGTAGCGTCTATGCTCGGAGTAGATGGAAAGGTCGTGAGCACGCGGACGGCGTAGACGCCACAGATCGAAAACAATCTCCACCGAGTTTGACCCCATACTCACTCCTCGTGAAGCTTTCCTCACAGATTCTTAGTGATCAAGCATACTGTCTCCAAGGATCATCACAACAAGAATTAGAGTCATAGAGCCATGGAGCGAGGGTGGAAAGGGAAGTGTTCCACGAGTTGCATTTGTAGTTGGAGAATGCATGTCAAGCCTGAGGGCTTACTCTATACTCCCAATAGCAGGCACATATGCAGATACCTCTGCTATCTACCACCATGGGCCATATGAATCACCTCTGGTCAGTGGGACTTGAGAGTCGTCGGCGGCCGGTGAACAACGGCTGACACTTTAAATTTCGCGCTCATGTGCTCTTTCATTTGCTTTCATCTCGAACAAATTCTCAAAATGCCCTATCCTCCGCCTATCGCTTACGCCACCCTCGCCTCTCCCCTCCCTTCTGCCCCTTATATCCTCGGGATCACCCCTTCTCCCAGTACTCCCCATCTAATCCTCCGCCATCCATCACCTTCTCTGACCATCGCCGACAACCAGACACTCCAACCTATGGGCGAACTGTCCGGAGGGCACAATGGTCATGTCAGTGCTGTCAGCTCTGGAGAGGGTGAACTTTGGAGCTCCGCTATGGACGGAAGTATCGTCAGGTGGGACGAGAGGAGCCGGAGCAGGGCGACTGTCATCAAAGGCTTGTCTGCGATTCACTGCATCTTATTCCGAGCTGACTACTATCCAGCGTTTATCAGGAAACCCCTTCCCGTGACTGCATTGACGCACTCTGCATCCGACAATCTGGTCATCGGCGGTACAGAGCTTCTGTCATCTGAAGCCCACATAATGTTCTGGGACCCCCGAAACTCGGGTACACCCCTCTACACCCACTCGTCCACCCACTCTGACGATATCACTCACCTCTCCCTCATCACTGGATCCTCCGCCTTCCTCCCCCGATCAGTCAACCCCGAAGTCCGCACACCTAGTACTCTTCTGCTCTCATCCAGCACCGACGGTCTCATCGCTCTGTCGAATATGAAAGAGTCGGACGAGGACGAAGCTGTGGTAGCGGAGGAGAATTGGGGACAGAGTATTGCCGATGCGGGAGGGTACCTTAGTAAGGGCAAGTTGAGGGTCTGGGCGAGGAGCGATATGGACGAGATGGCCATCTGGAGCCTAGGCAGAAGTGCGGAGGGCGAGGTCGAACTCCAAGACCAAGTCGCCTATCCTTCTTCAGAGTTCAAGTTCCGAACCTTTACCCCTCCCAAGTCAGGTCCCAACATCACCCAGACGGCGCTGGATGAGTTCAAGGCAAAGGCGACGTACAAGTCGGACTACCTGATCGGGGCTGTCCCGAGTTTGGGCGTTAGCAGCGCTGGCGGTCCTATGGTTGCCGTAGGTACCAACGAGTGAGTATACCCTTTTCGTTTTATACAGTTACTGATGTGATGGCAGCGGCGATATCATTCTCCAACACCACTCCCCCTCTGCATCCTCTTATCTTCCCTCCGCATACTTCATCACTGGCCCCGCCCCCAACCGAGGCCACAAAGACGTCGTCCGCGCACTCTTCCATGACCTGCCCAACGAGGCCCTCTATACTGGATCTGAAGACGGGGTCCTTGCTGGCTTCTCCCTCGCCTCTCTGCCCGAGCGACTCACGGTGGGCGACAAGGATGTGGATGATGATGGAGATGCTCGGGGAGAGGAAGATGAAGACATGTATGAGGAGAGCGAGATTGAGACGGAAAGTAGCGAGGAGAGTGATAAGGATGACGATGAGGACATGGAGGATGAGGGACCGAGGTATGGGCCTGTAATTGGGGCTGCTGCTACCGGGCGTGACGGGCTGGATAAGAAGGGTGACAGACGGAAGAAGCGATTTGGACCATACTAGACCAATGCACCTAATATCTGTGTAGATCATTGCATAGCACGACAACCGCTTTGAAGAAAGCCTAACAATAAGTTTCATTTGATGGTATAGACAACTCATTCGTACAATGTATATTTACAACTCGTTACACTAAGAGAGATTACTTTCCAGCCTCCATCACAAGGTAACTCGCCGTGCCCAAAGCTCCCCCGCCGAGGATCATCCCAGCCGCTGCATCTCCCACCGTCTTTCTCAGCTCTGCCCCGATACTTGGTGAAAGCCCCTTAGCCGCCAAGACCCGAGTCAACTCTGTCTCATGGTTGATCGCCGCCCCGCGGCGTCCTCTTCCAGAAACAATCAACATCGGCCTCCACGTCTTGGACCCCGCCGACGTCGCCCTGATCGCGCTCTCGCCACACGTGAACGCATAAGTCAACGGCTGGTGCGAGGTGGTCGAATGGAACGAGATCCTCTGCAACGCCGTCTCAACGAAAGCCGGGCGAGGCGGGGAAACGGTTGCAGAGGCATAGTAGTTCCAGGCAATGGAGTCGGCAGTCTCGGACTGGAGGCGGGCTTGAGTCTCGGGGTACTGGGTCTGACCGCCCACGGTGAGTTGGTTGGAGTGAAGAGCAGCTTGGTGTAATTCCACGCCAGACTTTTCACCATTGCCGCCTTCTTCTGTCTCGGCCTCGTCGCCTTCCTCCTCTTCATCCTTCTCCACCCTCACGATGGTTGCAGTCACACCCTGGTGCTGGCAGAGCTGCACCACAAACCGCAAAGCCAACCGGTCATCAGGTCCGCCAAAGAAGGGCAGAAACACATGCTGTCCGCTGCCTGGCCTGAAACCCGCCATACCGCCAAAGCCTCGGTCAACAAACAGTGCGACATCACTCTTGCTTTCCGCAAAGCACCGCCTGATGAAATGTGTGTACATTGGCGAGCCAGCGGTTTCAGAGCCAAAGATGGAGTCGAATTGGGATACGGCGGTGGACGATGATCCGGTGGCGGGCTGAATGAGGTCGGAGGAGGCACCTCCTTGGACGGGGACGGTCCAGGGGATGATAACAAGCTCGGTACTCAGATCTGAGGCATAGTCTGCGACAGCCTGGGGGTACCACTCTTGCTCAATGATGGAGATGTGCGGAGTAATCTCCAGTCCGCGCAATCGGCCAAATTGTCGATACAGCTGCAGAGCATCGTCCGTACCCAGCAACTGATCCTTTTCGGCAGACTGCATGACCGAATAAGTACGCCCGGTGAGCTCGACGAGCTTGAGCGCGTCAATACGGGGTTCGAGGCCAGAGGCGGCGGGGTGATTTTTGTTGGAGTGGAAGAGATTGTGGATAGTGTCGTGTTTGCCGTGACCGGTCGAAGTCGAGTCGTCGTGCGTCTCGGAGCTGTCCTCACTCGACTGTTTCCCCTTTTTGGTCTCTCCGTGAACATGTCCAGAAGCATCCCAGGGTTCTCTCTGACTCGCCGCGGGAGGCTCAAGCATCTGTGTCAAGAGCATAACAGCAGACAGATGCTCCAGCTTTTGGAGAATGACCAAAAACTTGCTCGTATGCTCCCTCCCACCGCTAGCGCCACTCGCCGCGGCCCCGGTGATGCTGAGCTCCTTGTCGTCGTCCTTCTTGCCCGCGCCGTGGGACGGATCGCGGAGAGACTTGTGGAATCGAGCGGGGTAGACGGCGAGGGTGGCGGGGGTGGTGATGAATGTGAGGACGACGGCTTCGACGACAAACATGGAGAAGAGACGTTGGTCGATGATACCAACGGATCGACCGACGTTCAAGACAATCAATTCGACAAGACTAACCTTATCAGCTCGGGACTATTTGTATGGTTGTGCTACTCACCCTTTACAACTCATCAACATGCCGATAGCCACGCTCTCTCGAGGAGGATACTTGAGGGCAAAGGCAGCACCGCAGCAGCCAACAAACTTGCCCAAGAAGGCGCACACGATGAGGAGGATGGTATAGCCCCAGATGTGGCCAGTGTCCAAGAGACCGAGGTTGGTCTGCAGGCCGGAGAGAACAAAGTACTGGTGACTGTCAGCTTGTGAAGTGTTGACGTGTTCGATGGACTCACGATGGGAAGGAAAAGCATAGAGACAAGATCGTCAATCTTTTCGACCATGGCGATGGCAAAACCTCCCTCGTGCGGGATGATCAATCCAGCAATGAATCCTCCAAAGATGGGATGTACGCCTATGAAGCGTTAGCACGTGTCCCATATCATATAGCTACGACATACCAATGATGTCGGTGATGAATGCAGAGATGAACACAATCATCAACGCCAACAGCATCGTGCCCGGCGTGGGCCCATGCTCATCACCTCCCGTCCTCTTGACAATCCATCGGAACGCCTTCTTGACAGGCCAAAGAAGGATGATAGACCATCCGACAGCGCAGAGAAGGACGTATACGGCGGTAGCACCCGATTTGGCACTGACAAGGGCCAAAGTCAAAGCGAGGAGGACCCAGCCGACGACGTCGTTTCCGACACCTGCAGCCAAGACAATCACTCCCACGTGGGTGTCGATCAATTTTGTCGAAGTCAAGATACGACAAAGTACCGGGAAGGCAGTGATGGCCATGGCGACACCGACAAACAAGAGAAAGTGGCCAAAAGACACATTCTCAGTGTCGACAAAGTTGTGATAGACGGGTACGGCGACAGCTGCGCCGATACCGAACGGCAAGACCATCCCCGCCGCCGAGATCAGACCACTCGCCTTTGCGTGATTCTTCATCACCCCGATATCGACTTCAACGCCGACCAAGAAGAGGAAGAGGATCAAGCCGATGGTGCTAATGAGGTTGAGATAGGTGATGGACGCGTCGGGAAAGATGTGCTCGGAGAAGTGAGGGATCCGCCCCATGACGGTGGGCCCGAGGATGATGCCTCCAATAATCTCTGCAATGACTCGGGGTTGCTTCATATAGCCAAAGGCCCAGCCGAGCCCTTGGGTGAAGCATAGAATCACGACGAGCTGGATGATAAAGAGGGTGATGGGCTACGCGCGTCGCAGTCAGTTCTATCCTCGCGTCGCGCACAGTGAGTCGGCCTACATTGGATGTGTCGACCTCTGTGGGATCGAGGCCTGACAGCACGTTCGACTATAGCACGGTCAGCGAGTGGCGCATTGTATGGAGGGCTACGGACAGATACGGCTCTGCTGGCGAGCTGGGCAAAGTGGGTGGGCTGGCCATAGACATTGGTGTCGAATATGCCCATGGTGGCGATGAAGAAGTGGATTACAATCGTGCAGTATACTTTATATACAACGGATTTGATTGGGAGTCGGGGGCCCCCCGTTGAAAGTGATGGCAGGAGATCGGGGCAGGAACGGGAGGTAGTTGCGGCGGGCTGTGTGGTGTCGAGTGTGGGGGGGTGGGGCGAGTGGCGGGTTGAATAGACGGGATAGATGGGGGTAATGAGATAGTTGTAGGTCTATAGAATATATACTCATGCACAATGAATGGACCGGAAAGAGACAATGGAGTAGGGATCTAGGCACGCACTTGGCACAAACACCTCGACAGAAACTCGGAGCCAAAGGATCAACAAACTCCCGTTCCACTTAATTCTTGGAAAACAGTCAACAACTTCTTCCCATGGTAACGCACTTAGGATGCCAGTCAGGTGATCCCAGAGGCGCCAACAAGGAGATACATCCACTACCAGCACAACAACCACGATCCCGTCTACTCCCGTCTACTCAACACACAACACTGATCCCTCCCGCTCATCTTCAATCACATCGACCCCCTGCTCCCCAGCCGCCCTCCTCGCAGCCCGGTCCCAGAGCGCCCATCCCCACGGCTCGTGCCCCTTGAGAAATGTGCCTCCTAACAGGTCGAATACCCACTCGACAAGTCTTTCTGATACCCACGTGCTTGATACTATGCGGAGGCAGCTCAGTTGTGAGTATGTGGATAGGGAAGCGGTAAAGTGGGGTGGTATAGCGACTGGGGGTGGAAGAGAAGCAGGAGGGGGGAGGGTCGTGGTGGAAGTAAGGTAGGCGAGATGTCTGGAGTGTACTGATCTCGTCCAGCGAGATAGCAAGCTCTCAGCAACCCCTTCTGGCGCTTCAAACATCTCAACAAAGAGTGAAGCGTCAGATACCACAGTCAACCTCTCAAAAGCAAGGAACAAAAAGTGTCGAGGCGAAGGCGCCATCAAGAGGTTGGTAAAGAAGACAGGGTCTGCAGTCTTGACGCTCAACACTCTGCCTTCTCCCACCGACAATGCCTCTCGCTCATACGCAAACACCACCTCCAGCCTCACTCCGAGCTCCTTCACCCTCCTCTTCACCCACTCTTCCACCACCCGCCTCGCCTTCTTCTCTTCATCCGATAGAGGTCGCCCTTGGAGCCCGTAGCCGACGGCCTTTCCGTGCTCCGGTTCAGGCGGATTGAAATGTCCAGCAGAGAAGGGACATCTGGGCTCGGGCTTGGGGTATAGAGCGAGTTTGTGGCGGTAATGGAGCTTGTAAGCTTCCCATTTCGTCCTCGCCGAAACCAACAACAACGCCCCCGGCCATCTGGTCAAAATTCCCAACACACCCCGAACCGTACTCCACCCTTCTCCAAGCTTGACGCCTTGACGCCCTGGGACCATCAGAGCTGCAAGCTTGACATCCTTGTGTGGTGTCAAGAGCTGGATGGAAGTTTTGAATCTGGGAATGTGGCTTGGGGAGGATGAGCCGAGGGGGAAGGGGTCGAGGATGTCGAGGCGGTAGAAGCCTGAGCGGTCGTTGAATGGCGAGACGTGGAACGAGCGGGGAAAGGTAAAAGCAAAGTCGTAGCCCCTGGCAGGTTCATGTCTCAAAGGCGAGTCCATCCCCAGCACATACGCATGTCTAACTTTTCATCAACTCTGCCGCTTCTCTTCTTGCTGAGGCACTTACGACTCGCCAAATTCGGTATGCACTTCCAAAACCAACCACTTCAACTCTCCTCTTTGCCCATCTTTCGCCTTGCCATACACGTACCAAGTCGTCAACGGATTCAACCCTTCAAACCCCAGCAAGCTCGGCATCGTCGTCATCCACACCTTTCCCACCTCTTCCGCTCTCACACCATACCTCTCCAATAGCGCTTCAAGCTTGGTCCGATAAGACGCATCTCCAGAGCCGAGATACTTATGACTCTTCAGCCCGACGACTTTCGTCCCCGGATGTCCGCCTTGCCTGACCACCCTCAGAGGCGCATCCAACGCACCGTCTTGCAAGGCATCGATATCGGCACAGAGGAATATAGCTGGGGAGGTGAATGCGTGGTGCGCGAGGGAAGGGATCTTGCGCTTGTGGTATACTTTCGATGTGTAGAGGTATGATGGGAGGGCGTTCTCTTGTTTTGAGGAGGTGGGGGAGGGGGAGAGGGAGCGGATGGTGGCAGTGCCGAGGCCGATAGCGATGAGGGAGCCTGCAGAGATGGCGAGTGGGAGGAGCAGATGCCCCAGAGGAGGAACGTCGCTGAATGGTTTGTGGATGTTGTCGAGGGTCAACATGGTACTCGTACTAGGTTTCGGCGGAGGGTGGGCGGTTCAGAGCGATGTAATGCCATTTATAGCTGTTGGCCTGCCGGGTTATATCGCGGATTGAGCCTTGAGAGGTACAGCACAAGGGTACAGAATATAGGGGACAGACGGCCCAGACATCTTTTGAGGAAAAACACAGGTGAAAGGTTATCACTGCTGATCAGTGATCGATTGGAGCTGTGGAAGGGGGGCGAAGCGCCTGGCCTGAGGTGGCAAAAAGGACACAGAACCCGAAGAAAGGGATAGGGGAGACAGGGACAAAGGGGAGATGGCCCTCGACGATCCGCCGGGAACAGTCGACTACAGCACAGTAACTGCTGCCTGAGCTGACAGCCCTGGATGCTGAGAAACTATGCGCACGTCTGTCACTTCAGGATATTTCTTTGGGTGTGTGCTGCTGTGGTCAACTTTTAGGGGCTCGTCAATGCGCGTGAGTCAGGGTTCATTTGCTATGTCACAACGTGGCCACCCTCTTCTTTCTGGCGACGTGCAACATGCAGCATCTCACAGTGCCGAGCTTATACATACCTTGTCAGCCAAGAAAAGAATCTCATGGGCCAGAATACATTCTGAGTGGGGAATGCAGGGCAAGGAGGGGCGTGCTGCTCAGGGCGGGTGACTGTGCAGGGTGTGTATATGTACACTCTTCGATGCCGGGGACGCGACGATGGAACCGGGGCATACTATATGTGTTCTATCTACCGGATCTTTGTTCAACTACATATGTAGAATCCTCTTCTAGCCATCATTTCAGGTTCACAGCTCAACTTTCACCTGAACCACATATGTTGATACAACTACAACATATCGGCCACCTCATTTATAGCATGTCCTTTCTTTGCTCTTGCCTTGAGATACACCGACACTATCTGAGTCTACTTCTGCTCTATCATCAACCTTCTTGCGCATTTCATCAATTTGGTGGGCCGTCGATTCTCGGTCCTACCTCGCCCATCAGCAATCGTGCACGTGAAAGATCAGTAGAAAATCATGCCAATTTTTTCTTCCTGGAGGATTTCGCTCTCGAGCGTTGTCTGTGCCTCTTCTAAGGCTTCAGTCAACCTCCCATTGTCTGCGCTGGCAACGTCCAACGGTTCTACGAGCATATCTTTCTCTTTTGAACAACAGGCATGTGTACGTTCAGAGTTCAATTCGTGTAGCTCTTCCATTTCGCCGTCTTTCAACTCGTCCATTTGCTGCTGCAGTTGAAGGTCTTTTTGCTCTGTAGATGGAGCTTGATTACGTTACCATGACGGATGAAGGGGATCTGCGCACTTTGGCAAAGTCTAGCAGCCTTGCTTTCGCGTTCCCCATGGCTTCCTCGTTGAGCTTTTGCATGATCCAGCTCCTTGATCAGCCTCTTTTCTCGGCTTGAGAGGTCTCCAACTTCTGCTCAAGTCGGTCGATTTCCTCCTGATGAGAGTCTTTCAGCTGTTGACCAGCCGCTTTATCGTCTTCTTCCCGAGCCCTGGCGCGGCGGCGAGGGAGATGACGGTTTAGAGTTGTCGGAAAGCGTCGCAATTCACCGCCCACTGTCTTGTTCCCAGATCCAGGTCCATGACGGACAGATCAGATGCAAGATGTATATACAATAGCAGTGTGCTTTTTGTCCTCATCGACGTAGCATGCAGCGAAACGTATAGACATGTTGAGTGACAGCTCTGGACTCTTTCCCAATTTGGCGTCGTTTCAAGCCCAAAATAAAGTTCAGGCGGAGATTTTCGAGGATTCGGTTCGACCCAAGTTCGACCCCCCAATTCGGCGCCTCTCTCCTCTATCATCTGCATCTCCATCCCCAGCGCCATGTCGAAGCCGTTCGTCCCCACCCCAGCCATATCCCGCCCGGGAACGCCCAACAGCAGCGGGTACAAGCAGGATGACACCCTGCTGAGAGACTTGGGAGAGCGCGGAGAGAGAGATAGACTGGAGAGGGAGGATAAGGAGAAGAAGGATGCCAGGCAAGAGCAGGGTGAGTGCTTGCTGTTCTTGTTAAGCCACCGGAAGTGGAAGGCTCGTACTGGAGTGCAGTGCAGACCCGGGTGCTGGGAGAAGGATGCGAGGTGAAACCGGGCGCGATGGAGCGCGTCGTGCCGGCATCCCGCGCAGCGACACCTGCGATGCAACTCTCACAGCAGCTGTGCAGGGGCGTGGCAGTCATCAGCAGGGGTTCAGTACTCGAGGAGATTGCCCTTCATACAACATTGGTGCTCGAGGGGGCAGGAGATGAGGTCTGAAGCCGAACATTAGCAAGGCTGGAACGCGACGCGAACCTCTACAAAAGTACTCTAGCTGACCATCTCCAGTTCTCCCCATCCTCGCCTATTGTGCTGCTAGTATCATGATGACTGTCGTCAACAAAGTATGTCTTCGGATGCGCATCTCAGCTATGACTGCGCAAAATGTGTCCTTCTGCTGACCTGTTGCGCAGTACGTCGTTTCTGGCGCCAACTTCACCATGACTTTCTTGCTGCTGGCTATCCAGTCTTCGGTCTGTGTTCTGGCTGTCTCTACTGTCAAGCGCTTGGGCTTCATCACCTGTAAGCTTGAATTTGATATCCGAACCGAGATCTTGGTCGTCAGGGAGCGAGTGACTGACATTGTACAGACCGAGACTTTGACATGAAGGATGCCAAAGCCTGGTGGCCTATTTCTACTCTTCTTGTGGCTGTCATCTACACTGGATCCAAGGCTCTGCAATTCTTGTCGATCCCTGTCTACACGTGAGTAGGGCATGCGACAGAAAGGCACTGGAACTGACATTGAGGTAGCATCTTTAAGAACTTGACCATCATCCTTATTGTGCGTGGCTTGTCAGGAGAGAAGGTGGTTATTGACCTAGTTTAGGCTTACGGAGAAGTCTTCCTGTTTGCCGGTAACGTCACCGGTCTTACCCTTTGCTCCTTTGCCCTCATGGTGAGTCCATTCTGCGCTCGCGGACATTCGCTCATTCCTCGCAGGTCGGCTCTTCCATCATTGCTGCCTGGTCAGACATCTCTTCTGCCTTCAGCAAGGCGCCCGAGCTTGACCCCATTGCTGGTATCGACATCGCTGCTGGCCATGTCTCTACCATAGGTGGCCTCAACCCGGGTTACGTCTGGATGGCCCTGAACTGCTTTGTCTCTGCCGCCTACGTACGTTGATCCTGTTTGTTCATTGCTCCCACTAATATTTCTACAGGTCTTGTTCATGCGCAAGCGTATCAAGGTCACCGGCTTCAAGGACTGGGACTCCATGTACTATAACAACCTTCTCTCCATTCCCATCCTCGTCGTCTTCTCCCTCGTCATCGAGGACTGGGGATCCGAGTCTCTCGCCCTCAACTTCCCCGCTTCCAACCGAGTCATCCTCCTCTCTGCCATGGCCTTCTCCGGTGCTGCCGCCGTCTTCATCTCCTACTCTACCGCCTGGTGTGTCCGAGTCACCGGTTCTACTACCTACTCTATGGTCGGCGCTTTGAACAAGCTCCCCGTGGCTGCGAGTGGTATCTTGTTCTTTGTCGATCCCGCTTCCTTTGGCAACGTTTCTGCCATTGGTGTTGGTGGTTTGGCGGGTATCGTCTACGCTGTGGCCAAGACGAACCAGGCCAAGGTTGAGAAGGCGAAGCAGGCGAGGGCTTCTGGTGGTAGACCATAAGCGTTTGAGTGTGTTTGGTCATTCGAGTATGGATGTGAGTGGAGCTGGGACAGGTGTATCCAAAAAGTATACACATGGAACCGGTATAGATGCAAAGATCTTCTTGTCTTGAACACAAGCTCAGCTTGCGTGCTGTCCCGTGGTACGCTGGAGAATTGTCTGCATCCTCTACGCAATGTCACATAAGTGAATGAGTGTCCTGCTAACCCGGTGGGAAAGCTGACTGCAATTCATATCGCTTACAACAGTCATCATTTTCTTCCCGCCTGCCTGCGACGCTTTCGCCATCCTCAATCTCGCGCCGCGGGTTCTTATTCCAATACCCTTACCTTTCTCTTTTCATCATTCTCCCCACGTACCTAGGTCGTATTCCTCAGTTATATCGCCAGCAAATCACCCTGCAATGCACTCCGACGCTCCACCGACATTGCGGGATATCACGAGTGCTGCTGCTATCCAGGTAAGTTTCATCAAACGCTTGCGGGATCCTCTGATTAATTATTGGCTCAGGATTGGGCTGGCCTCTCGCCCAACGACTCTCACCCCGGTGATCCTTCTACTATCCATCCAATCTCTGAGATCCCTGCGGCCGTTATGAATGATCGAGCCAAAAATCTCGACTTGCCGCAACACCACGGGGTCGTGGAACGCCTCTTGGCCTCATTGAAGCATAACGAAGAACTTTCGAACCTCTTGCAAGCCGAGAGATCGTTGTCACAGACGCTACAGTCCTATCTGCTCACTGATATGGAAATCATCAATCGTTTGCAAGACAAGACCAAAGAGCTCGAATCGCAATGCAAGCGCAAGACAGAGCACATCTGCGATCTTGAACGCGTTAACAAAGACAACATAATCGACTACCATTCTATAAGCCAAGAGCGGGACGAAATGGCCTGCTATGTGGCATTCCTCAAAGAAAGGCCACAATACTTGCCTCTATCGGAAAGAAGCAAGTCTGGCAAGGTTAATGAAGATTTCGAGTTGTACATGTGGGATGTGAAGGTTGAAAGGGATCAGTATAAATCGAAGCTCGAATATCAAGCTACCCGAGTGGGAGAACTTGAGGATGTAAGCGTCCCCACATTCTGTCATGTCCGAGCTGCTGAATGCTGTTTCAGAAAATCAAGCAGCAAGAGGCATACAAGAGCGACTTGACGGCATCCGCAGACAGGTATCTCAACCTCACCAAGAAACAGGAAGAAGAAGTTGGGACCCTGAAAGATGAAGTTGCCTATCTCGAAGACGTCAGTCACACTTATCATATCAATATGTTCAACGCTGACACTTTCAACTCAACCAGCATCTCGACGCCCTTCTGAAGTACGCGCCCCCGTCCGTACAGCTTCAAGAGCAGCTGTGGAAAGTTGTCGAGCATGCCCGAAGCACCTTTGGCCCCGAATTTGAAACCATCTCCACGCCCTGGGCGGCAGAGCAGCTCGAGATCCTCCAAGCAGCTCCGGATGTCTGCGATTTCTGGACGCAAAGCATCATTGTGCACCTGGCGCAGCACTTGGAGGCTCAGTCGTCGAGAAAGGCGGAGGAGACGGAGGAGGAAAAGCGAGTGAGATTGGCCGAGAAGGAACTTGCGAGGGATTTAATGTTCAGGTGTACGCTGAAAACTGGGCAGCAGGCGCCGCGAGTGGCTTATGTGCAGGCCCCGATGCCGTACTATACTAGTACTATTTGATACTCCCTTGGGCGAGATCTGGGTTATAAAGGTTGCTACAAAGAAATCATGTCTGGTCGTTAGTAAGATGTGTCGTGAGTATGAAAGCAATATAACAAGGCTGTATGACACTCAGGCAGCGAGGATACACGAGCCACACAGTCCGACCAAATCATATCAGTGTACAACATGACATCTGATACACACTTTGATTAATCGTCATCCGAGTCGTCTGAGTTGAGGTCCAACTGGAAGACGGCATTTGGATCGTACCGTCTGCCAGTCTCTTCCACTTGTACAGGCTCTTCTCTCCGTTCTTCCGCTTCTGGTTGCGCTGCTTGTTCTATCGCCCTTATCAGCTACCCGCAAAGCAAGTCACGTGGAAAGTACTTACGGTCCCCAACCACGCCCGTCTCGCCCATCCCGCTCATGCTGCCCTCGAGCTGAAACAGCAATCCCATTCGCATGTTCATCTCAGTCGGCCAAGGCGTATATTGTGCTCTGTCTACTGGAGCTAGTAGAGTAGATACGGGCGCTGAGGAGTGCTTGCCTAATGCTTGAGCGTGGGCGAGAAGTGTTTTGGCAAGTATGGGCTCTTCACGATGGTCAGTAAAGTTATTGGGAGCCTCGGACGACACACCCTTTTCGGACTTGTCAATTGCTGCCACTTCCTTCACTCCTTGATCCACCATGCCTTCTAGTGTCCTTCTCCCTTCTTCCAGGTTTCTAACCAGCCCCCTCACCCGTATCTCAAGCTGCTTTACCTCTTCTTTCTTCTCTTGCAGCTTGTTCCACAGCTTCTGATGTTCCTCGACTTCCTTCACAAGCCCCGCAAGGTCCAAGGCAGAGTACTGAAGGGCTGTGTGTAATTGAGAGATCTGAGGCGGGGTTTGTGGTGTGAGGGGTAAGGAGAGGGCGGTAAAAAGGTGTGTGAGGAGAAGAGATTGTGTGGACAGATTTTGTAGCAGAGACTGGCGAGGGGGCTGCGGGGACGACATCGTGATTAGAGTTAGATAAGTAATCGCCTGATGACAACAAATGTAAGAGGAGCATAGGAAGCGGGGATGGCCGCCGTAGATCTGCCTCCACCACGCGCGCCTGACTGCGCCGGCCGAGAATGCGCTGTATGATCTCTATCATTTTCAACAATTGCCCTTGTACCAACAACAAAGGGGATATCAGTATGCCGCGACTGGAAGAGTCTCCTTCAAGAAGCCGAGCATCCCGCGGCCCACTTGGCATTGACGCGGGCGCGGTGATCAAGCGCGTAAAGGGCCTGCCCAAAGAGACGTGGCATCGCTACAAGAAGCTTGGTCCCAGATCAAAGGTGCGACGCCTCTCCACACTATTCAAAAGCATTACTGACATCTGAATAGGCTGCTGTGTGGTAAGTCTCGTTCCGATCTTACGAGATGCTTGACTTGACTGTGGCTTTAGGATCATTACCGCCCTTCATTTCATCGGATTCGCCGTCGTGATTTGGCTGACTCCCAGAGCAATCGGACAATGGTTCAATGACTTTGCTCTTTCGGTGAAAGCTATGGGCTGGAAAGGCGTGGTCCTGTGTAATATCTTTGCGGGTGCGTGACTATGTTGCGAGATAATGACGTCTCCAGCTGACGAAGGATCTCAAGTATTGAGCTCACACCCTCCCTTGATCGGCTTCATGCCCACCCTTACACTGATTGGATTTATTTACGGTGTTTGGCCCGGATTCTTGATAGCCTTCATCGCCTCCAACCTTGGCGCTGGCATCGCCTTCCTTTCCGTCCGCGTACGTCCCGCAAATGTTTTGTGGTGCGGCAACTCATAAGGAATATAGCGATTCTTTCTCGGATGGATCAAGAAGAATGACAAGTGGGAAGCATTCGGCCATGTCATGCGTGCGAAAGGCCTTCCCCTCGTCGTAATGATACGCTTCTGTCCGATTCCATGGTAACTTTCTACCTCATCCTATACCGGCAATTAGTATCAAGCTCAATTGATTATAGGAATGTCAGCAACGGACTGTTTGCTTCGATCGAGAGTGTCAAGTTTTGGCAATTCATGCTTGCCAATGTGTACGTGCTTTTCTCACGCTTCTCCGACTTCCTGGCTGACAGATCACAGTGCGATTCAGCCCCGCCTGTTAGTCCCAGTATTCATTGGCTCCCGCCTCACCTCCCTCTACTCGGACTCCCCCACGGAGGACCCTCTCCGCTTCTGGCTCAACCTTGCTTCCATCGGTATCTCTGGTACCATCTCTGTTGTCACTGGCTACGCCATCTACCGTCTCACTCTTGACCAGATGCGAAAGCTCGATCAGGCGCGAGCAGGGGGGGGCGTTAGTGACGGAGATGGTGAATTGGCTGCAGAAGCTTTGGAAGGGAGGGCGTTGCTGGGAGAGTATGACGGACAGGGGAGCGGGGATGAGGAGGCGGAGATGTTGACCGACCCAGAGAGTAGGACCCGGGGGAGGGCGGCGGACGGCAAGGCGAATGGGAGGAGTTTGAAGGTCGGCGGGAATGTGATCAGGAGGACGAGCAGCAGTGAGACTAGCGATGCGAGCGAGTTGGTTTAGACGGTTGTATACAGATATGTACATGCATGAGATCGCGCGACAGACTTGGCTCAGTGGACGTTGCTGATGAAGACGCGGATACTACGCGAAAACTTGGGTCGAGGTGCTGTAATAGAAAAGGTGGACCTTGTGATACAGCATGCATCTTCTCATGACGCATACCAGTCCAAGAAGAGCAAACTAAAGCTCGCCCCAAGGATGAACACCAACAAGAACAACCTGCCCTCCTTGCCCCTCTCTCTCGCCTTTACAAGCTGCTCATTCGCTTTCCTGACTTCCGCCACACTCCCTACCGCATCTTCGTACAGTTGCTCCACCACTTCCGTCTGTTGCGCCAGGTGTCTCACCAGCTCTGATTGGAGTTCGGATATTTCTAGAAGCGAGCTCTCTGCCGAGAGCACGGAGGAGAGGGTAGAAGACATGTGTTCGAGTAGGGCGTTGTTTTCGGATTCAAACTCTTGTATTTGAGCTTGCGAGAGCTGAGACTCGATGGGAGGGGCGGAAGGGTCAATGATACCCAAACCCGAGTGTAAATGGGGATCAGACCCCATCGTCGGACTGAGTGCGGCATCGTGCACATCGACTACGACACCGTCTGGTATCAATCTCCCTTCTCCGGCTTTCCTCGCCCTGCCTAGCCGCTCCGCTTCTGCGCTCGCGCCATTGCCTAATGTGCGGCCGCGTTCTTCGCGGCGTTTGACGCGCTCTGTCTGCATGTCGCTCAAGGTACCGGTGAGTTTTGCCATGGTGTCATTGAGCGTCCAGATGATGGAGGCGTGGTGGGCAGAGATGATGGGTTCGGAGGAAGTGGAGGGAGATGAGGGAAGGGCGAGGGACGGGAGGAGCTGAAAGAGGGATGATGCGGGGAGGGACGAGTTGACTTTGGTCTTGCGAGCTATTCTCTATCATCAGCTTGCGAAGATTGATATGAAACAAATTTCACACACCTTTCTCAGCCCTCTCCAATACCCCGACCCGCTCATTACACCTCCTCAAAATCATCCTCGCCCTCAAGTCAATCTCATCCCTCTCCTTGTCCGTCAAATACTTGGACTTTTCCCATTTCGCCCATTCCTCCACCTGCCCATCATCACCTGCCTGGCTGGACGTCGGTCTCTGAGGCCGACGGCGGGACACGGGAGGGGGTTCGGCGGAGGACAGGTATGGTTTACGGACAGAGGTGAGGAGGTGCCGTAGAGAGGCTAGGTGGGTGTACTATGACGTATCAGCTCTGGCCCCATTCCATCTGGAAGACAGACTCACAATCTGATAGCTTTCCTTCAGGAAGCTCTCTTCATCGCCATCGCCTTGCTTCCCCTTACCCTTCCCTCGAGACGCACTGCGTCCTCCCCGTGGTGGAGGTGACTTTGACCTGGCAGATGGAGGGAGGGCAGATTGTTTGGTTGAGAGAATGGATCTGAATTGATCTGTTTGATCTATAGGTGCCATCCTAAACGGCTTAAAGAGACAATAAGATTGATGAAGTCAAAGATTGGATAGAGTTCGAAGCTGGTTCGAAGGGCACGCTGATCCGAGCTGACATCACTAGAAGTGCGGACGTCATCGCTTCTATCACCGTTGTTGTGACCAGGCAATGACCAGGTCGGTGAGAAGGATTTGCAGAGAATCCCGCATGCAGCGACAAGTACAGCACCCGACATATTATATACATGGTGCTTGTGCATAGCACAGATGTTATTCACTATTTGAGTTTCGCTCATTATACTATTCTGCTTTTGAGTCAACGATTATAATATCCAACCCTTCACTGAACAATAACTTGTCCGCTTAGTTAGCCTGGTACTCGCCCCAAGCAATGAGAACATCATTGAGCAAGGACAAGTTGTATGGCGTAACATAAGGGTTCGAGTCGGTCAAACCAACAAACATGGTGCCGTTCACGACACCGTCAGAGGTGTTGTCGAATACGACGCCGTCGGGCTGGTAAGTGTAGCCAGAGTAGTTGCCGGTGGAGTTGAACTCGGTGTAGGTAGTGTTGAGCTGACTGACCCAAGCGACGTACTACATCATAGTCAGCATTCTGCGACAGATAGAACAGAGGGGAGTGAGCGTACCTTGGGGGTGGTGTCAGTAACGTTACCACCAATGGAAGTAGTGTAAGAAGAGTTCCAAGAAGTGTTTTGCCCGGGAGCGTCCCAGGTAAAGTGGACCTGCTGGCCGGGGGAGGTGAGGGAGGTGCGGTTGTGGGTGATGGCGGCGTTGTAGCCGTCGACGAGAAGGCTGGTTTCGTTCACGACGTTGAGGTTGGGGTAGATTTGCCATTCCTGCACTCGGGTAAATATGGTACTTTGAGGGAAATGGGGAGGGACGTACAATGCGAGGGTTCTCGGCGGGACAAGTAGCGAGGTAAGGCTGGAGCAAAGACCAAGCCATAGACTGGGAGATACCAGTCTCAAAGTACACTGGCATGGGGTGCGCACCCGAAAACTGCCTAAAGATCATCTGCTGCCTGGCCTCGGTAGTGATGGACTGCAACAAGAGCTGCGCCGAGGGTCGCGAGTCGAGGTGCGGCAAGAAGCCATAAACACCACTCTCACCCCACCTCGTCAACCTCTGACAAAAGTTGACAAAGTCGCGGACAGTTTCAAAGTCGTACTGGTAGGTGCACTGCTTGGCGGGGGTGCGCCCGTGGGAGGAGAGGATGTTGGTGAGGAGAGTAGCGTGGCCGACTTCTTGGTCGGCCATAAAGTTGATGAGGGAGATGTCTTCGGCGTCGATGCCGGCGGCAGCGAATTCTTCCTCGGAGAAACGCTCGACACCGTATCGGAAAAGGTCACTGGGAAGGAGAGTTAGCGGATGGAGATGTAAGAGCGGAAGGACTTACAGCTCGATCCACTCCTGGTTCAAAGCCAAGTTGAGTGACTGGAAATCGACTACAGACCAGTTAGCGGGAGATCCCTGACAAGCAAAGGAGGACACTTACAGTCACTGTCAGTGTGGTAGATGGGAGCGCTGGCGTTGGGGCGAGCGTCGACGCCACCATCGGGAACAGCAGCGGGATCCCGCTTCTCAAAGCCCTTGAACACGGCAGGGGCTGCAGTCGCCACAGAGGCGAGCAGAGGGAGGGCACAGGCAATGGAGCTGAAGGACCTCATCGTAGACTGACTGGAGTTGGAAAAGAAGATCGAGAGAAGGCGGGTTGTATATATAGTGGAGAGGGCGGATCGGGATCGTCGGCCGGGAGCAGGATTAGATACCTGCCCAAAGAGGCACGAAGTGCATTATCAAGATTACCAGCCGATGACGGCAAGCATGGGACGAGTCGGATGACGGGAAGCACGCGTCACTCGTAGTCGTTTCGGTGTCTGGAATCCAAAAATCATGACGCTAATGGAACGAATTACGTCGGGGATTATGGAGAGCATTCGTCGGTGACGTTGTGAGCCTCAGGGTACTACTGTGTAATAAATGGCCCTACATGCCTGGACTGATATGCATGCTGCATGAGCGCGAACATGGGGCGGGACGGCGGTCAAGAATATCTGCCCCTGAGCGAATTCGATGAGAAGAAAAGGTGGAGGTGGTGACTAACTGCCGGCGGGTGACGATCGCTTGCCGAGAGGCACGTTCTGGGAATCTTAAAGACTCCCTCCGCTTTGCTGCTGACCTAGCGGGGATGGCCGCTACTCGGAACCAAATACACGTCCAGGACAAGATCCAGGTGAGCGAGCAGAGATCCCGTCCGATCCGTCCGACCTTCCTGCCCCTCCCCTCGCAGCAGCACACGAGCATGCCTCAGCACCCCCCTTGGCCAACGGATGCGACGCGACTGTATGCTGTATGGCGGGAAAGACCGCCCGTCGTGTGTGATGCCGCACAGACCCCCGCCAGGGCTGTGCGGTAGGCGTGTGCAGACCCTTTCGGCGGTGTCCTTTGTTGTCGAACATCTCGACGGGATCTCATTTTTCTTCTTCCGTCTTCATCTATCACTCAACTTTCCTCTCTCTCCATCCCCTCCGCTCCCTTCTCTCTCTCCCATCCCACCATGGCTGCTCCAGCCTCCAGGTTCCAGGGCGTCACAGATCTCGCGTACGCTCCTCCCGCTCGGCGCCATGTCCAAATTTACCTGACCAAACACACTCAGGAGCCCGCTCGCCGTGACCGAGGATACCACCGTCGTCACCCTCCAAGAACGCTACCTCGCCCACAAGACCTACACCGCCCTCTCCTCCTCCGCCCTCGTCTTCACCAACCCCTACAACTACCTGCCATCAGATGGCGACGACTCTCTTTTACGATATGTGCAGGAATACTACCGTGTTGCGAAAGAGGACGACACGGGGCGGAATGAAGAAGGGGCATGGAGGAAGGGCGGACTGGACCCTCACGTGTTTCAGCTCGCTCTCAATGCCTTCTTCAATATGAAGCGGACAGGGCAGGATCAGGTCATTATTACAAAGTGAGTTTTCGCCCGAGCTTGGTTGTCGTGATTAAGCGGGTATTGCTCGCTGCTGCTGCTCTGTTGTTTCAAACGATACGGGAGACTTTGCGGAGGCTTGGCGCAATCCCAGACAAGCCTTCCCATGCAGCCCCGCGTGTTGCAATGATCACCGCTGACCCCCTCCTAGCGGTCCCATGGGATCCGGAAAGAGTGAACTCAAAAGACTAGCCATCGAAGCCATCTCCGAAGTCAGCGTCGCCACTCCAGGAAAGAAGGGATCCAAGCTCGGTCTCCAAGTTGCCAGTGCCGAGGTGAGACCTGTCCTGCCGCTCGGGGCATTCCGCTGACCGACCCTTAGTTTATCCAAAAATGCTTTGGAAACGCCCATACTCTCTCAAACGACGATGCTTCGCGATACGGCTCATACACCGAGCTCCAATTCAACGAGCGAGGTCGACTTGACGGGCTGAAAACGATCCAGTACTACTTTGAACGGTCGCGCGTATCCCAGGCGCCCGTCAATGGCGAACGCAATTTCCACGTCTTCTACTACCTGATTGCTGGTGCGCCTGCCGAAGAGCGGGCGTTCTTCAAGCTGGGCGATATGATTGATTACCGGTACCTGAATTGCCGAGTACGGAGGATCGGGGTCGAGGATAAGCATCGGTACTCCCAGCTCAGGCAAGCATTCAAGGCTGTGGGCATGTCGAGCCGTCTTGTCGCGCAAGTGTTTCAGCTCCTTGCGACTGTATTGCATATCGGCAACCTGCAATTCACCCCAGGTGATGGCGAGCAGGAAGGTGCACAGGTCATCAATGCCGAGACGCTCGACGTCGTGGCCGAGTTTTTGGGTGTCTCTTCCGAGGCTCTTGCCGAGGTCTTTTCCATCAAGACTGTCATTATCCGCAAAGAAGTCTGCACCACCTTTCTCGGTCCAGAGGAGGCGGAACAAGTCCGAGACGAGCTCGCTCGGACACTCTATTCTCTCCTCTTCTCTTGGCTCATCGAGCACATCAACTCGAAGCTCTGCAAAGACAGCTTTGGTTCCTTTATCGCCCTCCTCGATCTGCCGGGTATCCAACGCGGATCTTCCGTCATCTCAACCAACTCGCTCGATCAGCTATGTCTCAACTTTGCTTCGGAAAAGCTGCACAACTGGGTTCTGCATCGGGTCCACGAGACGGCTAAACAAGAGGCGGAAGCGGAGAGGTTGATCTTCAACAAGGTGCCGTACTTTGACAATTCAGATTGTTTGGAGATGTTATCGGCTTCGCGAGGCGGGTTGGTAGCGACCCTTGACGATCTATCGCTCAAGAAGAAGACAGAGCAAAACTTGCTTGACAACTTGACGAAAAAGTACCACAGCCACCCATCACTCTCCATCTCTTCATCGCACGGGTACCGCTCCGCTTCGTCCTTTACGATCAATCACTACGACGGTCCCGTCACTTATGCGACTTCCAACCTGCTCGAGCGAAATGCCAACGAAACGAGTACCGACATTGTCCAACTCCTCCGAGGATCGACGTCTACGCAGTCTCCAGAGATGGAGTCGCGCGGGTCGAGCAACCCCTTCATCAAGGGCCTGTTTACCATAAAAGGGCTCTCGATGCAGACGCATCCGAAGAGTGATTCCACCATTGTGGCTGTCCAGCAATCTGTCCGTCCTGTCCGAGCGCCTTCGACGAGGCGCAAGCAGAGACGGTCTTTGGTCCCGGTCAATGAAGAGGACGAAGATGGGGAGGACTTTGGTGTCGGCGGAGGTAACGACGAGAGCTACTCTTCCAAAGACCTTACCTGCATCGCCGGTCAACACTTTCACGCCGTCGAAGCCCTACTCCAATCGTTCGACCAAACCCAAATGTGGTACATCTTCTGCCTCCGCCCCAACGACAGCCAACTCCCATCGCAATTCGACCTGCGGGCTGTCAAGTCGCAGATCCGGAGCTTTGGGCTGGTGGAGCTTGCACAGAGGTTGCAAGGCAATGGATGGGAGGTGAGGATGTCGTTGGAGGAGGCGTGTGAGAGGTATAAGGATGAGTTGGCGAGGAGGGGGATTATGGAAGGGCCGGCGTGGGTGGAGAGGTTGAGGGATTTCAAAAGGTTGTTGAAGGCGAGTGATGCGGAGATTGGGATTGGGCAGCAACGAGTGAGTTTTGTGGTTATTCTCGAGTGTCGAGCTGACTTTTGCTAGGTGTTCCTGTCGCATTCGGTCTTCCGCTATCTCGAAGACAAGCTGCGAGCCAGAGATAATGAGGAACATCTTCACCAGTACGACGATGCGGCTTTTGAAGGCCAAAAGCGTATCCAGACCGACCCCTTTTCCCCTCACCGTCATCACAACTCTGCCGAGTCTCGCCAACTTTACGATACTTCATTCCCCGACGAATCCTCTGCGGCGCTCCCGCTGGTCGCTCATGCTCAGCCGGATCCAAAGGAGAGCACGCTCGACCTGGACGATATGTCGCCGAAGAGCGTACCTTACGGTACTCACCATGGGGATGCGTCCACTACCGATGTCGACGGATATGCTTCTTCCAAGAGCGCCTATGCCTCATCTCTACACAAGAGTGAGAAGGATCCACTAGACGAAGATAATACCCCAGGCCATACCCAAGAGACGTACAAAGAATCTATCGTCAGGCGTCGATGGGTCTGGTTGTGTGCCGCGCTTACGTGGTGGGTTCCTGGGTTCATGCTGTCCAAATTTGGCGGTATGAAGCGATCGGATATCAGGCAAGCGTGGAGAGAAAAGCTGGCAATCAACATGATCATCTGGTTCATTTGTGGTTGTACGGTCTTTGTCATTGCCGTCCTCGGTCCTTTGATCTGTCCCACTCAGCATGTCTATTCGACTAGTGAGCTGGCGAGTCAAAGCTATACTTCGGAACCGGATGAGACGTATACGGCTATTCGGGGAGAGGTCTTTGACCTGTCGAGTTTTGCGCCAACGCATCTTACGGCAGTATCGGTCGTCCCCAAGAAGAGTTTCATGACTTATGGTGGTCTCGACGCTACTGACCTCTTCCCTGTTCAAGTGTCTGCTCTCTGTGATGGCGTGTCTGGCTCGATCAGCGACTATGTTACCATGGACACTAGCAACACGACCGACGACTATGCTCAGTATCACGATTTCAGAGCGGGCACCAACGACTCTCGACCTGATTGGTACGCCGAGATGATGATCATGATGCGCCATCGATACCGCAAAGGTTTCATGGGCTATACCAAGAAGGCTATCAAGACCCAGGCTAGTGAGGGAAGCGCTGTCGGTATCGTTGATGATATCGTTTACGACTTGTCCGACTATATTTCGGCGAATGGTGGTGGACTAAAGTTGCCGGATGGGTATACCGCGACGTCGCAGGACCAGAGCGATAGGCAGTTCATGAGTAGTGAGGTCGTTGACTTGTTCAAGTACAATTCAGGCAAGGACGTTACCAAGCTGCTCAACAACTTGGCCAGTACTCTTGGACAGGACGTCGTCGACCGACAGAAAGTTTGCTTGCGCAACCTGTTCATCATTGGAAAAGTCGACACTCGAGATTCGGCAGCTTGTCAATTTTCCACCTACATCCTGCTCGTGCTGTCGATCATCATGGTGACCATCATCGGTTTCAAATTTTTGGCCGCCTTGCACTTTGGCTCTGCTCGGGCCCCAGAGGCGCACGACAAGTTTATCATCTGCCAAGTGCCCTGTTACACCGAAGGCGAAGACTCTCTGAGGCGTACCATCGACTCGCTGTGCAGGCTTCGATACGACGACAAGCGTAAACTCATCATGGTCATCTGCGATGGTAACATCAAGGGTTATGGTAACGACAAGCCCACGCCTGCTATCGTCCTCGACATTCTCGGTGTGGACCCCAATGCTGAGGCTGAACCTCTCAGTTTCCAATCTCTCGGCGAAGGTGCCAAGCAGCACAACCAGGGAAAAGTAT